TGCATCTTTCCTGGATCTTCAAGTGATCTGAACTGATGCAAACTGTAGATATATCATGTCTTAGGCCAGTCTACACCTCCAGACACTTCAGTACTTAAGATGATGCTAACTTCATATAATTCAAAGTTGTGGAGAAAAGGGCTCTGGTTTATTCCATCTAACCCTCTGCCTCTGGGGTCATAGGAGTCCACGTCATCCTACGTACTTCATTCCCTCAATTCAGAGAGATGGGCAGTTTTTCATCTCCCAGAGAGCCATTCTGTTGACATGGAACTCAGTGAAAGAGTGAGGCCTTTGGCTGTTTAAATCAAATTCACGTTGTATTGCAGTGCAGAATGATAATGAAGAAAACCACAGGAAATGTAGCTACTCTAGGGCCTCAACTGCCAGTCATCCTTCCTTGCTCATGCCAACTAGAAGAACCAAAGTTGTCAAAATAAATTATGTTTGAAAGGGTAGATGTCACAGCAGATTATTCAGCCTTGCAGAATTTTTCGTAATACTGTATATCATAAAAAATAGTCTTTGAAATTCTAGACACCTACTTTCATTATTATCCTCATTACAGAGTGATAGATAAATGCTGGACAGGAAGGAAGCATCAGTTTAATTTTGTACTCAAACGTACTTTTAAAAAGAGATGGGGCAAAAGGAGGGGTCTCTAGCATTAGGAGAGTTTTGTGCAGTTCTCTTCAAAATAAGTGAAAAGTCAAGTCCACAGTCAAGTGAAAACTGGGAGATGGGTGTTAGATTTGGGCTAAAGAATGATGTTGATCCTGTGGGAGCATTAAACATGTATGAGAGCACTGACTGCTGGAGATTTTTCCCTAGGGTTTTCCTTCTTTGCTTAAATTAGGTATTTTAGTTTCTGAAGTGCTGCCATTTTATGCTATGTTGCCCACTAAATTTGAACAGGAAAGGATTTTTTTTCTTTTGAGTTAAAACAGATGGATCATATTTGGAATTATCTGGGACTTTTTGAAGAAATTATTTGTACTCTTGGGTATGAAGAATAACATCACAGAAATATATAACTTGAATAATTTGGGGTTTTGTTTCAATTTCATGACATGACACATTATCAGTGTATTTAAGAAATTATTTTCAAGAAAGGTCTGTATGGTTTTGTGTCTAGGTATGAAGCATGAAATGGAGAAAGTGATAATCCTTTCTACATATTTGCAGCAGAACTTCAGCCCATGTGTATGCTCTCAGACTTGATGGATGACTGAAGAACTGTTAGACTTTTGTCATTAGGAAATACAGATGATAAAAAGAAAAAAAGGTTAGAACCATTGAGAATATTTTCAGAAGAATTTTATGTGCCTTCATAAATCCTAGCTGAAAACTGCTAGGTCTTCTTAAAAGTTGAAAAACTGGTGTGTTTGTAGGGATTGGGAACTTTTGGTGGTCCTTCAATAAATGTGTTCCTATGAAAGCTATGGAGTACACTTTTCTTGTTGGTCAGAAACAAGTCAATGAAAAATTTTACTTGCATATACTGAGAAACCCTTCAGTAGGTATCTCAGACTGCCCAGAAGCTGAACAAGGGAAGACCTAGAACAGACATTCCTGGTGGTTTCTATGATAAAAGAGAGATGGGAGAAATGGTTTGGGTTTTTTAGCATTTTAAGTTTTTCTTGTGCATTCTAAAGAAAAATACTAAGCCAGAAACATTCTCTTTACAAGCTTCTATAAAGAGCTGAAAGAGTGATTTAATAAAATGAAAAAGGAAATTATTCTTTGCAAAGAGTTTGAGAACTGTTTGCATTTAAAATTGAAAACACAACCTTTTTCAACATAGCACTTGGCCTAAATGATAGGGGATTTGTCTCGTTCAGAGTAACTGTCCATCAAAAATATCTAAAAGTGACAACCCTCAACAAGACCAATTGTAAAACAATTTAAAAACACCTGGATGTGAGTTTTTTGTTTTGAAGTTTAGCAGCAGCGTATTTAAAGTGTGAGGGGGGGAAATGGCAGTAAAAACATCTGTATGCAAAAATATCCAGCAAAATAAGATTTTAAGTACTTGTGGCTTGTAAATGTGTATGAAAAGTTTGCAGTTTTGAATTGGAAAGGTATTGCATTGTTCCCAGCACAGTCAGAAGTGGCATGATCTCCAGCAGCTGTATTTGGCTCTGCAGCTCACAACCTGCTAGTTTCAGGCAATTTTAGCCTTTATCTGGAATCTGACAATCTATTAATCTCTTGTATGGCAAAAGGGAGTAACTGGGAGCTGGGATCATTCCCAGATGCTCTGCTGAATCTTCAAAGGCAGAAACTTTACTGACAGTACTTGGTACATCCACTCACTGATCTATGAAAACAAATTAGTCAGGTTTTTCTGTTTCCTTTTAGCTTATTTGCTGAAGTAGCCGTTGTTTCAGCCTACTGAGTGTATTTCCTTTAGCAGAGGACAGCAGATCGTTGATTTTTTTCCACTTGAAAGTTCAAGAAATGTAGTAACGTGCATTGTTTCATTGTTTTTGCTGTGTCCCACGCATTCCTGGAAGGTCATGCAAGAGAGAAATAATTCAACAGAGCTAAGAATATAAAGGCCTCTCTTTTTCTTTTTTCCCATTCCACTTCTTTTATATAGAAACTCCAGTAATTGTTTGGAAGGCAAAGACATATTTATGTGAAAGACCATTGCTGATGCAGCACTGAGCAGGGCAGCGGCAATTTCCTGCCTCTGAGGCTGGGGATGGTTTAACACGCGAAGCTCTAGGCTCAGTTGTTCAAATTTCCCTTGTGTCTTCAAGTCTGCCTTCCAAAAAACCCCAAAATCAACTCCAAAACCTTTGCAAGCATGTTTGGGTTAAAAAAGAATTGAACATGTTGAATTGACTCTAGAGGCTAGGAAATGTGCCTGGGTAGTGTAGTGGGCCAACAATCGGCTGTTGTGTGTTGTGAGACATTCATAACAATAACATTGTCTTGGGGCTTCCTTTGTTTATATTTTTTAAGACTTTTGGAAATACTAAACTGTGTTTGAAGTATTATGGCCTGCTTTTCTCAAGCTGCTCAAACTACCCTGAAACATTATTGGCATGAGAATAGGTGAATACATGAGGCATAAAGAGTAACCCAGAAACGCATGAATATTTTACAGTGTGCTTGTTAAAAGCACAATCATGTAGAAGTTGAAGACCATACATGTCCAATAATCAGGCTTTTTCAGAGACAAATGCATGCTTTACTAATTCTTAGCACTTTGAACACTGAGCAGCCATTAACTGTTCCTTAACATTAAAGGCCAGTTCCAACTAAAACAAGAATACTTCCTGAAGGCAATTACTTCAAGACTTCACAGGAGTTAGATGTTTTTTCTTCAGGTGTATCTGATTGATGTAGACTCCCCATTAGAGTGCCAGTATACATATTTATTACCATATCTTTAATGCATTTTCCCAGTGTAAAGGTTTTTTTTTTTTCTCCCATGGCAGTTTAAAGAAACATTGTATGCCAAAAAGGCCTTTTGTAAAATATGAAGCACTCCTGCAGGAATGCTTGCTGGCAAGCACAAATTTTGCAGCTAGCCTATGTACAAATTTTGCAGCTGCCTTTCTTTTAGAAATGTCAGAATTTCTGAAAATGTGTATTCAAGGCTCTTTATGGGCAGAACAAAATAATTTAAAAAACCTTTTTCATTTAATTGCATGGTTGTGATACCTTACTGCCAGGGTTTTTAACGTTCTTTTATATTTTGGATAGGTAGGTGTTTTTACGTTCCTACAGCAGCTGTTCTGAAGGTCCAATCACAACCTTTGCAAAACTACAGTTTAAGAACTTGAAACAATCCACAGAAAACATAACCCACACTTCACTGATGATTTTATAGCCCTCTAAAATATACAAAGCATGAGGAAAATCACTAGAATTTGGCATTTTAGTGAGAATCTAGGAAGCAACTTTCTTCTCTCCATCTACAGTTAAACTGCTATCCAGCACCATAAATTTGCACATAGCACTATACATTTCATTTAAAGAAGATTTGGGGTGGCTTCTGCATTCATATTCCTTACACACTGACAACATGAGGCAGAAGCAGCGGAGTTGAACTTTGGAAGCTGCTTTTATGGTAAGAATTTCATTAACAGATAACAGCAGAGATGAGCAGTAGGTGTTGCACTAATAATCTCTGGAACGTTCTTGCTTCACCTCCATTCTGCTCCAAGCATCAAGATTTCATCTTCCTTTAGAAAACTGGTTTGTGATTTTTTGCTATGTGTAACTTCAGTATCATGTGGGAGAGAGCAGCAATGTCAAACTTTATCAAGGATCATTTAAAACTATTTCAAGGTAAGTAATAGAATCCAGTTCTCCTCCCTCCATTAGAGACTCAATGTCCCAACACCAAACAATGTTAAAATTCAATGCTGCTCAAGTGATATAGCAGGGATTTTAGGTGCAACATATTTTCATCAATAATCCCAAATAAATTAAGTACCAACATTTTCCTTCCTGCACTTTGTTCCACAGCTATAGCATGACAGCAGCCATATGGAGCACATATAATTTCTCAGTGAAACTCCATGGGAAATACTACGATCAGAAAAGTTTTGTAAAAGCTCTTGGGTGTGACGAAAGCATAATTTTTTGAAGCAAGTTAATGTGCTAAAGAAGGATAAGGTTGTGCATGCCCACAAGTGCGTTGTATTTAGACTTGTAAAGGAATACAAGTTTAGAGGTCTACCTCACCAAAAGCATTTAATGAGCTTTTCAAAGAGCTGGACTCGATGATCCTTATAGTTCCCTTCAAACTTGAGATATTTTGTGATCCTGTGTTCCATAGAAAAGAAACAACTTGCATAATGTATGGTCTCACTCATCACAAGAAAGATGAAACATTTCCATTTCAAGCTATAAGGAAAGAGATAGATAAAAATCACTGTGTTACTCCCTTAATGAAGGGGATGGGGGGAAGGGAGTAGTTAATGCATTCCTGGGAGGTACACTGAAAGAGCCATTGGACTATACCACAAACACTACTCAAATACTTGCACAAAGACATTTTATTATTAATGCAATGAAGATATAGATTTTTTTTTTTTTTTTTGATCTGAGGTGCTTATATAAACAGACCCATACTGGCTGAGTGACCATCAGTCTGCAGGGCACGACAGTGGCTGGACACCCTTCAGCTCCAAAGCTTTGCTGAAGTTAATCTCTTGAGGTTTAGCAGTACCCTTGGTGAGCTTTAGAAATCGAATACATCCTTTAAAACGGATATTAGTCGTCAGCCCAAACTGTGTCACGCCATCTGAAGGAAGGAAAAAAATTAGAAGGAATTATGTTAGTTTGAGTTCATACTTAATTTTGTTCTTTGAGAGTCCTGCAAGAGAACAGATGTCCCCAGCAATATATGAATGTTTTGTTTGCTACATATATTCATTATAAAAAAATTACAGACATTATGAGCAAATGTAATGAATGCTTATGTTAGATAGCAATCCAGAGTTCTTTTCTTTTTCTGTCCTACTATGAAAGTGGCAGAATCTGAACACATATAAACTGCCATTGTAACCCATGTATGCAGCTTGCTACCTACAAATGGTGTACAATACACACATGATGCAGATATTCAGCTTCTCAAGCAGTTTATCCATAGAATAACAGAGGGGGAAAAATATGTCAAAATAGATGCAAGCAATTCTCAGTCCTAACATCACAAAGAAGCCAGTTCCTCAGGATGGATTTCAGATGTCATTTACAGAATGGTTTTGATAGTTTTCAAGTATTCTTTTTTTTCCCCCTTGCTGACAGTAAAGCCAGGAGTTGGAGTATATATTTTCCACTAATGAAGAAGGGGATGGAAGTGAGGGTGGTTTGATTGGGAGGCTGAAATATTTCTCTCAACTGTTTGAAATTTGTGGCTCAACTTGTTTCTCAGTGTTCTTCCAAGTGAGTTGCAGAAGTAACTTTACACTTGCAGAGACTGTCTGGCCACAGCATTATTTTGTTTCACAGAGGATAAGATGGCTGAATCCATCTGTCTCTCCTTGCACAGGGAAAAGTGATACCACAAGATGAATGCTAGCTTTTATGGGTACCCAGGGATCTCTATTCTTGTCCATACTATGGTGGTGAAAATTTTCACTACACAGAAAATTCTCCATGAGTTAATTCTATCTGATTTACAACTGTTTTCCTCTATTTAAGCAGCTTCAAGGGGACTGGAAAATACAAATACTAATTTTACAAAATCCCATGGTACTGTGCTTCAAATTTGTGATGCGGCTGTCTAGGTATTGGGAATGTTAAAACAAATCCTGGATGAGCTAGCCTAGGCAGCAAAAGAAAAGTGTTTACACATGCAGTAGGTTTGTTAAATAATTTCATAACTTGCCATGTGGCTGAACTCATGAATATCCCTTCAACATGAGGTAAGTGTAGGTTAGTTTTGTACAGATAACTGTGTTACTGTGATTTGTATATCTCCTCTTGACATGCAGTCCAGAGCGAGATAGTAACTCCATCTGCAGTGTTTCTTCAGTGCTGGCTCCTATGCTAGAATCTTGTTTTTTTATAAAAAGGCTGCCACAAATCTGTTCTCCTTCTGGCACAAGGTTGTTGGTCTTTATTGATAGTCATTGTGACTAAAGTTCAACTCTCATATGTCAGTACCAAGAACAATTTTTTAAATGTTCCAAAGCTTGAGAGAGAAGGCTTTTTAGATGCACATTAGAATGGGTGAAAAAACAACTTCCAGAAAATAATTTAAGAATTAACTACCTCAGAGGTGTCTTGCCATTGACCTCAGTATGCACTAGAGCTGACACATACTGTAAACATACTTTGCTTTTTTTGTTTTGGTTTGCAAGCTAGAGGGACTATTTATTACAAATGCAACAAAATTGGTACTTTGCAAACATATTAACTGTAATTTCATAAAGTAAACTGCTGTTAGAGAATTTATTGACTGTCTATGAAGAGATGAATACTAGCATTCATTATCAGCTTAGTGGAAGATAAAGCCAGCTACAGACCTCAGCCCAATTCTCGATACTCTTCAATTACCTCTGCATAAAACAAGCTCTCTTGAGGGCTTCCAGAATACTGATTAGCAAATGTAGATTATGGTTTTTTTTCCTTTAAAACCCAGCAGACCACAAGCAAAGGCATTAATTAGAAAGAGATGGTGGTCTTACCTCTCTGTGCATGCTGTTGTTCTTATTCCTCAGTTCCTCAGGTCTTACAGGCTGATTTACACATACACTGTCCTGCCCCCTCAAGGGCATATATACATTCTTTGGTTAAAATTTGCTGTTTCTAAGTTAAATTTAAATATGCCAAATGCTGTTACTACTGCAACATAACTATTATGCTATTGCTAAACAGAAAGTTTTAAGAGGGAGGCTGTGTTTGTGAGCAGCAGAAGGCAGAAAATCTGCCTGATCCCCTGTGACAGTGCCTACATTTGAAATGGGGCAGGGGTATCTGCAAGAGTCTCTTGTTGCAGAACGTCTTGTTCTGAAATACAGCTGAATGCAGAAATGAGCATCCACGCCAACTGATACAAACTCAACCTGTCTTATCAATCATCTTTGGCATACTAGTCCTGCTTACATTTAAGCCATCACCAAGGCAGCATTATTGGAACCTAAGTAAAGCATAATTTTTTGTGTGTTGCATGCTCACCAGGATAGCCTCCAACAAAGAGAGGGTCATTTGTGTCTGCCGAGGTTGAGGCCCTGTTTGGGCTGTCAGTCTCCACCTGTGTGCCATCCACAGTCAGCTCCAAGCGGTGTTTGACCTTGTTTGCAAGAACCTTGTGCCACTGCCCATCACACAAACTGCCTGGTTCATCAGGCTCATAAACAGCAGAGAATCGGCCTGCACCATTGTCAACGTGAAACATCACCTGAAAAGCACGGCATGGACATCAGCAAGTTTTCAAAACAGTTCAGTTGTTTTTTTGAGTTTGTTTGCTTTTTTTGAAGTCAACATGGCTTGACTGTACGCACAAAGACTATGTGCATTGCTGTCCCTCTGGGATCTGGGTTCTATCACTGAGCTAATACAAGTGGAAGTACGCAAAATTGCTGTCTAAGCTGTCATTTTCCCTTTTTTTTGGTCTTTGTTTTAGGATGTTTTACACCCCTCTAAATTATTTATAGTGACAGAATAATGACTGGTTTTCCAGACTTGGATATCAAAAGATATCCAAGAGAAATTAGTATTAATAATGATGAAGCCTTTCCTCAAAACTTCTTACATGGTCACTAATTTAAGACCTGATTGCAGTTTTAGGAGACTCAGGTATTACAGAATCTTTTAAACTATCTTTTATAAGTGTAAGATCCTCTAGATGTATGGGAAGGTGCAAGTGTGGCTCTCCTTCTACAGCCCTGATATTGTTTGAGACATCTTGGGATTGGGATTGTGACCTTGCATTTAAACTACCTATGCTGTCTAAAACCAGTTTATGAAGAAACAAAATGGCTTTACTACTCACTTTTCCACCTACTAATTCGATACCAAGGCCATCCATTTTCTGGCTGCTGACTCCTAGGAGAACACCGTTCATTCGTGTTGTACGGAATTCAAATTCCACAAGTAGATCTGTTCCCACTCTGTATGCACCAACTTAGAGAGAAAAGGGGAAGCACAATAAAATGAATATAAGCATCTAATACATTATTCCTAATAATCATCACACAAATTGTGCTGAGTGTAAGGCAAAGTAACTAACTTGGCATTACTAATGCACTCCATTTCATGCGAAACTGTGTAAATAACTTTTATGGCAATTGTGCTTTGTGAAAGACCTTGCTAGGAAGTGAAAGACCTTGCTAGGAAAAACATCGTTTTTCCTCGGGTGGGATAACTAAAAATGATCAGCAAAAGTTTCAAGTACTGGTCTCACTTTGCCGCCAGGCAACAGGAGTTAGATAGCACTGTGAGTTTTTGAAAGCAGAATCTCCTCTTTCTCTGTTTTTTGACCAGAATTGTTCATTACCTGCTTTGGCAAAGCCTGTTCCATCGAAGTATGTTCCCTTCTGTGCAGTGACAAAGCATTTTCCAATGTTGAAGCTGGAAGTTGGATTATTCAGGTCAACAGGTGATTCTGTCATTTTAAAATTCCTGATGCAGCCATCAATGCTATGGAGGACCTGCAGTCAATATTTCAAACAAAATGTAAAACTGTGAGAAGCAAGCTTAAAGCATGCAATCAATGAGCGCATTTTCTCTGCTTCTCTGCTGGATTTATGGAGCTGAATAAAACTTGAATTTTACATGGCTAATCCTTAATATCTGATTGTAATTGGAAACTATTCTTAATCATACTGAAGATGAATTACATTACTTTTCAGGGATGTGATCTGAGTCACATCTATTTGGCTTACTGGAAAGGACATAAAATAATACACCACATAATGAAACATAGCAAATTACATCAGCAATGCAGGAATTTAATGGCCTGTATTTTGCCTTTTTAATTGACTAGGTTATGGGGTTAGCAAGTAGATGAAGATAGTGGCTATAGTTCTCTGGGCTGCTGGTAATTTTACTTGGTGGGTTTTCTTTTTTCCCTTCCTTTAATTACTTTACTGTGGGCCTAATGTTGCATGGTAAGACAGAGGTAATGCAGGTAACATCACTACTAAAATGAACAAAGTCCCTCTGGGAATATTGTTGACTGCACATAGTCTGATGACTTCAGTGATGAGGGCCACTCAGTTGGCCAGAGAGGCAGGTGGAGGCAGGGAATGTGTTCATGTCCATGGAGGCTGCTGTGCAGGGTAGCAAATTGTAGCTCCAGTTTGGCTCCTGTGCTGGGCACACTGAGACCCCCAGCCAGGGGTCTGGGCACACTTAGAATAGTGGTTTGATTGCCCACGAGTCTGCCTGGGCCAGGGATTTTTCTGGCTGTAAACAGGGTATCCCAGTGGGACCTCTGAAAGCCACTGGCATCTCCTCCAGAACTCGCCCTCCCTTTTTCTCTCCAAGGTCAGCATAAGCTGCATTTTTGTTCTCAGATTCAGAGAGAGGCTTTGATCTTTAACTTAAAAACTGGAAAATCTATCCTTGATACCAGTGAGACAGAGGAAAATGATACATCATGTACTTGCAGGAAGAAAAAGAAGATATATTCATAAGCAGTGCAGTAGAAAGGAGGAAAATAAACACCAGTGTATACAATTCAGCCTAGAAATACCTACAAATACAAAAAAGACAAAGAGGCACACCTGCAGACAGAAGTCTTGACTCTGCTCACTACCCCCTCTAATAATATTCTGACCCGTAATTGGAAAGAATTTCCAAAAATTTATTTTCTTGTAAATCAAAGCTGTATGTACTATGAAATTATATAGCTTAATATATACCTGTACAATATTTTCATGAGAATATGAGCAACACCTGTGAATAAATTCAGTTCTGAGCTGAACAATTCTGTCAGATTTTTCATAAGTAATCCTTTTTGTAATTTCTAAGTAAGTAATCTCCAGATCAACAAATCTTGTTATCAAAAAAGAGAAGCGCCAGAAAACAAAACAAACCTTCACTGCAAGAATAATTCATAGGAATGCAAGATTTGTAGATGATTTGGTAACATTTTCTAACTTTACAATTTTCTCTTCTCTATGGAAAAGTGAATCTGATTAGCATGGGAACAGCAATAGGACCTCTTTTGCTGAAAGCAGAGTTTTGAGTGCTCAAAACGCGACATCTGCTGAAGCTCAGCAAGTGGATGTTGGTTTTCTACACTGAAAAGGAAGCCAACCCACCATGGTTATACAATAGATTACTGTCTAAAAGGATTAATGTGTGTACAGAAGAAAGCCCTGACTAAGGTAACGCATCCTTTCAACTTGGTTTGCTTCAGAGCCTCTACATGAAGCTACAACCCAACAGTCTTATACATTGCAGTGTATTTTACTGAGCATGACTGGAATGCAAACATCATCTTTCACATGACATTAGAAGTCACAGTTTCATTTAAATCCCAAAGCACATAAGACTGTCAGGACCTGACATGACTGTTTTTGCCAGATCTGAGCCATTAATCTGCATGGGTTCCCTCCATTACCTCTAACAAATAGCAATAGGTAAGGACACAGTGTGATCTTTCTCCTTAGATTTGTAAGTGTAAATTGCAGATATATTTCAAAGAGCATAAATTGATACTACTAGGAATTATATGTTGTGGGTAATGTATTGCTTTTGGTTTTCAGTGCCTCAGATCTGGTTTGGTAAATCCTAATGATATAGATTTGCCTCAATTTGGGCTTTCTGCACAATCAATTATTTACTAAGAAACATGATCTTACAGGTCAGTTTTCTTTATGGAATACAACCCTCAGATGTAAAGTGGTTACTCATCCTCTTCATTCCCTATGCATGAGTTAATACATGGACTTAAGCAGAATCTAGGAATTTCTTTTCTGTATTTATTTTGCCCACTCAAAGAAGGGAACTATTTCCTGTCCATAATGGTACTGGACATTGGAAAATGGTATTTTCCATTCCATAACCATCTTGGTATAATGGTATTTACTCATGTGCAGCTTCTTTGGGAGTCTGTTTTGTTTCCTTACCAGATTTGTGCTTTTTCTGATCTTCATGGATTCTCTGTACCTACCCAGGAGGAACTCAGACATACTTCCTACTGACATTCCCTTTTTTTGTGTGTCTGAATTGTGCTGCGCTAGATGCTGAATTTGTTGTTTACAATAATTAAATTCATTCACGTTCTGGTGTCTGCTTTGAAAGAACCATCTTCACAGAGAGGAAAAGAAAGCATGGAAGAGGTTTTTCTCCCATTCTGATACTGGTGTATCTTGGGAGGTTGGAAGGGCATCAGTGAGACGACTAGCATGGAGTTGTGCAGATAGATGCACCAGGGTGACAGAATATAGTGTTCCTAGTTAACTCTACAAAATTTAGGACAAAATGATATTTATTTCTCTGTCATCTTCCATGTTAGCATGGAAGCTGGGCATATGAACCAAAATAGTGATAAATTTATATACGCACATTTAATTTGGAAACAGAAAGAGGACAGCAGAATTTGCATGGCCTTCCTTTAAAACACACTCTCTCCTCTTTTAGTAATAGCAACACAAAACTGATTATTAGAGCAAGCAGCAGTATACTGGGTACATTGTCCAGGGTAATTTTGGCTTCTGCTGCTCCTTGTAGGAGATCCTTTCACTGTTTATTAGCATTTGCTGCCAGGTTAATTACAGCCAAGAGAAAGGGCAAGTGGTACTCAGGAACCTATACTCTAGCTGCGCAGTGATCCAAGTAGATACAAGCATATGGAACTTTCTGCTCTTCCAAAACAGTAAAAAACTCTGCTATTTAATTTTTTTTTTTTTGCATTAATTGGATTCTGAATCAGATCTTTCCACTGATAGAATGCTGTTTATCTCCACTAAGGTCCATTTTATCCATATCCTTGAGCAGTCTGAGAGAAAAGCAAGACAGAACAAAACTGGGAAGACATTTGCACCAATCAGGACATACTTAAAACATGTGAAATAACTTAAACAAATTTGCTTACCGGACCAATTCTCCTGGTTGTGTAGTTAATGGGCAATCCTCCCACATACAGCATTCCTACAACATCCAGTATATCAGCCTTCTTGGGGCTCACAGTCCCGTTGGAAACACCATCTACTATGAGGTTTCCTTCTTGCTTCACTCGACTTACTTTTATCTAGAAGGACACAAAAATGTGATACAGTTACAGTAAGTTTTCTGTCAATCAAGTACTTTCAGATTGTAACTAGTGTTACAGTCCAAAATAGATAACAATACACAAGAAAGTAGTAGGAGTGGTTACAGAAGTACCACAGCAGCAGCTATGGATAATATTTATAGAACAAAGCTTCTGAGCAAGGTTTTGTACCAACATCTGACTGTGTTTTACTTACATCTGGGTCAGGAGGCATAATGAAAATTATTTACTAGGATTAATGAAAAGACCTGAGATGTCTTTAAAATGCTTCATTGTTATGTTATAATAGGCATGACACAGTATTTTTTTTTTTCTGGAATCAGACAGCAATTTTAAGTACAGAGAATAGATAAGTACTTCAGAATAAATGCTGAATGTTATGGAAACAGTTGCAAATCTTTATAGCAGCACATGTTTGCAGAAAATATGGAGTTTGATTTCACTAGCTTGGACATGCCTCAGATCATAGTTCATGCTAGAGTCAATACAATCCCAAGTATGTTCTGCTGGTATTATGGCTTTTGTTCAGACAAGTGGACTGTGAATTGCATGAAGGGAGTGCAGTTGCTGAAGACCTGAGAAAAGTCTAGGCCAATGTCTTTCTAAAAGTTTATATTGAAATTTCTACAGCTACCATAATAATGGCTCTGCATAAAAATGAATAAATGCAAAATGCATCATGCATATTAGCAGATTCCTAAACAGTGTAGTAGTTGGCTCACCAGAATAGCAGAGAGACAAACAGCATTTTTTAGCTTTTCTTTAACATGGCTGCTTCTGCTCCAGTGTGGCAGCGTATCTGTTACGCAGTGGGAATGACAACACTGACAAGGATGGCCTGAACTTGGTGTTTACAGGCAACTGTAAATTTGAGATGGATAACTACACCTTGGGCAAAAGGAAGATTAGGTGGGTGAGACAGGAACTGGGAACAGACATTCTTACAGAGAACCTAAACAGAGAGCAGGATAGCAGCAGGACCAAGTAGCTTCTGTAGGACTGATGGAAATGTTTTTAACCTAAATCATTCCAAACAGAGAAAAGGTTGTCACTAAAGGATTATTTTAAGGAAAAGCCCCTGCTTTATCAGAAACAAAGACTGTGGCCTTTTCCTAAAAGCGTTGCCTTCCCTCCTTCTCAAATTTTTTTTTGCTTTTTGGGAACCGAGACTTTGTCTCTGTTCTGTGCTATGGAAACAGGATCTACAAAAAGGATCCCTCTCTTGTGGAGTGCATGCCCAAAGAGTACAATCTTACATTAAGAAATATATGCTCCACTTAGTTCTCTTAGACTAAAAAGAAAATTGGCTAAAGAAGCAAAAGCATCTCTTCTGTATCCACAGAGGGAGTAGCAGAATGGGGCCTTGGTCTGCTGCCAGTGCTTCCAGGCATTATATGAAAGAGATAAATGATTACTACAACTTCATTTTTTCCCTTTATGAAATATCTTGGTTTAGAGGAGTTGCTATCATCAAAAAGTTCATGACTGAAAACCTAGTGAAAATAAAATTCCTGGAGAACAGAGTGAAATGAGGCAATTAAAGTGTAAGAGAAAAAGCAATTTGATTTTTTTCTCATTTGGGGATGAGATGTGGATGCTGAATTTCTAAATATCTGTACAAAATTCAATGTAACTTATAGCATATAAATTCAACCCACAGTTACATGTATGCTTTGCTTCTCTGTCTTGAATGGTGCCTTCCAGCATGTCACCAAGTGAATATACTGTGTGTCTGTTGTCCTTGGCCAAGTAAATAGTAAATTTCATGGCTGTTATATCATTCCTTCTCTATCATCCAAGTGCTACAGGCATTGCGTATAATGGTCCCTCATAAAGTCACAGAAGGTGCTGCCAAATAAATCCATGAATATCATATTTATTCCCTACTGAATTAATAATCCAGGGAAGGTTTACTTACATGTTACTACTTTTTTTTTCTTCTTTGTTCTCAGCAATCTGCCTTAACAATGGCATTATTAATGTAGAAAAAACTGGTTTTAATGATGTATTCCATCATCATGAGCTGATACTCACATGAGTCCTATTAAGCAGGAAGGAACATTTTCTGTCGTTCCTTACTATACATGGCACATATTTTAAATATGTTCAGAAATATGTGTTTCCAGAAGGATAAATTTCTGCGCACCAGTGCATCTGACAAATTTTTTTGCTAGATTATTTTCTTTTTTTTCCCCAGAAAATACTAGTTGTAAAGTTTGGCTTGTGTGGACTACATTTTGCAAATATCTCAAGGCAAAACAAAGCTCACTCTTACCATTACAAAGAATAATTTAGAATTAGACACTATTATACCTGGTGCCACTGGCCATCATTTATTTTGTTGGAAATCATTGTGCTGGTGTTTCCACTCCCCAGATCATAACTGAAGTAAGGCAGACCATTCTTTATCTGAACTGCAGCAAAATCAGCATGGTTGATGCGGGCCATATAAAACAGCAAGCCAGAATCAGCTGTTGTTCGGACTTCAAATTCAATTGTAAGCCTAGAAATCAAACAAAAAGGAAACAGTGAAAATGGAAAAGATATTTGGAGCCAAATATGCACTAGGCAAATTCACCTGCTTTACCTTTTTGGGTTTTTTCTAAAACAATTTTATTCTGCTAGTGGTTAATTTTACTTGTCCATTAGAATTCAAGAAAAATAATCTGGTTTTATGCAAATTACATTTCACACCTATCTGATCCCTGACATGTGAGCATTCATTAATTCCTTTGCTGTGGAGATACAAAACTACAATCCTGGCATAGAATTTCAAGACGTAATTCTCTGTTGCAGCTGTAGCAGCTAGAAAATCCCAGCACTTGTAAAATTCCAGCAGCGTTATCCATCATCCACACACATAATGCTCACAAAGAGGAGAGAGCTGTAGTGACAGCTGGCAAATGTTGAGTTTCTAATGAGTTGTATTGCCTGAAGACAGGTTGCAAAACTTTTAAAGATGCAGACAGAAGAGTTTACAATGAGGATATAAAATACTTATTCTGATCTCTCCCAAGAGAAAATGAGGCTGTGTCTGAGCAAACCTAATGACCCCTTGGACAGAATGGTAATGTTCAGAACCTCCTCTACAGCAAAGAACCTGTGAAGAAATTATTTAGATTTTCTAATGCTATTGAACTGGCAACACAACACTAACTTTGCTCAAGCTGAGCTGCAAAGTCAGTACCTGAAAGCAGCTGATAATATAAATGAAAAATCATTGCATGAAAATGATCAGTCCAGGATCATTCCTAGTTTTCTACTTTTCTAAAATGAGCATATGTGGTACAACATCTTTTATAGGGATAAATAAATGTGGGGCTAATGGATTTGGAAACTATAAGCAGCAAAATTGCTTAGTGATGTGTCATGGCACATTTATTACTGACCAAGTGCCTGCAGAACAACAACAAGAAAAACCCCAACAAATTCTATCTTCACGAATCCATTTAAAAAAGGTTTTATAAACAGTTCATGGAATTCCTTTGCATGTCAACAGCTATATGTATATAGTGTTATTATATAGTGTTATACTTCGGGGTAGCAACATAATTTTTCCTTTTTACTGTGCAATATTGATTTTAACTATTGGAGGAAAAGGGAAAAAATTCCTTATTAAAAGAAATTATCAAGTTACTGAACAAAAAAACTTTCCTCTGAAAACGCCATCTTTGAAGTACGTTGCACAACCTGATTCTATTACTCTGGTTTTTAGGAAATCAGTCTGGGATCTGTGTGTGCCCAAAACATTACAAAGAAAGAGGTAAATTGTTTTTGTGAGAGCTACTTAGTTGGGCATTTCATTACCTAGATTTTATGCTTTCATGCTTTTTTAGGTTTGCTTAATGAAATTAATTAGTTATGGCGTGTGATCTTTTCAGATTATGTCCATAGTTTAGGGAAATACCTTTGAGAGAATCAGGAGGGGCATTTTATTTTGACACTATTCCACCAAAACTCATTGCTGAAACAAACAACATACCTGTTTTTCACTTTGCTGTCATCGAATGCAACTGCAATGTGGCTGTTCCTTGAAAGACCAAACTGCTTGCCACCTTCTAAAATGGCTGGTTCTGTGTCAGCAGCACAGGAATCCTGCAAAATATACAGCAATCATGCAAACTTCACATTTTGTATCTGTCTCAGCTGTGCATATGCTGAGAGTCTCCCAGCTGCTCAGGACTGAGACTATTGTACTGAGACGAGAGACTGGCCCTGCAATTTTCCAGTGGGCTGATGTCTCATCACACCAGCTAAAGTTATAAACCAGTCTGACAAGAACTTGGTATAAAAGCAGAGCTCATTAAAATAGCTGTAAAAGCAAATCAAAGTAATATATGAACATTGCTGCTTTCATGCTTTCACCAGTGGACATTTACAAGAGACTTAAGTGATTTCCAGGCAGTTCAGGCAGTACTCTTAGCTCACATAACTGAGTTTTACACAGTAGGATGCCCTCTTACAGAAATGAAACAAGATTTAAGTTTTAAAGGGATGCTTTGTTGTCAACTTGAAATCCAGTCACCTTAAAAATAATGAGTTAAAAGTAGTTTCAGATCCTGCAGCTGTCAATGAGTCCTTCATTTTATTTCACTATATTGTTTTACAGCTGTATTCTTTGCTTAATGTGCAGTTGTTTCCCCTGGTGCTGTTGGAAGGCCCCCACAAACAATCAGGGAATCCGAATAACTGATGGATAGATGAAACAGCTGTTGAAATCCCCCAGCTGTCTAATGCAGAGACATTACCCAGCCTGTGAAGAAACAAACCCCTCCCTGTAGTTCCACTTCTATTAATCTTGAAGTGGTGCAACAATGCAAGGTAAAATATCTTCTGCCCACTATAATTTTCTTGTTTTAATTTCACCAGGTCTTTTAATCTCTGGTCCTAAATCTCTTGTATAGGGGTGCCTGTGGCAATGTGAGACCATGGCAATTACCAGCTTCTACTTATGTCTGGCTTTTGCCTCCCACTGAGAGTATTGTGAGGAAAATACTCAAAGGATCTAACTCAACAAAAAGCAGATAATACTGCTGGGAAAAAACCCAACTTTGATAGCTGCAGGCTCTGTTTTTAAGCACTGTGGCTGCTATCATTTTGGATTGGTGACAGACTTTTATTTGAGCCCTGACTCAGCAGGGGCCTGCAAAGCACAAGGTGCAGTGCCTTGCTGACAGAGTTCCTTCTCTGAAACATTTTGAAAATGTCATGAGTGACTTAAGCCCTGAGATTTCAATGCAAAGAGGAAATTTACTTCCCTCTCCCACTTAGTTTTTCAGTAATATTTTTTGCTTTCATACATCACAAAAATCTTCACAACTGTATAGAACACCTCTAAAATATAGTTTTGCATAATAAATGCTGTGGTTTGACTATGACAGAGTAGAACACCATGCATTATGACAAGAACAATTGATACATCAATATGCAATGGAGGGAAAAAAACAGAAAATTCACCAGGACCAAGCAGGGTTATAAATGTATAATACCAGACTTCCAGTGATCATCAAAAAGGAAAAAAAACATAATATTCCCATATAGCAGGGTAAAATTTTGAATTATTTTAAGCTCTACAGGCTTAACAAGAAGTCTAACAACTAAGCTAATGACAATACCATGCATTTAATACCTTCAATTACATTTTAGCTTGCTAAAATTTGAAGACAAGGAATAACAACTGGTACTGGAAAGAACTGGAAAATACATACAGACACCTTTCTCTGGCACACTTTTATATTTTACATGGTAAAAGGATATATTCTGACAGTAAATTTAATCCTAGGCTGGTATATGTTAGTAAGGGGTCTGACGCTGACAAGCTGCTCCTCAACATCAGTAAACACAGCAGTTTTTCTTCATTGCAGCAGGGTGACTGTAAGAAAGGGCAAGGAGTGTGGGAGAGTGTACAACACACCATGGTGGCTGGAATCATAACATACACTGATTGTTTACTAATAACTAGTAATAGTAAGCATTCATTAGGAAAAGACAGCAAAAGGAAAAAAAAAAACCAAATGGCAGGGCATGTTTAAAAAACATCCATATTTTATTCACAAGCCTGTGCCCACTTTTGTTTTATCTAAGGACAGCCAGCTTTACAGCTTTCACCAGACTGTGCATTAAGTGTGGGTCACCAGCCTGTATTAAAATATCTCAGCTTTGCTTTTTGAGTAATGGCCTTAATGTGTCTTGGCTGCTTAATAATCTGCCACATTACACGAGAGACTGAACTCTTCAGCTGCACTTCACTTCAGTCTTGGATGTCAGGAACTTGACTGATAGGTCAAGAAGTTCAGTGTGTATGGCAGTGGAAATGAAGAACAGAAAAGGCCACTGGTGGACTGTCACACACTCTCCATTTTCTCATTTGCTGTATTAGTAATTACAAAGAAAGCAATTAGTAGAGAAAGCACTGAAGCAGTCCCCACAGTTCACGGGATACTGTTCATAACACAAGGCAGAAATGCATGGACCAAAAGTGGGCGGTACCGTCACGGAGTCAAAGGCAGAAGGAAGGCTGGCGCTCTTCGTTTCAGCAGCAAGCGAGCCCTGAGGAGCCGGGAACAACGTGAGGCAGAAGCAGCAGTTACCCAGTGTTGAGGAACATTATGGCATTCACAGCAAGCAGCAACAGACTGGGGGCTGGTGTATTTCCCAACTGTCCTACTCATGGGTCTTGTCTTGCGTTTAGTACAGGGTAGGTTTTTTTCCTCATTTGGGATTCAACTGCCCTCCCCTTTTACATGCAGACAGATATAGGTAGATAAAAAAGGTCCTAAAAGTACTCAAATAGAGCATATAAGTTATTTAAGCCTCCTATGTGAAAATAGATTTTTCTGCTGTACATTTTCCATATGCAGTCCTTCTACAATGAGATTCTCTATAATTTACATATAATTTAGTATGAGTGCCATCTTATACGAGTGTTACCTCATCACCAGACTGTAGCTACTTTTTTGCAATAGACCCCTTAAAAATACTTTGAAAAACTCACTAATACGAATGTAACAGCTATCCAAAAGCTTGCTTTATTTAAAATAGTTTCAAGCCTTCAGCATACTAAAACAGTTTCATTATTTCCAAGAGAGAAGGGAAGTAATGGTGTTTTATTTAGAATTCCTGTTTTAAATTATCACCACTCTAGATAGGTGACATACAAAACTCACCTAGCTGGAATGGGCCTAGTTTCTGATATTAATGAGCAGACCTATTCCTCTCAATTTTGCTATTTTAAAAGTTAGTGTTTATAGTCTTAGGAAGTGTGCACTTGCTCTTTCATGCTCTTCTGTGGTTTAATTATTTAAGGTTTGATCAACAGATACTACAACGGCATTCCTTCACAACAGTGAACATTAAACAGGATAATCCTTTTTACCTTGTTGTCTGGTTCCTTATCTTTCTATAGTAGCCTTACTGTACTGCAAATTTGCTTTGAACTCCAAACGGAAGAGCTGCATGGGAGCCCTGGTGCTACAACTACTCCACCTTGTGGGAACGAGTCACAGCCGCTGTCCCAGAGCATTGAGAGGCCGGTGTTTGTAACTGCGGGGCTTGGGGCACGGTAATAACTGAGATGGAGCTTGCCTACCGTGAACCCAAGGCTCCCATTTCCATGCATGTGATGTGGAGATTTCAGTAATACCTGATAAGTCCTTTTAGATAAAGCTGTGCCATATATACTGGCCAACAAAGGTGGTCATGTATCTCAAATAGAATTTTGGCTCTTAACTTCTCAAAACCATTTAATTGTTATTGAAGTGTAAATTCCAGTAATGCAAATAGGTTCCTAACTGGGGAATGTGCAGTCTTTTCACACATTTTGAAACCTCACTCATATTAAACTATAGCCTGCATAAACCTGTCGGTTGTATTCAGGTCTAACAAAATACAAATAATTTTCCCTTCAAAAATATCTTCTGGTGTATGTATTATTCATTTTAATATTCAGATGTGTAAACATATGTTTGTGAATAGTAAAATGTTGCATCAGCTTATAAAACTACTACACTTGTGAGAGAAGGAGTTTCTTCCTTAAATTTTGTTGTATAAGACTGCTTGCCACTATCTCACTGTCTATTTCTGGTAACAACAGTTGAGCTCAGTTTAGCAGTGACTGGGGTTTCATTTTGTAATTCTCCAGACTGAAGTTATAAAATAGCAGTGGAGGAATTGCCATATCGAATAGGCCCCCTGGTTTATCTTTTCCTTCATCACGTCACTGCCATGACTGTTACCATGTGCACCAGAGACCAGCACAAGAAATATCATAATGAAATGGATTGCCCATGGGAAAATTTCCCTTCCAACCCCAAGCAAATATTGCTTGGCTTACACCCTGAAGTGTAAGGGTTTACAGTTAAGCATGCAATCCAAAGATATTTCTAAAGCTATATAATTCTTTAAATTACTGTTGTGATAATCCAAGCAAATGGTATCAGCCAGTTTTCTATTATCCACAGGTTTCAGTGACCTGCAACACGGTGTTCCATTTACAGTATCATGCGGAATTGTCACTATTTTTGTGGCAAAATGCTTCATTTTTCTTGAGGAATAGCCTTTCAGTTTTGCCTGGAAAAAACTTTTCAAACTCTACCTGACTGAAGTGGCTTAAACTTACAAGTGCTGACGATAGATATGGTGTTGGAGGAGTAGAAGCAGGAGGGATTCTTGGCCCTTCTTTCTCTCCATTAGTGTCTGGTTCAGGTTGGACCAGAACTGTTGCACGAGTTGGTTTATCTTCATCCTCAGTTGGCCTAACTTCTGGTTCTAGTGTGGGACATCGGCCAATATCTGCATTTTCAAAGGACACGGGCTGAGCAAAGTCCATAGGGCTGAGAACACACAAAAAGAGTGATGTCTGTTATTAGTTTTTTGCCTTTTTACCACCCATTTATAAAGAACAACTACATGCTGCAGTATAATTTCACTTCACAGACACAAATGCCAAGACTCATCCCACCCTGTACAGGTAGGTACAGGTACAGAAGCAAGACACAAACTAGAAGTGATAGTGACCACTGGCTTTTCTTCCTACAGTCAGTGCAGAGAGACAGGCATCCTCTTTGGCAAACTTTACAGGCCTATGTAGTTTCGATGGTATTACAGAGAAGTCATTTACTCTCATGTAGAGTAATAAAATCCTAATTTAGGTATGTCAGATATGCAAAAGAAAGATTTAGATGGAAACTTTCTACAGAGGTTTTATTTTATTCACCATCGCCTTTACTTTTACTCAAACGTTCCTTCCAGATTACTGCACTTTCCACAAAGTAAATTGATTCCCATGGTGGTTCTCAGAATTTTGACTTCTCTTGGAAGTCACCCCTACCTAAAACAAAGTGTTAGAGTACACCATAAATAGCTATCACTTATGTACATCTTACTGCAGCGTTACTGCTAAATTTCTCTGATTTCATGGATAAAAATGAAATCAGAGAAATTCAGCAGTAATGCTGCTGGCTATTGGCTTGTCTGTAAAACAGCTCATTAATTGCATAGCCTGTGGAGCATATACTGTAGACAGAAAAATGGAATGGCATATAAAGAAAGCAGATAATCTAGGATTTGGGGTTAGTATGATTAGTTGCAACAGTAAACTTTCTTCTGGCAACCAAAGCAGTTCAAGCAGATCTCGTTAACTGGAAGTTTCTTGGCATCGTTGATACTTACGTGGCATTAATGACAAGATTCCATATACAGCCCTCAAACGGTGGTATGTTTCTGAGAGGTGCAGTCTGAAACTGAGAAGATGTACCCCCCACAAAGAGTTTCTTAACAGAGATGGGCTGGTCTGATGGAAACCTCTGAGTCTGGACTTTGTCTTCATCGACTTGAACACTGAACATCCTGTGGAAAAGATTTGAAAGCAAAGAAATATATATTTTATGCTGGTTATTGCTTGTATTGAAATCACCACTTTGCAAGCCCCGTTTACTCCTACACCAGCTGTAACAACGAGCAATTCAAATTATGTAATTGGCAGCTCACATTAAATGCATATTAACCACTATAAGGGTTTCAGCTGCTGCTGTGCTTCCTTGGTAGTTGTTTGACAAAGCCTGGCAAAACTGCTGTGTAGGGGTGATAATGTCAGACTGTGGCTGCATAAGAAGTGGTTTGTGGCAATACAGACACGGTAAGGGCTGAGCTGGCTGTACTGTGATGGTAGATATAATCATCTAGAGCTCAGCAGGATGGAAACAGCACGGGGTCACACTTTGTTAGGACTCCCTATTTCCTTAATATCTTCTTGCTGGGGCACAACCAGACTGCTCTGACTGCAGGATCAATGGCAGACACACAGTACACTTTTAAAAGATCTTATAGCTTCTTCTGGGGGAGGTGGCAGAGGAGGAAAACTGCTGATTGTTCACAATGTACCCATACAGGCGCTATAATTCATTCCAATGGGTATTTCACATGGCACAAGCAAAAGACAAAGCAGTCCCATGGTTACTGTTAAGGCTGAAAAAGGAAGGTAGGAGCCTCTGCAGAACCACTGGCTGACTAGTCAGTCTCTGGTAAATAAATTCCCTTTTGTCAACTGCAAAATTATATTGAACTCTGATATTCTTTCTTAACTATAATTACAAATGCAAGCAACCGAATATTGAAAATGCTTATTGAAAAGAGACCTGTTTTCAAATACAAAATGCTTGGCTTTGTTATTTACACACATCCTAGACAGAAATGGACAGTGACTTAAGCACCTGAATTACATAAGTGCTGTACTATGTGTAAATTGTCCAGTTTCCTCATAGTTTTGGATTAATTAATTTGTTTGGAAAGCTGCAGAGTAAGAAATTTGATTAATTTTTCAAAGGGTAAGAGAAAGCAGTTACTAAAAGACTTATCTTTCAGGACAATCCCTATGATATCTCCCAGTCCCTTCAGCAGTGGAGAGAGATTTCTCTGGAGGCAGTTGAGAGAAAAAGATCAATTTAGGTTCCATGAAGTATCCCAGAGACAACATTTCCCTTCTCTGCCTTCAGAGGAAGTGTAGAGAAGTCAAGAGTGCCAAGACTCAAATTATCCTTTTTGGTGCTGCATTTCAGCAGTGACTAATCATCGCAAACATTTTGGGTCCAAGCTGATTGTACCCAAAATCAGACTGCAATGATGTACATTAGTCTTCAACAATATAATTTTTCATAATTATTGGGAAATTATCTCTCCGCAGAGTTTTCACAGGGTGTTCCTCAAATTTAAAAAAAATAAAACTTGAGATCATGATGAGCAGAGGAAGGGTTAATTTTAATTTATGTCTGCAGAGTTTTCACAGGTTTCACATGTTTCACAGGTTTCACAGAGTTTTCACACGATCACAGCTTGAGATCATGATGAGCAGAGGAAGGGTTAATTTTAATTTATGTCTTTTCATATCTATTTCAGGCTACAAAAGCCTCAGAGTTCAGGCATTTGTTTTGTAACAAAGCTACTTTGAAAACACAGAGGTCTCATCTGAACAAGCACCATCACTGCATAGCATTGTACCACAATTTTGCCTTGATGTACTCTCACATGTGCCCTCATAAGGTCAAGCTAACTGTACTTGCTAGACCACTGCATAAAATAATTTACTTTGTTGTTTAGAGCTTTTTATTATCATCCGCCTGTTTATGTTCTGTCACAGTGACACAAAATGTATCACAAAATGCAGTCATCCATTTCCTAAAAAAAACTTTTTTTTTCCCAAAGCATTTACAGTTTGACTTTGACCTAGTCATCAAAGTAGAATTTACACGGTTTGTCAAAGCCATTAACACATTTGCTTCATCAAATTAGCTGTGCTGTGTGGTCTGTATCACTTGTAGGTATTTGTTACCCTCTAGCTCGTTCTATCCGGATGGAATGTGCTCTGCCGTCGTGGAACTCGCCAGCCTCTGGTCTGATGGTGATTCTGTGCGGATCCCGGATCCCAGTGGAGACGTGCACTTCTAGCCGACCTCGGTTCAGGAACACGGCATAGTAGGCCTGCAAGGTATGTGTTGGAGTGGAAAGGTAAGTTGCATTTGGAAAGAAATTATTTCACTTAGTTTTACATTAATATGTATGTTTTATTGTCTTACACTGGCTGTTAATATGCTCACCGTAGACAAGATACTGCAGTTTCAGTTCTGCTGCTATGCTCAGATTCCAGCATTTTTATAATGAGGAAGAGGTAAAATGAGGTCATGCTGGAAGACGTCAACAGAAGATTGAACTCTCTATCTATTTACAGGGAAGGATGGAGACTTCTAACCTATAATTATTCTGATTTTTATTGTTACAAGACCTGCTCTTAAACTCATCAAGCTCTGAAGTGCATTGACCTCAGCTTGAGTTCTGTGTTTGGGGGGCTGGCAAATCAAGCCAGTAGTTACTCCAGCACCAGCATCATATTGTGGCAGATTTCAGGATCTAAACTCCAGTTAGTATAGCAATAAGAGATCATGTTCACCTCTGTGACCTGAAGAGCTGGGAAATAATGAAGGAGCACCTAACCTGAAGATAATGTCATCCAGGTTAGCCTGTCCCTGGATTGTGTTACTCTAGGTCATCAAGAGCTCTCTTCCAAAATAGCCAGAAAGGAGAATAATGAAGTACCACTTCCCAGAAGTCCTGAACAAAGAATGAATCAACACAATCTGTTTATTGCTGCTGTAGTGTGCCTTTCTGTCAGGATTTTAATCAAGATTTAATCAAGACTTGAATAATTTCTAACAATTTCTAGTAAGTAATCACACTTACATCAGTCACTCAGAGACTGTGGACTAATACAACAAATTTGTATTTTATGAGAAAGAAGGAGAGGCCAGACCACTCAAGTCATAAATTTCACATCAGTGATGCCAAACAAGGGGCTTATCTCTTCACTGTGTTCACAGCTTTTTTTTTTCTTTTGGTCTCAGGGAAATTAGAATGATACTCATTTATGTCTCTATGAACAGGATTGAGATAGTGTCCCGGTATTAATAGTGCATAAGTAGCCCTCAAAATGAGTGAAGAACAGTATTTTCTAATATTTGGGTTTGGTTAAAAAAACACAACATGGAATATAATAGAAAACCAAATCTGCTGCTTAGCAACAAGCAATGGATACATGACTATAAATCTGTAAGAGAAACAATTTCTCCAAGATAAAAAAACAATTCTGAGCTTCTATTAGATTCTTCATCAGATAAAGGATGACACTAGAAATAATTTATTCCAAATACCTGAATTTTAACTTAAGCATAAACATCTGACAGTGTCTTGAAACAAACTCGGGCAGTTCAGAAGAATTGTGGGGTTTTTTTATATCTTTTGCCAGGCTCCTCTTACCTGTCCTGTCTGCCTGCGCTTTCTCTTCAGAGAAGCAGCTTTCTTTGCAGAGTGCCTGCGCTTTCTCCTGGGGGGGACAATTGTGCCACCTGTGCCAAACAAGATGATCCCAGACTCATTCCTGGTGCTGAAGGAGAGATTGATTTCTGTGCCCACGTCAAAGGAGACCGGCTGCAGTTCCACAAAACCTGGCTTGGAGAAGCTGACTGTGTGAATGTTCTGTAGGAAGGAGAGGACAGCAAAGTGCATTAGCAGAATTAAAAGCAAGATTATGAATGCACAGGAAGATTTCTGAACTAAAATAATAAAACATGTAAATGTAACTAGTGTGAAAAGATGGAAAGTAATAACAAACACTGAGCAATTTACTCCTCAAAGTGTTCTGCAAACACTTTTAGTTTATCTGTTTACATCTGGCATCATTTGCATTTGTGGAATCCTGTCTTACAGGAAGGCAAAGTTCCAGTTTTATTTCGATCTATCCTCTTGGATTAAAAATAACTGCTCAAGGTTGTTTTTATTTTATATATGTGTTTTCCATTGAGTTAATGCAGTTGGAACTTGCTTTTAAATCTATACAATAGGTAATAAAACCCAATATGAACCTAAACTATTATTTGTCAGATGTGCTGGGAAAATACTTTTCATGAATCTTTATTACTTCACTAAGCACCACTGCTTTCTTGGTTACTCAAAGTCATAAATGAAGCACTTGTTGCACATGGCCTAACTCTTCAGACATTGATAGCCATTAACACAATTTCAAGAGTAAAATATATCATCAAATAATAAGTCAGTGCATACTCCCAAAGATTTTCTGTCATCACTGCCAATTCATGTATTCTTCCTGATGTGGAAGACCAACCTTTAGAAACAAGAGACTTTTTCTAAAGTAGTCACCATTTGCTCAGTACAGCAGAACTGTTTCCAGGTCTAGAGATAAATTATGTCAGGTAAAATCATTCCTGATGGTGCCCACCTTTCTCTGAAATCAGAGGACATTTAAATGACTGAACACATATCCAGTCTTTACCCTTTACTTCTGCTTCACTTCTTTCTAATTTCCCTACATCTTGTTTTGTACAATTAGACTATTTTATTTATTTCTTTAATACAAGGATTAATCAAATTAGATTTCATACTCTGAAACCTCAACCTCAAAAATAATGTGAAAGGTAAAGTACTTTCTAAGATTCATAACACCAGAAGAAAATGAACACAACTATCCTTCTTTCTTATTTCAGAAAGAATATACTATAAATAAAAATAAATATGAACCTCTCTATCAAATTTTTGCTGAAGCCAAATCTGTAAGATTTAAAAGCTTTTGAACAATCTGCTTGTCTACAATTTAGCTTTACCACAAACTTGAAAATATGGATCTCATTACAAATCTAGTCTAATATCCCATCTGAGAGTCCTACTGTTGTGCAATTTTTGCTCTGATGAAGGCCAAAGGAACAATGGATAAACACAGCAAAATAGGGTCCTTGTCTTCATTTTGGCCCAGCCAAGTTCTAGTTGCTGTTCAAAGTAAAGTTTTAATGTTTTGTAGAAAAAAAAATAAATTGGAGAGCATTGGATCAATAACAACTCACTTGGATTTACTGTAATGGCATCTGATATGGAATATCAGATATATGGTGTGTATGGTATCTATCAGATATATGATATATATGGTGTCTGATAGATATCTTCCATCTGCTTGCAAAACTGTCATATATAGTTGAGATTTCCAGGGAAGAAATACTAACTATTTATTGGGACACAAATGTCAGTGGAAGTATTTTTTTGTATAAAAAGACTCTTCCATGTAAAAGTACTAAATTCTCTCCCAAATTTCAGATCAGATTCTTTGAATTCTATATGCACTAAAAGGCTGTTAATTGTAAGCAGCAACAACTGAAAATAGGTGCATTTAAAGCTAAAATAACAACAATTTTGCATATACTTAGTGATCAGTAAGAAATGTGCCTTCCAGCTCATCACAATAAGTATTCATACCTGAGGTTTTATGCATTGAATGACTTTATAATAACAATTTAAAAAAATCCTGAAATCCTTGGTTTTTTATGTTAATCACTTTTTTTTTTAGTTTTTGCAGTGTTGTCAATGCTTATCCTCATTAATGTCAATAATTACCATTTTAGTCAGCTGAAACAACGCTAAACCATTGTTAAGCAGTTCAGAAAATCCTACCCTTTAGGGACAGGGATATCACAAATGGCCAGGAAGTCAGGAGCTGAAAAACTGGTCTATTTGCTGATCAGTCTTACTCATCTTTCTTTTAAATGTAACTGTTTGGATTTTAAGGTTAGATTCCCATCTAAGGAACATACCATATACAATTAATCTACTATGCCATAAAATCAGAAACCAGAAAACATTTATAAACATTAAGGCCAAAATACATGGAAATCAGACTAACCTCTAGTGTGCAGCCTTTGGTTAGACCAACAAAGTCAGGACTGCTCAATATGTTATAGGGTGTCCTTGAAATTTCAATGTCTTTGAGGCAACCTGTGTATTTCTCTAAGTTCACTTCAGGCCTAAAAAACATTTAGAAGTACAATGTGTTTTCAAAAATAGAGTTTAGGGAGAACAGTCAGCCAGACACACATATGTACACTTTCAGTTGCACAGATGCTTGATTTTTATTTTTATTTTAACTACACACATACACTCGAATACATGTTGCCTTCTACAATCTATCAGCACACATTGCACTCTGCCTTGCATCACTCAAAGCTGTAATAAGAGGTTCTTCTCATCTCCAACTGACAACAGACCCCTTGTCAATTTTTTCTTTTTTTAAGGGTTTTTGGTTGGTGGTTTTGTTTTCTGTGTTTTTCCTTTGATAAAGGAGAGTTGTCACCTTTGGTGTTAAAACACAGTGAGCTATGAAATCAGGAAGTTGTTGTTCCTTAGGCAAAGAAGAAAGATGTAAGCCAGGAAATCATAACAGTAAGGAGAGACTTTAACTGGAAGACATTTTTCATTCCTCTTTTTGCGTGCTAGATCCAGTGGAAGAATAACTTTAGCAGTGTAAAAATATTTGAATAAAGATTTTGCCCACAAGCTTCAGGAATGCAATCAGGTAGATTGACATTCATTTTATATTTCCAGTATCTTTCTTATGAAAATTGCTGCATATTTTCTTAGGACACAGCAATACATCTGACTTTTTCAGGTAGTTAAACAAAACAAAGCACTTGGGTTTGTTACAGAATGTAACTATCCATCCAAAACAGGAACATATTGTAATGGAATTCAAGTTCCACGTTTGACTCATCAGCTGGCTGATGAGAGGAAATAAGAAACCCTTTGAAAGTAACACCAAAACTATCATGTTTGATTGCAAAAGTATGATTTCCCAGGCCTGGGTACACCAGAGTGAGACCATAACTGTCGGTAACATCTGAACCAGGCTTGCCAGAAGAAAAGCCTTATAAAGTCACTTAAGAAAAAAAACTTCCATTGATACCATGGAGAGTAAATCCAAAAAGAAAAAAAAAAAGGCACTATTTAATTTACTAAAAAGTATTAGCCATGACTTTACTAGAGTATCTAAATAGTACGGACAACTCAAAGAGAAGAAAATTAATTTGGGAAATAAATAAGGAGTTAAAACTGGGGTAGGGTGGGGAAGCGGGGGAAGCAACAATCACTTCAGTTCTCTGGAAGGAAAGAAAATATTTTAAAGAATATAAATTACAAAATAAAACAAATTTGCACAGATACTAATCAGCTGCACGTTTTGGCACTGAAAGCCATTTTTTGCATTACAGCCACCCGAGCAAGCGTGATGTATTCTCTGGCAAATTAGTACTCTCTGCATAAGTTAAAGCAAGCATCTGGTTTACTAAAATGATCCATATGCTGCTTTATTTACAGTCAAGTAACCATGTTCACCTTTCAGTTTCCTTTTCTTTTTTTTTTTTCTAGCTCTTCTCCTTTATGGATTTCTCTCCCAGGAGAAGAACAGTTTTGCTGTTATCATTGTCACTGGAGCCCATAATCTTTGCCAGCCAGAAACCATTCTTGATACTACCCTTCCTGCCTTGTCCAGTGACAGACTGTCCTCATCCTGTCCTGTTACGAAGAGCTGCTGTTATAATTCCCAATCCATATCACAGAATCACAGAATGGGTAAGGTTGGAAGGCAGCACTGCGGGTTGTCTGGCTCAGCCTCTGCAAACACTGAACACTTGCTTGATGTTTTCTTAAGCCTTTTTTTCCCCCTTTTCTCCTTTTCAAAATACACCAAGTAAGGTCCAAGTTGACTAACATCTTGCATAATTCTTCGTTTGTTTTTTGGGTTTTTTTGTTAGTTCTATTTTGCCAAAATAGGCCAGTTTTGAGGGAAAAAAACCAGCAATATCTGGAGCTTGAGAGGAAACAATCTTTCTAAAGTTCAGGGCAGGAGTGTGGGGGTGAAGTTGTATTTTTCCAATTCAAGCCTGAACTGGCTTGAATTGGAAAAATACAACTTCAAATAAGCTGCAAAACACAGTGAAGATCACTTCACACCTGAGCACACCAAAGCAAAAGCAATGGATACAAATAGTTGTAAACTGAAAACGCAGCCAGAAATAGCTGACCTCCCCTCTCTTCCCTTCATACTCCTGTTCTTAACATAAGAAGTGGCAAATTTCACAACACAATCTCCACCGTGCTCTCATGCTCTCCTCAGTAAGTGCTTCACTGCCTCTGAGCAGGGCGCTCCGCGCCTCCCGTGGGAGTACACTGCTCCTAAGCCGCGCGGCCGGAGCCGGAGCCGGAGCCAGGGCCGGCAAGGCAGGCGGCGGCAGCTCCGCTTCCCGGGCACCGCAGCGCCGCGAGCAGCGCACGGCTGAAGGGAGCGGCCCGCGCCTGAAGGGAGCGGCTGCCAGAGGAGAATAAAAATTGCTTGTGTAGGTGTGTGCAGAGCGTGGAACGAGACGGTGGTGAGCTTTGCTGGCTGTGGCAGGAGCAGCTGGCTGAAGGAAGAGCCTTAGCGCGGCAGCTGCTCTAAGCACTGCCCGTGCTGCTGCGGCTGCGGTGCCAGCCGTGCTTTCAAGCTGCACTTTAACTAGACACATGCAAGTCATGCAAATAATCTGATTGTTTTTACCTTGCCTTCATACTGGGGCGGGAAAGAGAGGCAAAAAAAAAGAGAAAACAACAACATGGCATTAATTGTAGCAAGTGGTACTTCTTGTTTTGTTGTTCCGTTCAGCCATTTCACAGTGAAGGAGGTGTACACCATTTACAGACAACATATAATTAAAGGTGGGATTCTAGGTACGCTATCAGGCTGTGAAAATTAACGGTTTACTCCGCAAACAGCTGCCTTAAAACCTAACACATCAGAGGGTTTTGGTAACTTGATACTGTATTTGGTCACGAGCAAAAGCAAACCATGTAAAAGAATTTGGCAGAACTGACACGACCTGATAATTACTAAGTCATGGATACCTCAGTGTCTATTGTTTGCAGTAGCTCAGCTTTGCCCTAATCCCCCTTTCACTACTTTTGATTCTAATTTACCATAACGTTAATCTTGCCTCAGGCGCTGACAAATCATAGCTGTAGGCAGAACGGTTACCACAGGTCAAAGTAGCTGTGGTACACTGATTTTCTGGGCAGCCACAAAGGAAGTGGAAGATAATTGCTCTAGACGTTTTGTTATGCACTGGTGTGATTTCACAATTACATAATATAATGTTTTATTTCATGAGTAAAATAGATCTTAGATCTTTCTATTGCTGGGTGATTTGACATCAGAGGTCAGTGATTATCCTAATAAATTAACAAATATGTCCATTCTTTTAGTGGCAGACGAGTCTGTGGATTAAACACAACAGTTCCTTGTGCACAAGACCACTTCAAGGCTCTCATTATGCCTTTTAGCTAAAGCTGACATAGATTAATGGGCCTGTTTCTGTGTTGCTCATCTGTTCATTGTAGCACAGAATTCTCTTGTTCTTGTCATTGCAAAACCGCTGAATATTCATTTAAACTTTAAATAAGTTTTTTGGTCTATTTAAAGCCATGAAAGAAAGCCACTAAATTCAAGTATGTGTTATTATCCCATTTCTTTGGTTTATTTATGTTGAAGTTAACATTTGTGAATATTACTATGCAATATTTAAAAAATAATTACTGGGAATTTTATTTGTGTAGGAAATTCAGGATCAGACTTCTGAAGGGAAAATAGTTAATTCTGCTTACATTAAATAAATTAAGAGTATCGTATCATATTCTTCAAGTCCTGAACACAGGAGGAATTTGATCTAAGGAGACCAGGAACTAAAATCTACAAATAATTTAAAATAATATCTCAGAAAAATATTTTAATATCTATTAAAAGTACACTGATTATACAAAAACATGGATACCCATTAAGCAGTAATTCCATGTGGAGTAGTCTGTAGGTCAATTTTTTTACTCATGCACAAAGTAAACATTTATCCTTAATTTTGTGAAGGTATTGAGCCAATTCTCTGAATCTGCAGTCACAAATTCTGTACATCAAATAAAAACTTAAAGAAACAGTTACATCATGGTTCTTTCACAGAATCTGAAAGATGTACTGCACTGCAAGTGTCATTTCCATTGTATGTGTGTAAGGTGAGCTGTGTGAAATACAAAACATATGCAAATAAAGCACTATTCTGCTGTGGCAGTACAGGGTACATTGGGAATTCACCATTCACTTACTGCAAATGAACTTGAGAAGCAAATGCAGAGAATAAACACATTGTATTTACATTCCCTCACCAAGACTAAAGAAATTGGTTTGAGCCACATTACCTTAGATTTCTCAGGGTTGGCAATCCCCCAAAATATATTTTCTCGTGCCCTTTTAAGTTGAGTCCAAAGTGGCTGCCTGTAGAAGTTGTTGCTATGGTCTCTTCTTCATTAGTGTCTATGTCTACAATTGATATGTTGGCTAAAAGACATTTGAGATTAGTTACAAAATATCCATCATGAACAATGATGTTTTAATGTCAGAAACCAACAGAAAAACATTTGGAGGGTTAGCAGGTGAAAGAAGAGGCAAGGAGGGCTGTATTTTGCAATTAAGATACTGGATTTCCACATTATCAATTATGGGCAGGGGAAGAAAGCTGCACTTTTCTGTTTCCATAACAACCTGAAAAACTATAAACATTTTGTACACTTTATTTTTATATAGTCTCTAAACCTGTTTCAATTTGGTGCCTTCTTTGTGTCACTATAATTTGGAGCTAAAACTTCAGGACATAGTCATGACAAAAGACCATTTTACATTTAATTTGTCATCTTAATCCAAAGATTACCTCTTGAACAGGATTTTTAGTGTAAAAGTTTGTTAAGCACTGTCATTATGTGCCTTAGAGATTGGTGATCAGTCACTCTAAACCACTTACAAACCCAAAGCAGTCATTTGCTGTCATGTCCAATCTCAGGCTGCAGTCAGTGATGTGCTACATACAGCCATCCTAATTTAGGTGTCTGTTCCATGTATATTTTTAATATATGGATTAATACAGAATATGAAGTTCAGTAAAAGAAATAAGACTTGGTAAAAAATGCTGAGCGGGTCTCAAGATATATAGGGACGAAAAAAAGGATTTATTTCTTTTCTTCCTTGAGAATTGAATAGACAGACTTTCTACCAAGAAACTTTTTACCAGACAGACTTTTTGCCAAAACCAGATTAATTTTCCTTTCATTTCTATGCCTGCATATTTTTATAAACACATGATGTTTGAATGCTATTGATAAATTACAATTACATGACATTGTATTTTATATTAATACTTCCCAGGTTAAGTCTGAACTATGATAACTGGCTAGCAATAAGACATTCCTCCTCTTAAGGTGCAGCAAATCCGCAAGTGAGATCACTAAATCGCTTTGGTCACTGTCCCAACTTCCAAGTCTACTACAGCCAGGAAGAGGGACTGTGTGTGAGGTGTGAAGGCCAGGTAGAGAGCTGCAGGAATATGTTTAGGGGCTTGTGGCGACCCTGAAGATTCAGAATGCAGTAAAAGTTCAAACTGCAAAAGCACAGAGTATGTCACAGTAGCCACAAGTAAAATGAATTTGGCTCAGGTAAGATTCTACCAGCCCTATAACCAGACTACAAAACAAACAAAAGGGTTTTGCCAGCATGATCCAGTAGTCTTTGTGATCTTATGAAACTCCACCACTTCATATTTTGTGCCAGTAACATGTTGAAGAATTAGTAGAACTTCTGGAGATGTTCCCAGTTGTTTCCATGCAGATTCAGTTCATGACAAAATGCACATCATTAGGGAAGATAAAGTAGTGGTGTTTGTCTAGTTAGATAGGATCAATACTAAAGTCACTGCTTCTTTTTAGGCACTTTGGTATATGCTGAGCATGAGAGGACTGTACAGGATAAAAGCTATTGCTGTCCTAACAGAAATCACATGTGTGTTTCGTGATTTGAGACAACAGGGACCTGATGAAAAGACTTCTTTTTTCCCCAGTCAGAAGAATTTTAGAATGCAATTTATGACAGTATAAAAAAATTATGCCTGAAAAATAGGCTACCTTCATACAGTGCCGTTTGACAGTGCAATCAGTCATAGGCAACTCAACACCGTTATAAGCTAAACAAAAGAAGTTGCTAAATCACCAGAACTTGTAATTCCCACAGCACCATCCCTGTGATTAGATGGTTAGGTGTACTGCACAGATAACTGGAATAGTCATACTGCTGACACCACAGGAACTTACCTTGCTTTTGAATTCTTGACAGGGTGAAAGATTTCCACTTGCCATCATTATGATTTTGGTTGCTGATAACCGAAGCTGTACCTGAACCCAGGTCGTAGCTGACTTTTATACGCCCACCACTGAGTTCTACGCTCATGAAATCCTTCTGTTGATGAAAAGGGTTAGATACACCATTATGATTCTTGTCCATTTTGGTAAGAGGCATAAGACATTAAATAAACACTTTTTAATCCTGGGTGACTACAGACAACATCTTTCAAGCTCTAAAAAATGCCACAACTTATGTATTTACTACCCAGGACTCTCATGAACAAAAGTCTGTTGCCAAACTCTTTTTTCCCCCCTTACATTCTCTTCTGGATTGCTAATTTAGTTGGAATTTTGCTGGCATCTTAGTTGCATTTTTGATGGGATAGCTGCACTTTTATTTTAGATTGAAGATAAAAATGGACATTATAATTACCTGAAACTAATACTCAGCTTTGAGTGTATGTTTGTACTATAATTAGTGTATTTATTGCATACTTCAGCTAGATTTAAACTTGCAAGAAGGAAAACAAAAATAGTGAAGATGGTAAACTGGGCATGTTTCACCAGATTTCCAGAGAGTAATCTATGGAAGCAACAGAGCAACAGAGAGATGGAGACAAAGAGAGCTATGAATGCTCTTGTTTTCATCAACCACTGGCACCAGTATCCAATCAGCAACTGGAGATGGCTGATGGAGGAACAATATATGCTGCACTATCTCCAGAAAAAGAGCTGGCAGGATCCAAAGAGCAAAACAAATAGCAAGAGAACCAGACAGCATGAAAGCCACTAGGTAAGGAATGGTGGAACTATAATCCAGGACGTAAATGTAGCAGAGAAATTTTTATTATCATTCTGCTCATGGCCAGTTCCACCTCTTCTCAGAGTAAAACAAACTCAGTATTCTAGATGCTTAGGCATGTCTATCCATGCATCATTAGAAAGAGCATCTTCCAAATTTTTTATGTGCTGGGACAGTAGCACAAGAAACAAAATATACCAGGGAACATTTGCTTGCGTTTTTGAGATTTCAATTAAATATTTTTTAATAGAAAAATACATAAATCACAAATAATGATATAAAATAATCTAAAATAATGACTTTAATTATACTTTCAATATTCAATTATAAAGGTTCATTAGAAAAGCTACATAAATATTTCATTATCATAGTAAAATTCTAGCCTATGCTGTAGTCAGTCAGGAGGAGCACCCTCCTCCTTGATAATTCCAGCTATTTTGATAATGATTTCCAAAATACAGGAATCTGAAATAAGACTGATTTACACAAACATAGTTTTTTTGAAGTAGCAAGTGCTCAATAATTCTTCAAGACATCAGTGAAAACTACTGTAGATATAATATGTAATATCTGCCCCATATGAAAAGGATAAGGGAAAGACTCTGTTCCCTGTCAGTCACGCAAATCAATCTGGATCAGAGATGCCAAAGATGAGTTAGACAGATCTGGACAGGTGTCTTTATAAATAATTTCTCCCTGTTATCTACACACATTTGATACTGTGTGTCAATAAAAACCTTAAACAACTTTAAAACTAATGTTTCTATTCTCTATTTTAGCTGTAAGAGACATCATTTGTAGATATTGGAAAAACACAATCACTATTACTTCTTATTTATTGCACCAGTCCCCCTTTAAACCCACTCAATAAAACATAAAACATTCTATTTATATGAGTAGGATTTCTAGATAAGACTCATCTTTTCTCATATACCCCCTTCCGTCACATGATGATATTTTAAACTATAAATAGACAAAACCAACTGAAAATGTTCACACACATAAACATCTGGGATAAAGGAAAATTAATTAATAATTTCAGAAAAGCTGGAATTCGGCCCAGAGTAACATAATGATCCCCATTCAGTAAACACTAGGTAGTCAACATGCACACTATAATACTGTCTTCATTTGGCCAGCAGTGAAGCATCATACCAGGATAGTGGTACCTTAAATTACTAATTCTTTTCATGATCTGATGAATTCAGTGACTGCAAAGATGGTGTGAAACCTGCAAGGAGCGTAGAGGTTAGCTGGCTGTTCTTACCAAGTCATCAGTAGCGAGATACATCAGCAGAGCATTTGATGAGAAGGTCCTGAACTTGAACATGACTGTGGAAATATTGGGGTTCCAGCGGATTGGGCGGCTCACCATGGCATAGCTGTCACCATCAAACTGCACCGTTCCTTCACTGTCTGCCACCTGTGGGCTGTAAAGGACAATTCCAACCATCTTCTTTGGCCATGTGAAGTTAAAACAAAAAAAGTGCAAGGCTAGGGAAATGTGGGCACATCTCCTGGTAGTCTTCCTGAACTTGGTTTGATCTCTTATCAAACCTCCCACTGACAGGGACAGCATTTCCCATTCTGTTTTGAGAATGCAAATGCCTTTCTTTTGTGGGGTCTCTGCTCACTACCCTGGTGGCTGCGAAACCCACCTGGAGGCACTGGACTCTGCTCCATGCCACACAGGAGAGCAGGCACCCTCATCACAGCTGTCCATGAGCCAGACTCAGTTCACTGTGGTTCTCATTCTCTCTCTCCCTTTGACTGTTTCTGGTTACTGGCTGTCAGGAGCCCTTCTGTCACAGCCCTGTCACACCAGCTCACTTCGGGTAACTCAGTGACCACACTTAAACCCAGACTGGCTGCTTCTCATCTCAGCGGAATTGCAACCTAACTCCTGCTGCATGCACATTGGAATTTGATGGCTGCTGTGGAAATTCCTGCTCCTCACCACCGAATGTAATGCCACTGCAGGCAGGTTCCCTAAAGAAGCACTGGAAACAGTCGGTGCTTTACCTACCTGACGGAACACCCTTTGCAGTCGCCTTCGATATCCCTGAAATTCCAGAGTCCTATTGGTTTGCTGTCTAGAAAGGTTTCCCCCATACAACCAGTGAAGGTGGTGACTCTTACAGCATCTGACTTCTGCAACAGAGAACACAAACCTCCTTAGAACTGAAGTGATCTACTGCATCTTAAAACATAACTGGTACAAAAATTATAAAAACAAATACCATCTAAAATTCCATATAAAATCATAAAAAAACCCCATAAGATGCTTTGTAATATTTCAAATATCAAAAGCATTATTTAATCCAAGAAACCCTCCTACAGAGCAACTGATCAGTGAAAAAGTGAACTGAACTTTGTATCAGCCCGAACGGGAAAGACCTTTTAGATTTGAGACTCTTGGGATGGCCAAGGGAGAACAAGTCCTGAAGAACAAGGAGCTGCTTTGGCTTCCACCTTTGGTTTTCCTGGCTGTTCAGAGAGCTGGCTGACCTGTTCAAGGCCTAGCTGGGTTTTCATTTCAGACTTTCAAGAAAAGACTTGAGCAATCTTACCCACAATACAATAAGCAAAGTGTTTATCTTGTAATGTTTGAAGCCCTGGAAATTGAAGGGTTTTTTAGCCATGGTCCAAGCTAAAAGACAGACTGAGAACTCAACTGTTACTCCTGTAACAGTTCATGCTGAATTTTGGATGCAGAAAAAGTGCAGAGGGCAAAGCAATTAAAACACATTTCCCGTCAGAACTCATTAAGCTAGGGTTATGCACAAAGAGTAATGCTCATTAGAATATAACATGGTACCATGATGAAGGTAGTAATAGTTGACAGTATAGAAAGTACTCCACTAAACATTATGCTTCTAAAAATACCCTGATTCATTTAAATTTCAGTTCATCAATATGAGCTCATTAAAAATCTATACACTTAGCTATTTGAGATAGACAAGCACCTGCTGTTTTTACAGCAATTACAAATATTAAGATCTTGCAAGAGAACATGGAGAAGTGCAATTTGAAAATACTCAAGGAAATGAATGACTCAAAAGACTTAATGTGCTACTGATATTTCCCAGGGTAATTGGATAGGTTTTAATTAGCAACAAGTATGAACTTAATGTCACTTCTAAGAAATTCATGACATCTAAGCATCACAGTCTTCTACAAGTCAGATGAAAGATCTTTTTAAAAACTGAAAACGAACTTTTTGAATACACTGCAGAAATGCATGCAAAAAGGAATGTGGACAAAACCATAGGACAAGTCTAAGGGATTCCAAAGCCCAATAATAAGACATAGCAGATTTCTGAGTTAGTGGCCTAAGATATACCAGTAACCTTGATTAAAAGTCCAAAGAGCTGCACAGTTTTAGAAAAGTCTTGGTTAAGTCTTCATTTTGTGAGCCTTACAACTGTGCCACGTGATGACAGAAATTCCCAAAAAACCTGAAGTTGTATTTTAATTCAGAGACGGTACTTGAACAAAACAAATCTGACAGTGTTTAAAACTCTACATTGCAAATATACCGGCCATACCAAACTTAAAACAGACTGCCTTCCTACTGTTGCCCCTGTCTTTATTTACCTGGAGAGAAAAAAATTCGGGAATATTTTCCTGACTAAAATGAAAAGCTAGAGAGTTCTCCACAAAATATTTGGACAACCCTTACTGAGGTTGAAAACAGCTGTTCTGACATTGAGTTTTGCGCTTCAATTTTTCTGCGTATTGTGTTATTTTAACACTTGAGGACATATACAACCTTGAGAGTAAAAAAAGTTCAGTGAGTTCACTATTTGGGAAAGTCTTGAGCTTCTTTTCAAATGCTAAAAATATTGATCAGGAACAGAATAGTTAATTTAAATTGTTTTGTAAAGAATGCCATTAGAAAATAAGTGCTAATTAGCTTTTATTGGAGAATGAGTTTTTCAAAGATTTCTGTCTATTCTATTTGGCATATATGTTCTATTCATTCCATGAAGTTTAGCAAGGTAGAAGATGTCACCAGAAAAATGAACAGACAAAAAGAAGAAAAAAATATATCAGGGGTATGATGCAGACACCTGTAGGGGAACAGGGAGGGAAACTGGAACAAAAATAAAGAAAATAAAGCAGAAGCACCAAAAGCAGACTACAAAGGAGGAGGTGATAGTGTGGATACATGACGAAGGAAAAACCCCAAATGCAAGGGAAAATATACTCTTACATGCATTGTTAGGAGACCAGAAATGTACGGAAACAGAAATAAATTCCTGTCACTCAGGAACCAAAAGCCTGTCAGGGCAGCAGTGTGTCCAAGGTAAAGCATCCATCTATCCAGCAGGAATTAGTTGTTTGGGCTAAATGCTGCATCAATACAGCCAGCTACAGGGCTTCTAATCAGAAGGTTACATCGTGCACAGTGAAGCCTCACATCTGTGCACCTTGGACTAGGCTAATCCAAATAACGTTTGAAAAGTGCAAGTGTACTACCTGCAATTAAAGCATCTACTACAACGACACCAGCATATGAAAATTTACTATTTCTGTTTTAAGCAATAACAAAATTTGTCCATACAAACGGCCAGCTAACACAGAAACACCAGAAAAGGCATTACCTTAATTTTTTCTGTTAAACCACCAACAAACAGCACAGCTTTAACATCCACATCCAGAATGGTGTATCCAGGTGGGGAGACTGCACTGAATGTGGCTGGCACGATGCTGGCTTTAGGACCATCCAGAGCTCGCACTGATATTGTGCCATTTTTCCCAGTCCTAGAGAAAAAAAAAATATTTAAGCATACAAAGTCAGTAGTTACACCAAACATAGGAAAGCTCTATTTTAAATGGTGCCTTTTAACAGAAGCACACGTGACTGACCTGATTATGCCTCATTTTGATACAAGTGAACAGACACTTATGCCTGCATAAGCTAAAGACAGAACCAGATCTTTTCCTCACCTGAATGTCCTTTTTGAACAAAATTCACTATACACATGATGTGGACCTTGCATTGACAAAACAAAGAATGTGTATTAGATTATATTTAAACTGAAACGAAGTGTTAAATTAGTTCAGTTTCCTTCACTGTCAGAAACAGAATTCACATCTCCTGCAGTGGAGTTGTCAGGCTGCTTTTCAAACAGGTACAAACCCCATTATGTTCAAGAAAATTACTTCATTGTCCTTTATGAATGGCAACAAAACAGCAATGGACTTGGCATTTATTAACTGTTTCTGCATCTAATGTACTAACTGGCACAGAAGGAGTTAGCTGACATATTTTTACAACAGAAGGAACACACTGTGGAGAGCTATGATTCCTGAATCCTCCTTCTGAAACTTCTTATAGATGGGTCTCGCATTTACCGGTCTGCAGCCACCTGGGATGTCCCCAGCTGAAGAGGGCTGCTGGTATATGATTGAAAGTGGCTCCCTCAGTAGTCTTGGGTGGATTCCATTCCCATGGACTTGTGTGGGTCTAAGGTGCAACTGGTTTATAGCAGAAGGGAATAACTGATGGGAAGCCCTTTAAGGGATAAAAGTAATAATTCTTGAAAAATCAAGTCACCGAGCAGACTGACACTTTTTAGGATGTCTGATAATCCACAAATAGTATGGATGTCTTTCATCTTCAAACAGACTGAAATGCTCACAATGGAGTCTCTTCTATAAATAATTCTCTCTTATTTAGGGAGGACAATGGAGCTTGAAGAAAGATCTTGGCTAACTTGACAGCAAAAAGACATTGCTACCCTGTGCATGACAAGTTATCAGGTTATGAGATATTGTTCTAGTGATAGTCAGCTCTGTAAAACTGGAGGATTACAGAGGATGTATCAGCACTATGTGGCTGATATGCAGAATGACACGGAAAGGACACTAAACTGAGAGAAGCTGGCAACTCCCTTGAGGGCAGATAGGCCCTGCAGAAGGACCTCGACAAACCAGAGAGACGGGCAATCACCAACCGTATGAAATTTAACAAGGGCAGGTGCTGTATTCTGTACCTGGGATGGGACTGTGTGCACAGACTGGGGAGTGAGAGGCTGGAGAACACCTCCATGAAAAGGGACCTGGGGGACCTGGTCAAAGGCAAGTAGAACATGAGTCTTGGCAGCCAGGAGGGCCAAACTTGTCTTGGGGTGCATCAGGCACAGCATCACCAGCTGGGCAAGGGAGGGGATTGTCCTGCTTTGCTCTGCACTGGGGCGGCCTCACCTCAAGTGCTGGGGGCAGTTTTGGGTGCCACAATATTAAAAAACACATTAAAGTATTAGAGAAAGTCCAAAGCAGGGCCCTGTTCAAAGCAAGAACGGTGAAGAGTCTGGAGGGGAAGCCTTATGAGCAGTGGCTGAGGTCACTTGGTCTGTTCAGCCTGGAGAAGAGGAGACTGAGGGCAGACCTCTTTGCAGACTTCAACATCCTCACGAGGGGAAATGGAGGGGCAGGTACTAATCTCTTTAGTCCTGTGATCAGTGATAGAACTTGAGAGAACAGCATGAAGCTGAGTTTGGGGAGGTTTAGGTTGGATATCAGAAAAAAGTTTTCCATCCTGAGGGTGGCTGAGTTCTGGAACAGGCTCCCCATGGAAGTGGTCAGAACACCAAGATTGCCTAAATTCAAGAAGTGTTTGGACAGCGCTGTCAGGAGTTGGGCTTGATGATCCTGATGGGTGCCTCCAACTCAGCATCTTCTACAAAAAAATTGTGTAATGACATGCAGTGTTTGCTCCTAAGGAGAGGCATGATATTAATGAGATGACTTTAGCAAATCATCAGCATTAAAAGAAAAACTACCACATAGTAAACTCTGTTCCTTGGCCCCTTGAAAGCACAGAAAACCTTCACTGAAAAGCATGGCTTATATTTGCTACAGTACTTTAGGACTGAATTCTTGCTGAACTAAATTGGATATGTGTATAGTGAACTTGTGATTCAGGCATCCTTTGTCATCAAAAGAAGGGCACTGCTTGAACTCTGTCACTAACAATCAAAACAATGGTAATACTCAAATAACAGTTGATTAAAATCACAACTAATCAAGTTCTGCTCCTAACTGAGGCCTACTGAAGTTAAGTAACACTGATCTAGTGAGTCTCAAAAATATTCTCTCATCCATCTGACTCACAAAATTGACATTATTTGCATGTTGTAAATCTGCTTTAAATCATTTTGTCACATACTGTTATGCTAGTTTTTCCTTTGTTAATTGATACTTGGGTTGATTGCATCTTGATGCCAATCAGATTTGCTTCTGTAAGCAGGTAAGTAACTTGTAAGTGACATTTGCTAAACTCCTGTACCAGCAAAGTAGAGGGAATTCCTTTAGAAAGTCCTATAGGAATAAACAAATTCTACTTCAATTCCATTAAAAAAAATTCAAGGTATTTCCATCATAACATCTGAATATACAATAAAATGCAAAGGATCAGTATGCTTTAAATAAAAAAAGTGATGAAAATTAAAAGTGTCCCTGGAAAAATGATGCAGTAATTATCAGTTTAGTCTAACTGGAAATTTTGGTGCATGCATAAACCAACCATCTCTGGTCATTACTCAACAGTCAGATTTTTCATATTAAGATTTAATAAGATATTTTCATATTAAGATAATAAGATTTTATTTAGAATACTAAGTGAACTTGAGAATTTTCAAACCTCTGTGCCACATCTTTTCTTTCTCAGGCCCTTTGGGATTCAAAGGGCCTATCAACCTATGGTGGGTTTAACACCATATCATTATTACTGTTAATCCCTGTCACCACTTAATGGTAAAATTCGCTAAGGCCAGAATTTCATCTTATGTCCTCATGCTAAGCAGGTGCCCTGCGCCAGCTGCTCAGGCCATTCTGTCGGGCTGAAAAGCCTGTGGCTGGAACTGAGCAGAAATTTGGAGAAAGTGTGTGAGGGAATGAAATGAGTAAAACACTCCAACAGGTTAGGAAGGGAGTTCGAGTAGAGCCATCAAATGGACTAAAATGTTCAGAGTTGAAGATTCTTCCATAGGATATGTGATTTGTGAAGTCTGCCTTAAGAATGCAAAATCAGTCCCAAGCTCTTCATCTTAATCCCACAAATCCGCTTAATGCCTCTGTAAAGTTATTCTCCTAAACTCCACTCTGTACTTCTGATTTGTGCAGCTGTAATCATTCTAAATTGCTGATCCAGCACTTTGTTCGAAACTAATGGCATGCACATCCTATACATCCAGAACAACCAGCTAATAGGTAATGGGCTTTTGTAGGATGTGTGAATTTTATACCATGTTCTGGCTACATATTCTGCTGAAGCAGCTTTCTTGTAAATGAAAGCCTGGCATTAGTGTGTCATGAAGCTGCTTTGGTATGCATAATGTGAACTGGTGAAGATTTCAACAATTTGTATTGCACCCCAGTTTGTATTTTCCTAGCAGTAAGGTTTCATTAAGCCAGCTTCTGGAGACCGGGCTGTAATTTTATTTAATTCTCTGCTCTGAATGGATGATTTCTGTGATTTCATTAAATTATTTAAACTGAATGCCATTTCCTCTTCTTGGAGCTATGCATGTTACCAGAATTAGAGTGCTTTGTTTTCTTCCTCCTCCGTTCTCTCATTTTCTAACTGTATTATCCATTCTATGTTTAATACTATGTGAAATTAACTGTAATGATGCAGGAGAAATTACTCAGCTTTCTATCAAATTGCGATACAGCTGATGTTATCTAAATTACTAAGATCTATTCAAGATAAAGGCTATAGAGTTATGCAATCCTTATGCTGTGATTCCTACACCATATGCCATGTGTTTGCTATTTGAATGAAAAATACAAGCTTCAGCTAACAAACTTGGGATTTGAATATTTATATATCCATATTTTTAAAGTTCAAAGGCATTAAATAGCTGATCTCAAATTACAAAATATATTTTAACTTTTCAGAATATCTCCTCCTTCAATTTTTATGAACTGTATCTTTCATAAATATTTCCAGTCTGATGAAACATTTTGCCCATGGGAATGGCATTCTGAATAAGACTCAAGATACTGCTGTGTGACAGACCATTCACTTGCAGTACAGTATCAAGACCAAAAATTCAGAAAAGCTGCTCCTCTTTAAAATTCAGGGAGAAAAGAATAGTAGTTATTTGAGCGCCAAAACCTGTAACTGATTTTAAAAGTAAGCTAGTTGAAGAAGACAATCAATAGAGTGATAGATAAACAAAAGGGAATAAATATAAGGAGTCATAGATTGCTGATGCTGGAGGTGAAATATGTGATTAAAGTAAATTCTTGACAGAGAACAATTGACATTTCAATAGAAACTGTAGTGTATACACTTTCTGTACTGTACCGGATGCAGGTCCAAAACCTTTTGTCAAACCAGACTAGAATTTCTCACAGCAACCATTTTTCTAAAATCTTTGAAATGAAATATTTACTTACCTAGAGGCTTCAATCCGGTACCAAAACCCATCATCAATGGTCAGATCTGGATATTCTACCCGTCCAACTCCGGATCCCACATCCCATAGGAAGCTCACCTTGCCTTTGCGCATCTCTATGGCCAAGAAGTCAGTCTACATGCAAAACATGAAAACAGAAGTGATCTCACACTTCAATTAAGGAAGTTTTCCAGAACTTTTCACACTTCAGAAGGTCTAATGAGGCATCAGAAACCCACACATAGACAGTAGAGAATTAACATTAATTCTCACATTGCTCCAAAATGAGACTCTCTTTTTCCTGTTTTTATTTGTTCTAACAAGGAATCTTAAGCTAAATACAGCAAATTATTTCTCTCAGTGATATGCAGTAAATCACTGCTAGACTTACAGAATGTTAACATTGCAGCCACCAAGAGAAGGATTTAACTCAGAGGAACACTGAAACATTCATTGGATGGCAGAAAGACATCGAGATACATGATGCCATCTAGCCTTTTCATTTTGCATTAGGAAAATAAAATACATGTTGGAAATGTTGAAAAATAGAATACTTTTTCCATTTACTGAATTATTATTGGTTGTTCTAGAAGTCTGTCTGCTATAGGCCTCATGGGAAACTGAATCATTCACCATTATTATGCTTGAAATTGTAGTCTTGACTTAAAATTACAATAAATAGGAACTTTGACAGATGCAATATGATTAGCTACTTCATTCCCTATGGAAAACCCACAACCAACTCCAAAATTACTTTGGTTGCACAGTGAATTTTAAAGCTCTAATGTAGTTAATGTACAAGCCTGCTATTTCATATCTGGTTAAAATAAAGATACATGTAAAAAATTTGCTGGTCATATTTTAGAAATCTCTATATTAATACCAAAGACAGTAAATGTCTAGATTATTTTAGACTCTCTACTACTGCTTTGAAGCCTCTGGGTGAAAAGAAAGCCCTTCTCATCTTCTTTATTTGTCAGTAGTATGATTTGATCGAGCAACTCTGACATGAAAGGCAGGAGACAGACTCACAAACTTGGCACTTCCAAGGTAAAAAAGCAGATTGTCAGCAACTACAGTCTTCACATTGACAATGATGGTGTTGTATGTTCCCTTCTTTATTTCTGGTCTGTACGTGCGAATACAATTGCCTCCAGAGGACACGGACACTTTGATCTTCAAAAAGAAGCGTAACAGAAAGAATGCAGTTAACTGATTATTATTCCAGAATTAACCATAGATGCTTCCAAATAATTATAAGACTATTACATTTTTTTTTCCTTCACATTTTTCTGTTACGTGTACCAGGGAGTTACTTGGATATGTGAAGAAGGTAGAAATCGAATTTTCTTTCTGGGATTGTTTAGTAAAAGGAACGAAAATCTCTTTTTAGAACTCACATTTAAAGGACAAACTGCGTAGATTAAAAATACATAGAAGATATACTGGTCTAATGCTAATAACAGTGGAATTCTATCAGTACAGACAGTCTATAAGTAGAAGATGCAGCCAGAAAAATAAGCAGCACTCCTGAAGGAATTACAGCATATTGCTGTTGGGTAGTCATAATTATCTATTTTTCCCTTGTAATAGCTTTGATTGTGCCAATTTAAGACACCTTTTCAATTTTTTTTAAAACCAACAGTTATGTCTATCACTGCTTTTGCATAGTCCCTAATGGAGCTGGCATTCATAACTAAGTTTCATTTCCACTGCTGAGTGACACATGCATTTGGATCCATGTATTGGTTTCCTCAGGCTCTGAGCACAAATAAAAACACTTTACTGTTTGCTTTCATAATGCCAGCACAGACATAATGACAGTACAACGGTGTTTCAATCCCAGCTAGATATGTTTAAGCATTAGAGGAAATGTACATAATGGTATCACCTTATGCTTACAGCAAACTCTGCTAAAAAGGAGATCCATTATAGGACCAAACTCCTAATTTCCTTATCTCAGAAATGCTGAGAAGTTAAATACTACAAAGCCCTCAGACAGAAGATGAATATAACAAAACATATCATTACTGTAGCCTGTCTTTCTGTTCTGTACAGATTTCATCACATATGTGCTGAAAACTTCTTTCACCAGCATCCCACTATTTATCCTATCACTTCTTTCCCAGTATCCTATTATTGTGTTGATTATCTTTTTAAACTATTTTTTCAACCATTTTTGAGGGAGATTTCTCAAGTACCATCTACAAGCTTCTTTTTCCTTTGCTATTTAAATCACAAGCTGAATCATCTCAGTATTAAACTGGATGATCCTAGAGTTGACAACATTACTGAATCAAGGAGATGGACTCCAAACTCATTAACTGGACTAGAAATATATTCTTAAGCTCAGTGCTGCTACTGGACAGAGAAAAATCAAAAATATGGGAAAAGCAGATATACTCCGCAATTTCAGTGAGTCTGAGATGGTGTCACTCTTGAGTAATGTAAATTCTATGAAATGAAATCAGGGGCTTAATATCACTGCTGAAGCAGAAAAATACATTTTTGTTTTCAGAAAAAATCAATGATATTGTGACTCTTCTGTACTATCAACCACAATAGTTCTTAAAAATAACCTTTTGAGATCCATTCCTACAGATATTATTCATTTAACAAGTGCATGTTTTAAATGAAGAAACAAGACACAGAGTGAGAATCATCAGAATATTCTCTTATTTTCTAAGAAATTACACTCCATTATTTGCTCTCTTTATGCATGTTTAGAATTAGGAAAGATTCACACTGTAGAAAAGAAATAAAAAGTAGAAAATAAAATCCCATCAATACTCAAGAGGTTGTTTTTGGTTTTTTTTGAGAAATGGGACTTACCGAATTGGCTTGCTTCCGAGCTTGGTTTATCAGCTCTTTTATCTGAGAAATGTTCTTTCCTAAGTTATCCTGGAGTTCTTTGATTGGCTTGATTTTATCTAGCAGGCGATCTGCTTCCTTTTCTAGGTTTTTAATACTGGAATCTGCATCAGCAACTTCATAAGAAAGAACAAAATAGAGCTTTAGAGAATAGTGTCAGAGACTAATTAAACACCGCAATAATAAAATTCAAGAAAATTCTGCATACACAATGCTCAGGAGATTGTATATGCAACTATGAGCTACACACAGGCCAGGATGATACCTGAACAGAATAAGGCAATTTCAGAATGTTTAGAATCAAGTTAAAGTAGCAATAGCAGCAAACACTGGTGTTAAAGCAGGATTTTTAAGATGCAACTATGCTTCAGGTCAGAATGATATGTATGGAAAACATTTCCTGTAGCAAAATACATTTATGAATGAAATATTTGCTCTCTGCCTTAAAAAAACCCCACAAATTCTGAAGAAAAATGCTGGATTAATGAAAACTGGTTGGTTTCCATAAGTAATTTCTGAAATTACTGGGGGGTTAAAATTAACTTGAAATTAATTATTGAACTAACTGTAATGGACAAAATACAAAAAAGGCTTTATTCTGATCACAAGCTTAAAATTCTGTATGTGTACTGAAAGCAGATTTAAAAACAGTGACAGTAAACTACAAATTATTTTCTTTTTGTTTTTCAGGTGAAGTAAATAATTTTACCAAAATATTTTTGCCTCTCTTTTTCTTAAGCCTCAAATTCCTTTTTTGCCCCTCAACATACAACTAGTGAATATTACCCTCTCTTTGATAACTCATGAGCAGATCTGAGGATTGCAACCCTTGGCTTGCCTGAGGGTATAGGTTTTTGTGGATGACACAGAGGGACAAACACGCGTTTACCAGAAAGATGCATATTACATGAAAGTAATAGTAAGAGCAATAAAAATAATGCTTAGACAAAGTATTAAAAACTGCATATCAAATTTTTTTACCCAAATACTCATACCAAAACCTTCCAGATGCTTCTTAAGGTTTCATGTGAGTTAAACTAACTACCAAATCACTTTATCTAATAAAGTTCTCAAAAAGTAACTATTTAGCTATTTCAATGAACGAGAAACATAGAGGACCATGCAGAGGCTTTGGTGGTAAGCAGTGAGCAATTGTTTACTGGAAAATGCACACTATAAGCTGCAAGAAAGAAAAACATACGTACAGATTTCTGCGGGCAAGATATGGAGACAAAGAAAAGAGAAAAACAGAGGATAACATAAGAGAGGGAAGATAACATAAAAGAATGTTTTGAAGATCTAAACAGAAATGTAAAGTAAAGGACAGGATGAGTCTATAAATAACTTTTTACCTTTTAAATATTTCATATCTATCAAAATAAGAATTCAGCACCTGAATTTTGACATAGAGAGGCTATGTCTGCTTTTGCATTTAGTCATGAGTGCCAGCCTACTCACTTCATACATCTGGAATGGTTCACCCTACATTACTTTAATCTCATTCTGTAATCTGAGTATCCATTAACATTTGGAGAATGACAGACGTGTACCTCTGGAGAACATCCCACAGTTCAGTTTTATCTGACATGAAACAGTTTGTAAGTGTTAAGACCACTCTTCAATGCAAACAAAATAATGATGACTGGGGACAATCAAGAGATTAAATTTTATATTCTCACTTCTAATCCCAACTAAAGCGCTAATGTACACACAGGCTCAGAATACTTGAGCTGAGACAGGTGGCCTAGTCTAGATTCAGCAGCGCCAAGAAACAGCTGCTTTAAGACTGCTTCTCAGTTGTTTACAACTCCCCTGCAAGAGACCTTACAGATCTTCTGGTTCTACAACCTACTGTAATCTAACCACACCATTTCAATCAACAAGTCTTTTTCATATTGTCTAAACTTGTATGCACCCAATGGGAATTGTACTGGGGCTCACACATGTATCCCAGCTGATGAGCAATGGGGAACTTGCAATAGCAGGCAGGGACAAACGGCCATTGGGATTAACTACTTTCACTTGTACAGCAACATTGTACGGCAAAAATTGGCAGAGGATTTTTGTCCACAGAATGACAGCCTCCTAAACTATATGTTTTTAGGTGCCCAGCTTCATCAAGATGACAACAATCTGGGGAGCCCAGAATAGCTGAGGAATTAGCTCCTCAGTAATTTCCTAAAGACACTCCAGTTTTGTGGCTGTATACCCCTATATGAGAGATGGTCTAGCAATCTACCATAAAATGTATTGTAATACAGAATTCATTTTTATCCATCCTAACCAAAGTGAAAATGCTAAAGTAATTGCCACATTTGATAACAGAATTCAAGGCAAAAAAAAAAAAAAAAAAAAAAAAAAAAAAAAAAAAAAAAAAAAACCCAATCCAAAAGCCCCCACAAAGCAGATAAAACCCCATTCCCAGAATCTTCTTTCTTTTTTTAAGCGTCTTCAGTATTCCACCAAAAATAGTAATGTACATGAAAGAAGCCATGCATTTCTCCCAGGACTGATTATCTGATTGACTGAAGACAGATTTAGTGTGGGGTATTTTTCTTGAATCAGGCAGTGAATTGCCAGTCAGAATCTTTGATTAGTCACCTCCTAAATACTTTAAAAAACAATCTGAGGAACAAATCTATCCATTACACATGCATCCTACTGATATTAGCTTTTCTTGCAACTACTAGCACTAGTCTTTAAGATTTAAAATTCTTTTCACAGAATTGTTAGCGTTGAAAGGGAGGACCTCTGGTCCCTTTTCACATATAAGAAGCCCAGAAAATAGAAGTTGATAGAGAGTCCTTTTATCCCAGCATACTGTAGTAATGCTATGTAAGTGAAATTATGGAGTGTCTCTGTTGCATTTTGAGATATGAAACGAAAAGCACAAACTGAAAAAAACCACCACCAAACAACCCAAAAAAGATCTTACTGTTCTTGACTGGATCCTTCACAACTGCATTTGTTTTGGCCACATCATCTGTAAGTTTACTGTAGTTTTTTCTCAAGCCCAGGAGATTCCGATTGAGGTCTTTAATCTGGGCCAGGACGTCATTTGCAGTATCGTTGGCTTGTCTCGCTTTGTCTTTGGCTGCCTGTACCTTTATAGCTGTATCTGCAGGTAGAAAGTGATAACAAAATGATTGCCCAGAGTGCAGACGTAACTTTTTTGAACAAAGATATATATTTGCGCTCCAAAAAACTCCACCTTTATTTCTGCAGTTTTGGCTCTGAAAAACCCCTCAAATACAACAGCACCTTAGAAATATGTCAGAATATTTAATAAACCATTATCATTGTCAGTGCTGACAAGAGAAAGAAAAGAGAACCCTGATTGCCTTTTTTCACCATATCGAAGTAGCTCCTTTTGGGTCATTATTAGAGGTCATGCACCTTTCTGATTGAGTGAAAGTTGGAGTTACTGTGTTACTTCCCTCTACTAGTCCCACAAATTATTTTCAGCCACACCTTAAATTATGCCACCCCTGCACATGTTTGTTCTTGTCCCACATGAGCTCTGTCAATCTCATTCTGAATTTCTCTGCTTTTATCTGACTATTAGTATAGCAGGGATGGAAGAATTATTAGTTTAAGCTGCTCTCTGCTCTCTCTCAAGTCCTTGAACAAGATATATGACAGGGTCATTTTCTCTCCCTTCCTCATTTGATCATTTTCCTGTTGGACAACTAATTTACTCCATTTTCTTATCCATGCCATTTATTTGCTCCGAATTTCATTCTTAATACTCATCTGCTTGTTTTTATGAGTGTCCTTGTGCCAAGAGTAAGCATCCTGTAATTTTAATCTGCCAAGAGTTTATTAGATTGCTAATGATTGCATAATTCATATTACTTGTACTTGTTCCATATTTAGTATTCTGTGTCCTAAGGTTAACAGGCCTTGGTTGACTGAGACATCTGTCTGTGCTCAAGACAAATAACCATGTCAGTATCTTGACCAAAACCCAAGAAATGGCACATGATGAGCATAAAATATTAATCTATTTATTTTGTGAGTGCTGATTTCAAGGATTATTCGATCTAAACCAAAACTTTTCAGTTAGCTGGAATCTTAAAGCCACAAAAATGTACAAGATGAATAGTAAATTGTTTTTTATGCTAAGGGATTACTAGCAATCTGAACCTTCTAAACCATCAGAAATCAGACAGAATACAGATTTTCTTCAGAGGCTTTTCTTAAGGTGAAACTTCAGTTTATAAAGTGCTCCTTGGGAAGAAATTCATAGCAAAATAGATTGATTTAAAAGATTTAATTTTTTATAACATTCACTATTCATTATAATGAAAGTGAGATGTAGCTCCCTGTCCCTTGCTATCACAACGCAATGTACCTAACATCCCAGGACTTTGGGATTTTAATGACTATTATGTTTAAAAATAAAAGTCGCCAGGGAATGACAAATGTGCATATGTGAGACACTGAAATGTTGAAGGCCAATGACTCAAGCAATGGTCCATTGGCAAAAGCAGCAGGTTGCTATGCTGAGGTCAGATAACTCTTAAACTAAGGGGAAGAGCAGAGTTTTTATGTGTGTGGTGATGAAACCTCTGATTTGCATAAGAACAGCCCAGGTGTCTCACCCATCACCAGAGGATACCCAAAATAAAGCGACCTTTGTTTAGCAAGGAGATTTTTTTTTGAGCCAGATTAGGAAAACGATCGATAAGAAGCAAATCCTGTGGAGCTGGGATAATGCTCGTTATCATGCCAATATCCTCCCTTACCCCACTGGCTGTGATGTAAAACTCACCTGCCTGGGGGCATGTGTTGGGACATTCACACACAGGTCTGAAGGTGTTCATCCCTTCTGAGAAGATGTCACTGGCCCAACTACATCGGTTTAGAAGGGGTCATAAAGCACCAAAAACCCCAGACTAATTTCTGGGGCCTTCTGCCAGAGGACAGCACATGAGCCACAGTGTTGCATCAAACAGTGTAGAACTCCCCTCCAGGGGAGGTACCTGGGAGTTCCCACCTGAACCTGAAAGTGCCTTAACCCACTGAACTTCATGTTGTGTGGGGTTTCCCCCACCCTGGATGGATCAAGACTGTGACCATCACTTTGACCAAGCGACAGATAAATTGCAACAACCACGTCTTGTTGATGGACCCATATGTGTGGTATCTTTCCTCTCCACTAACTTTTCTTCCCTTCCCTTCTCTCTTTTTTCTCTTTTTTATACTTTTTATATTGTCAGATTTTTATAGTTAATAACCGAAACGGCTACATACCTCCTTTCTACTGCAACCAAATTTTTCTAAAATTAACCAGCCATATTTATATGTATATATACATGTACATATACATCTATCTATCTACACTGGTCATTCAGTGTCATTTCACTCTAATCCACCCCAAGGGATCTATTAACAAGAAGCTCAGTCACTCTTGCCTTCAGGGTGGGTCACAAGAGCGCAGCATTTCAGAGTCCATTGAGGAAAACCTGTTCCAGTTCTAAGCAATTTACAGGCGAAAAAAGATGTACAACACCAATAGTGGCTGGAAATGTTGAGAGTAGGGTGGAAAGGTAAGACAAAACACAGCAAATTTTACCCTGCTTTTTCTGTAAAGTCAGTAAGACTTATTCTTCTTGGGTTAAACTACACTGGTGAAATTATAGTGTTCCATTAAAGATTACCTTCAAAAAGACTTTTCACATATAAACAAAAGACTATTTGTTTTGGAGTATATAATCATTTCTGATATCACAATTATTTTCTTTCAGAAACCTTCTGCAAACTGAAGAAGCATGGTACCTTTTACCATCCCAAAATTCTAATGGATGTAAATATTTTCAGTTCAGTTTTCTCTCTCGCATTGCTCATCTTTGTCTTATAACAGCCAGTGGTCAAAGTAGACCCAGTGTGACACAGGCAAAAATTTATGAGATAAATGTTAAGTGATGGAAAAAGAGACAAAAGAGCATGACGAAGTCAAATGCTGCAACACTTTTCCAACTTACCATTAGGAATGGCTGACAGCTTTCCTAAGGTTTCATTCAAACCTCTCAAGAGAATGGAATTCTTCTCATCAGCATCTTTCAGCCTGTTCTGTGTGCTGTTCAGATCATCACCCTTTTCTATGAAAAATGCATATGAAACAGATGCTTTAGCTCTTTATTTTCACTATCCTTTCTTTGCATATAATTTAAAATGAATAGTAACAAGCAAGCCATTTTTCATTAAGATATCGAATTGTGTAAATAAGGAAGTCCAGCAGAACTTGTGGGGTTCACTGATTATCTTCTCCAGTTTCTTTAAGTTCCCTACTTCCATAGTATCTAAATGCTTGAGTTCCTTGTACTGTTGTATATACTCCAATATGGGTTTTCCAAAGGTGCGCTGAGGAAAGAACTTGTTATGATGTTATGGTTTAGGCAAGTTCACACAATGATCCACTGATAGATTCAAGAACTGTGATGTTAGTCATAGTTTTGATTCCTAGATAAAGCTAATGCCTTTCTTCTTAAGGTGATTGCCTGAGCTGAATGAGTCAAATATGGTGTGAAAGAGCCAAGACCCATGAGGCCAGCTTGCTGTTGCAATTAGAGTGGTCAGAGCCTAGTTCTCTTGGATTTTCTCAAAGATGTTGACGTAACATCCAAGGAAAATAAAAATCACTAATTGTCAATAAGAGATAAATACAGTAACGTATTTATTATGAAATACACATTCTAAATTCTTGGGAAAACACCCACCTAGTAAAAAACATTAATAGTTAAGAATTGGTTCAAATCAAAGGACCAGTACAAATCAAAGGCACAGGTGTGTCATATTTAGTACCTCACAGTTGAAACAGATGTCCTCATTTACAAGCAAGTTCCTATTTTTTTTAGCATTTACTTTGAATAAAAATTATGCAGGGTCTTTTGGACTGTATCCGGCAGAGCAATGCAACAACCTTAAAACTGAGATCCCAGCTAAGCTTTATGGCTATGGAAACAGACAATATCCCAAAATTCAGAAGTAAAGTTTGACACAAAGAAATGTAGTTACTGCTTAAACTACTATTGTAGTGGACATTTCTCATTATTTCTCTGTATCAATATGAAGCTCCTTGGAACAGACAGCTGGTAATTTCTTACCTTAAAGGCATATCCTACTGGGAAACTAATTTAACATCACTGAGCTTGATAGCCAGAAGAGAAGAATAATTTGTAGAAAAGGAGTTCAGGATGACAAGCTATGACTGTGACCTTCAGGTATGTGACAGGTTATTGAAAATAAACAGCTATGTGGTTCACATTCCAAAAATTCTAAAAAAAGTATGGTTTCTTAAAATCAGATGTGCAAGAAGCAATTTGTAAGGAAAAAAAACCAAACAAAATTCATATTGCCTACAAGAAATTATTAATTAAATTTTACAAGGCTAGAGCAAGGCTGAAACAGCACATGGAATTTAAATGAGAACTATACTTTTGTTGTTAGACCTTTTGAAATGTCATTGAGGAAGAAATCTGTTTGCTTTATTTAAATTAGAGCAACATGCAGGACTGTAGGAGTGCCTGGAGATAAGCCTTCACTCCTGCAAAATGCTCTGCAGAAGAACAGGACATTTGTGTGAACTGTGAGAGGCACAGTTCACACTAGAATAAAGGTTGGAAGAATTGCATATATTATATGATCACTCGTCTCCTTAAAAACAGCTTTATTTTTAAATGACAGGTTATGTCCCCACTGCTGAAGGAGGCTACTGGTAACATGATATTGTTAAACCAGGATGAATTAATGAGATTCTGGCCTGTATGCCTTGAGATTTTATCTGAGTTATTTTCCCTTAAGTAATAACACCAAAAACAAACAAACAAACCAACAAAAAACAACAACAACAAAAAAACTTTAATTTCCACCATTTAATTCTGAAATTATGGTCTGCCTGATAAAGTCTTGGTGTTTCTAGTGGAATGTTGGTGTTCATAAAGTGTGTTAGTATTTCTGAGAAGTTTGACTCATTTATGGTGGTGGTGTTCTAACTTTACAACATACTTTTAAATAATCTCTTTTTCTCCTCTCTACTCGGCCTATCCAGCGTGCTAATTATCTCCTAGTTATATTTCTGAAGAGTCATGTTTCCAGATTTCTGTTTTCAGCTTTGGAACCATAGCAGCAAACTGGGTTTTATGGAATTTAACAAGAGAAGTTTCCCTAGACATTCTGAAATTGAATCCTGAGAGTCTACCTGTTTAATATTGTTTATTTTAATTCCTCAAATATAGTTTTACTGTGGGTCGGGGTTTTTTTTTTTTCAGTTACAATAATAAATAATAAATAAGTGCTCCTAGGGAGGCTCTTACACAGGGGGAAGTGTGGAGATTCTATGCCCCATGTCACCTTTTTAAGGAATTTGTTCATTTTACACAGAGATATTAAGTTATGTTTTAAAGTAACTTCTTATCTTGTAATCCAGATGGCGTCTTCACTAAGCACTGGACTAATCTCTTGCATCAATCACAAACTGAACTGACTTCATGTCAGCTTTCCCACATCCTTTAATTATTAGCATTTATAAAAAAAACTGTGGCAACGATTTGAAGGCCCAAGATCCTCCAACTGAGCGCTGAAGTTTGTAAAAATACAGGCAGCTACAATCTAAGTTTTTCCAAACTACAGAGCCTATCTGACTTGGAAGAGGTTAGTAGGTCTGCACTGACACATGCCAGGCACTGTCAACTCTCATTAAATATAGGTTGAGCAGTATCACGAGGAATTTATCTGAACCCTGTTTTTTTCACTAGATCAGCTCTGCACAGAGATGGCACAAGATGCCAATAAATGCACTGTTGTTCAAGTCAGCAAAACTAGTCATGCATTGCTGAAACTAAACCCTAAAGAGTAAGCAGGAGCCTGAAGGACTTCGCATGTATTGGCCTTTGCACTTGCTGGCTTGGTTAACATGAAGAAAGATTTTCAATTTCTGTTTATATTAAACAAAGCATTACAGGATAAAGCATCACCCCTTATTCCTCTGCATGAATGGAGTCAAATGAAAACAATGCTGTGCACATATATTTAATCTTCAGATGAACTCAGGAATTTAGTTACTTAGTGTTTATACAGAGTCATTTACAAAAGACACATGGCTTTACAAGTCTCTGCAAATCACATAAATAGTTGACACTGGTTAATTGCTGATGATGTGCCACCATCATGGTGGAACAAACATATAGAGAAACATAGTGGAAACAGGTATCTTTTGGCAGTATGGATAAATGCAGTTTTTCCACATGAAACTGTCCAAGAAAACATCAATAAGGCTATGCTACTAAATTCATGTATCCCAAAACCAGACTGAAGTTGGAAGTCCACCAAGGAACCACAAATGCATCTGTTCTTATTGACTGGAGACTACTGAAATGAACTGACTGTTACACACATCTTTCTGTTATCTCTGTGTTATTTCCAAATAGCATTCCTGCTCCCCACAGTCTCATCCTATAAAGAGGAACATGGGTCATAAGCTGATTCTTTCTTTCCTAAACCAAGCAAGACTTAGAAACTGCCATTAGGAACAAACAGGAGAAAGAGATGTAACTAGAGAGATGCAGCTAATTAAGTTTAACTTTTTAAAAAGAGTACCTTCAGCACTGACTGCCATAATCTGGTGAATACAATATGCCAGGTCAGCAGAAAGACCACTCAGAGGAGAATACACAAACAAGTGATCTATCAGCTGGATATGTTGCCTATCAGCTGGAAAATGTTTTAGCTAAAAATATTCACGTGTTGTCTGACAAGACACAATCCCCTCAAGTTGTCAATTCTTAAGCATAAGAAATTACATGAGCAGAATTTCAGTAGCCACCTGACAGCAATCTCTAGCTGAAGATGAGTTTATGTATCTTATTTTCACTTTTCATTGATCAGCAGCATTTATACACTGGTAGGCCAAATTTCAAAATTCCTTCCTAGCCACAGTACTACATACATATTTTACTTCTCCCACCAGGGTTATTCTTTCTGACTCCTAACCCTACAGAGAGGGAAATGACTAAATCTTCATTTTAATAGCTTCTGTCACAAGCTTTGCTTTGTAAGGACTGTTACAGCAGTCTTTGGTGCTAATATACAACATTTTCATGATTAACAGCCATTTTATAACTCAGGTAATTGGCCACAAATCAGGGGAATGTCATAATGTAGGAACAAAACACTCCCATCTCTATCACGGCTCAGGCTGGATTTTTGGACTGTATATTAGTTGAGTGGCTTATGGGTCTTCATTACTTTAACTAATGTACTTCCTGTAGTGCAGACAGAGAAATTTTAAGCTAGTGATTAGTTCTGTCTACCAGATCTTTATAGAGTGCCCATTAGCCATCCTGCACTTCCAGCTGAGCCTCTAAAAGGGTGGCTTTATAAGGATTCTAAAAAAATATCTTTCTATTAGTTTGACACTGAGCTCTCAATTTATCTCATGGGAAAATTAAGACATCCAGAAGGAATTAGTTCATAACACTAATAAATGTTCTATGTTATTCACAATACTAATAATATCACCACTTCGGTGCAGAGTGGGGAATAGAAGTCTGTCATTGCATTTTCTTACGCATCTGCATTCTGGACACAAAAAACATGTTAACTGATCTCCATGGGTCTAGCTGTGGAGCATGGACATGTTTTATTAGATGTAAAAAGGCATACTGTTCAAGTTCAGAATGTTTGTCTTTATGAAGCACTTTAAGATGCATTAAAGAAAGCTCCATCTCATTACCCTTCAGTTAGGGGCAAAAAACATAGACAAAGATCCAGAATGTGCATTTTAAGCATGGCTGCCTGCTTGCATTAAGTTTGCTTTATGAATCTTTAGGCTGTCTGGACATTTTCTTCTGAATTATGAAACTGTTATCAACTTAAATTTTCACTGGTACAATGGGAAAATAACTTTCTTCAAAATTCTCTGCAGTAATGGTTGTAATATATCTTGTCTCAGGGTTAAATGGAACAGTCACGTGGACACAGGGAATTCACGTCCATCCTTGTAGAGACACCATTTTAATTTGTCCTTGAAAACAGGGCACTGTGCTTTAATCCACTACTCCCGCCTGGGGGCACAGAGAGCTGTGGACTCCACTCTGAGGTGCTGAGTGTGCTCACTGGAGAGCTGTGGCAGGGGAGAGGTGGCACAGCCATTTTAGTGTCTCTTATACACCAGCCATGGCAAGCTGCAGCAGTTTGCATTCCAGAAAGCATCACTATTTTTTTCTGCTTCAGCCATGCTACTGAAATTGCACACTGGCCTCTTCCAATAGTCTTGTGATTTTCTAGAACATATTTCCTGAAATATGTTCCTCTGGCGCTAAATCTGTACTGAATCTGGAAGCAGAGAGTTGCAATAAAGAAGACCCTAAATACACCCCCAAGATTTACTACTAGCTCAGACACATTTCTTTCTCTCAGTTCACTACAAGAAAATAGTCACGTTTTTCACTTTCAAAGAGTGTATGACAATGAAATGCAATTAATGACCTTACAAAACATTATGCTTTATGACCTTATTAAACATTGTGTTTACTTGTTAATGAGTTCTGCAGTTGGAAATCACAGAGCTGCCAACACTAAATTAAAGTGCAGTAATAGCCAAAAGATGACAAAGGTGTATGGATCACCTCCTTTATGCTGTATGTTCTTTTTAATATATCTCCCAGGAGGAAAAGAGAATTTTGTATGCAAAAACATGGAAGACAGGGCTCTATCATGAAAATCTATCTTGATTCTAATAAGAAACAAGTTTCTTATTAGTTTCTCAGTTTAACTGAGCTAGCAGGATGGGGAAGATTCATGCATCACCTCTGTGACAAGTTTAAAACTCAGCCTTCAATACTTACTGTGTGCAATTTTTCTTGCCCTTACTCTTGCCCTTATTGCAGCTAGCAAGAGAAGACCTAAATTCCCTCCTCCTCAGCCCTCTTGTCCAAGAAATGGACAGAGGAGACAGGAATTCCTGTATAATGCCTGTCACAAAACAGGAGAATCTTCTTCATTGATACACTGTCCAATTTCAAATGAGGCAATGAATGTTTTCCTATAGGGATTCTTCATAACAGAAGCACAGCAGTCTCACAACATCATCTTCCTCTGTTTAGTGGGTCTGAATGCCATATACTGCACATACCTTTAACATCACTTTCCAACATCTTGGCTTCGTTAAGAACCCTGAAGCTTTTCTTAAGAGAGCTCTTGGCGCCATCCTTCAGTGATCCTTGAGGACCAGATGTCTGTAGACAGAGAAAAACAAAGTGTCAAACAGACAGGAAAGTCTGAGGTTATAAAAGACGTGATCATGATCTAAGTGAACAGTCATCTACACGTTTTACGTGCACATCAGTGGTCTCTGAATTACATCCCATAGCCATGATATTAGTCTAACAGAACAAAAAAAAAATTCTAAAATTTTCTAAAAAGTATTTTTTAAATGGAATGTCAGATTCCCTTTGGAATATGGGAGATTACTTCAATAAAGAGAGACAATGCTTACAGTATTAAAGAAACAGATTTGACTCTAAGAGCAAAACTGTCCAAAACCAACAAACAAAACATATTTCAACTTAAATATGTGTTTAAGTTATTTAATATCGTTCCAGCTATGGACAGAACACCATGAAATACAGTATTTCTTTCTAACTGCAGCTACAGAAACTTTAGAATCCAGACTGGATCCGATGACTCTAATAATGACAACTGAGATTCATTTGTGGTTAAATTAAGGAATTATAATTGCTAGGTGAGTAAAGAAATAAGAAATAGAGTTTTAAAAGAAGGGAAAACTGCAGTTAATCTGAAAGAATTTTATTACTAAGTAACCAGCCTTCATCATATCATGCTACTTAAATATCTTTCTCCTGAAAAACATCCATCTCTACCTTCAGTGCAGAGACTGATCAATAGATGGAATGATTTTTCTAAATTAGATTAGTGTTTTCAGTCAGTAGGAAATGCTCCAGGTTCTGAAACACTTACTGTTCAGTTTGTAAGACTAAACTCAGGTCACACATCATACTGAATACATTTCTTTGAGAATACTCCTGACAGCCAGATAACATTCTGTATTAGTCATGGGTCATAGCCTTGTAACTGGGATGTAATTAAGAAGCAGCTACTTTTCATTTTCCAGGGCAGACACATATACTCAAAAATTAACTGTGTGTCAATTAAATGACACAATTATTATTGCTATTCATTATTTTTTATAATGAGCAAGCCCAGAAGTGACATTTCACATATTGCTGAAGCTCTGATGTTTTTCAACTACACTGTAAAAAACATGTAGTGAACTTGCTGTTTCTCTTCCTTTTAAAAATCTTAGCAAATGCTTTGGATGCTTTCAAAATTCAAAACCAAGCTTTTTGCTATGTGATATCTCACGGTATGGCTGTTGCCATGTCACAGGGATAGAGCTATTAAAGAATTTCTTGTATTTAGATGGGATGTAAATATAAGCTTTTATGTGATTTTAAGAACTAAGGCACACATCACTGCCATTTTCGAAGCTCACCTGAAATATCAAGCTGTGTACACATTCCTTTCAACAACAAAAACATATACATTCAAAAGATGAAAAAAATTAGTTTCTTACAGATTTTCTCTACTACGTAATAACAAGCAGCACTGGTAACAAAAAATATAAAAAAGAAAACAGGAAAAAATAAAAAAAACTACCCAGTGAAGCAAAAGACTTCTCCTGAAGGAAGAATATTTGGCCAGATTTTGTGACAGATGCACCTGTCAAATCAGATAGTACTTTTAAATTTCTTTTCCTACTAGAAACAGAATGCAGGGTGTGACCACTCTGTGACCACAGACTTAAAAAATAATGATTGTTGTTGTTTTTATTGTTCTTATTATTCGTATATAACTAGGCATTGCTGACTGGCTGTTGAAGCAGCTTATAGTCAATAAATCTGGAAGGCCAGATTTACAGTGCAATACCAAGAAGTTCATCAAATCAGGGACAGTAATTGGGCAAGCACTGACAATTAGTCAGAAACAGATTTCAGCATAAAGTTAATACTAGCAGAGCCCTTGCAGAGAGAAATAAACTTGTACTTATTAAAAGCTTTATTTTATATTTTTTCAAAGCAATCTTGAAAATGAGGATTAATTAAGACATCTGATAGAAAATGTACTTTTTTGCTAGTTTTTCATGTGGTTCATGATATGTCAAGTTATGAAGCAGTCAGTAATTAAAACCCAAACATTTTATGACTTTGTGTAAAGTGAGTCTGTATACTTGTGGCAAGCCTGGGGCATGGTGAACTATTTTATATTTTAGTAGGATTTACAGCCAACAGACTTTGACATTGTTTTCTAAATTGGGACATATACTGTTAAAAAAAAAAAAAAGGACAATTAAAAAAAAGGAAAAAAAAATTGTGATTCAAAATAAAAGTGAAAATTGCAGGGTCTCTAGAATTTAATTTATTCTAATTCTGTCTCTTCCAAAATGTCAATAATCTGCAGATAGTACCTTTCTCTCCTTGCACCTTTCTTCATGACCCTACCCTCCCCATGCAAACCCTGTGCAGTTTGAATCTCTGCTTCATCTTCTGGCAGAAGTGGGACCATGTTATGTAACCAAACTGTGCTCTCTCAGTCATGCTTTAGAGGCATAAACGCACTGGGGCAGTGTTGAGGATCATGTGAACTTCCACAGGAACAAGGTTTTATAGGCATCAGTGTTAATTCAAATCAGTTAAAAATAGTTCTGCCTTGTTCTTAATTTTTTTTTCTTTTCATTTACACTTACATTGTGAAGTTTTCTCTTATGCAAGAGATAGGGCTACTCTCATTTCTACCAGTCCCAAAGATGGATACTAAAAATGACTTGCACCTCAGGGCATCCTCACAAGGATGTCTAGGCAGCTTTGTGTTAGGAAATCTAGACACTCAGTAGAACTGCTGGGGCACCACCTAAAAAGAAAGTCAAAATCAAAGAAGAAAGCAGGACTCTAAACACTCAGTGTGTCCCTTGTGCTTCCTACAGTCCCCAGCCTCTAAGTCCTTTCTAAAAAGCCTAAGAATAATCCACTTTTATAATATATAGTGTACAACTATGATTCTGATCTGTGAGATATGACCAGAATATGTTAACCTGACTCCTATCAGTTACTACATAAGTAATGGAATGCTGAAACTCCCTGAATGCTAAAGATTTCCCATTTCTGATAAATTTATTTTGCTTTCAAAGGGGAAAGCAAATCCATCATAAAAACCTCAGGAGGAATTTTTGTCATATTTTTAATACATTTTTCCAGTCATTTATCAGGTCTTCCTGTAATCACGATGGATTTTGACTATCTTTCCATTCATGCTTTAGCAACATTAGATTAATTTGAAAATTAAGTCATTTTCCCATTACAAACCAAAAACCCCTTGAGATATCACTAAGGTTCTTGTAAATAATTTGACCCAGTGATGTAGAGGATAGAACCTAAATCTAAAACCTGTCCCTATGGTCTCTGATTCATACACAGCTTGTTGCTCTTGGGAAACCTTCATCGCCCTGCACCAACATTATCCTGGTGAATAGGAAAGGTGAGGATCAGGAATGAAAGTGAGCTACAGCACTTTTCTCTGTTATCTGTTCACAGCTGGAACTCTGACTCTTTTACAGAAGACAGGCATCCACAGCAGCTCTCATACAGAAGAGAACATGGCTCCATCTTTCAAAAGGAGGGGAAAGACACAAACTCCATCATGTCACAGGGTCCCCAGAGCAACTTCTCAGAAAGCTGGCATCACACTGTCTAGGGGCTTATGCTGCCTTCTAGGAGCAAATTCACCCATGCTGCCTTCTATGAGACTTTTTGAGCCATTGTGCTCTAGACAGCCCTGACTGAGGGTACATTCCTGGTGTTGTGCTGAAACTCAGCTGAAAGCTCCATGGGACCTCCAGAAAGTCGGACCCTGATTTATCTGGTTACCAGTGAAACTCTTCACCTAGGCTGAGCAACCATTCAACAGTCTTTAAATACAAACACGGAAATAGAATAAAGAAGTGATGACTGTAGTTCACTACTGACATAGTTTTAAAATCTGGCTCAAAACCCTCAAATGATCATTTAAAAAATAACAGCTAAATCTATTGCTCTGCAGCAATTTGACAGCAAAGCACCAATGACCTCTCTATCAAGTCAATTACATTTAAAAAGCATCAGCTGCCTCAATTTTCTTCCTCATCAACTAGATCTCCATTTCATACACTGCTCATAAAAAACAACAAGCTCCTTCTACTGAATACATGCAAAGGAGATGCTGAAAACATCACCTTAATATTTTCATCTCCTTCCTTGCTACTCACTTGCTTCTATTTACATCATATTTTCCATCTTGACCTCCATCACTCAAATTATCAATCCCCATTCTCTCTATGCTATAATCACCCAGTGATATATACACTTTTGTCACTATCCTGTAATTGCTAGCTTTGTTTCTTTATTGCTCTATGTGTCTTTTTCGCCCCTTTTCAATCCCTGAAACAGCTGCCTGTTTCACTCATTCCAAGTAGTCAAAGGAGAAAAAGACACACATTAAACCTTAATGAGAAGGAAAAAACAAAAAGGGCCAGGCCCTTATTTACTTCTGTGGTGTAATTAGGCATTCTACTGAAACAAATAATTATTTATGGAGAACTAGCATATACTAATGTGTGAGGTGAATTTTTTTCATCAAGAGAGAAATACAGTAGTTAGTGTTATTTGAAAAAACACTGAAAAAGTAAACAGCCTACAAATATTAAAACTTTTGTGCAGTGGCTAGTTCCCTTTATCCCTCTGAGGAATACAGACCTTCACAGCATGTGATTGATTTTGCTATTCTCAAAATCCATTTGACTGAAGTAGTTCTCTGTAAGCTACCTCTATTCATCTGCAAGTGCTGTAACTACAAGTTGTTTCTGCTCATCTACATGTTTCTATATCAAATATAAGTTCTGGCAATCTCATATTATACTATTGTTGCCTCACATTTCTGTATGCATGTGAAGTGCATGTCTGTTGGTCTCTGACTGACTCCCACAAATTAGCCATTAACTCCTTTGTTATCTCACCTAAAAGATAATTTTGGCTATGCTCAGAATGTTTTCTGCTCACAGTATATGCATCAAAGAGCCAAGATCTTCATTGTGACCCAGAGTGGAGAGCTCACTTTACCTTACAATACTATTTTAAAAAGTTCTCTTCATTTTCTCTGGAAATCTACATGTGCTACCTCATAGTGAGAATAAAATTTCTCTGCAAAAACTAGTAGAGGTCACAAAGCTAATAAAATTTCCACTCCACTCCTACAATTCCGCATTTCTAGAATTCTGCCAGGTGCATGCAGTTCATCTGATGTGCAGAGAAGTGCCTCCAAGCATTTTCAGGGAATGAAGTTGAAGGGTTAATTAAGGTATAGAGCTCTTAATATTTAATGAATGTATTACCCACATCTAAAATAGCACTACTGAATATCAAATGGCTCCTGACTCAAAGCTGTTGGCTTGAGCCATACACAGGGACCAAAATGTGGAAGATAGAAGGAGGAAGGATAACAAATAAAACGGGGAACAAAAGTAAGGATCATGAGTAAGGAACAAACAGGGACTGTCTGAAGGTACATTTAGCTCTGACAGAGGCATATCCTTCTGATCACAAAAGCAAGAATGTTTGACGGCAAAGGTCTTCACATAATGTTTTAAGATGGCAAAACATGGATCTGAGATCAGGTGTAGCACATTCCACAAAAAATCTAAACCTTCCTCTCAATTTACTCATTTTCCTTACCTCTTGCATAGCTTCATTTGCAAGAGCCTTGGCTTCCTTGGCAACTCTTTCAGCTTCGTCTGTGTAATCCTTGATGTTAGTATAAGCATTGAAAGCACGTGTGGCATTGAAAGAGAGGTTTTTTGCTTCGGTAAGGATTCTGTTGGGATGAGGAAAGTAAACACACCATTAAACCTGCTGCCAGAACTCAACAGAATAGAGTATTCTACATTTTGAAACCCAACAGCCTGTATTTCTAAGGTGTTTAGAGAGCAATGCTACATCTGAGATTTCAGAAGATCTGGCATCATGTGTTTAATGGAATTCATCTTTCATCTGGGCAGAAAGACAAAGAACAATGTTTGCTAAAAGATGAAATTCTGTGAGATAAAAATAGATCAGACACTGAGAAAAGATAGCACTGTGCTTAATACTCTAATACAAGTAACATATTCATCATGTGGGTTTTTAGGCTATATGCTGAGCTAGGCAACTTGAGGAAACTTGCACTGTATGAACATGAAGGATCATCACTGACATGTTTTAAAGTAGAATCTATGAAAAATTAATTTCTTGGTCTGGCTGCCAAATACAGAATTGCAAGTTTTGAAGGAGGTCTTACAGTCTAAACCAAATCATAAATGTTAATTTTGCTGACCAAAATGAAAAACATAGGCAGCAATGCTTCATATTGAATGCGATGTTCAATTTACATGAAATACTCCATTCTGATAGCTATAGATTAAATACAGTTAGTATTTGCTGGTGCAGAGACAGTGTTCAGCTAGCCGCCCTCCTAGGGGAATTTCTACTCAGCAGGCTGGGGAAATAACTTTTCTTGCACTCTCTCTGTAGGATATATTAAAATATTTTCTATAAAGAATTGCTGCACCTACAGAATGAACTCAGACAACCATCTCAGTAGCTATTATGACCAATGCCTATGTTGATTTTATTGAATAAAGTGTAAATGGACTAAAATCCCCACTTGAACTGGATAAGAATGAATCTGAACTTGGATTTTTGCCTCTCTGAGAAATTCTCTAGCCATACAGGTGTATGGCAATATGAGAGAGACAGAGATTGCTCCTGTTGGACCTGTCCCAGCTTGTATAAGCTACTCGTTGAGACAGTGTGTGTGTGTAAGAAAGGAAAATTCATCCCAGTAATTTATGTGTTCTCTGATGAACTGTGACAGCTGGGCTCTGATCCTCGCATCAATTACTTGCTGATTTCCACAAAATGCCAGAGAAAAGACAAAGAGGACAGAAAGCATAGTCCCTGGACTTGATATGTACCTAATAGAGGGAGAGAGATTCCCTTTAGGTTACTGCATGATTGAGCTGCCTCTGCATCACCCTTAGAAAAGCGAATCTCTTTCCTAAACTATGGCTGGAGCTCACTTGGCTACTCTAAGTTTCTGGGATGTTCTGTTAGACAAAAGTGGAGCCCAGAAGAGCTACCTGGCAAGTAGCTCAATAACTGCCTAGAAAACATGGTTCAAATCCTTTCTGGTTAGGAAAAACCTAAACTGAATTTGCCAAATACCAATGGCGTTTACTCACAAGCAGGCAATTAGCCATAAGGGAGAAGCCTATACTAATGCTTCCTTGTACACTGCAGAAATAACATTTTTTTCCCTAGGTTAAGTTAATGAATGGTTCCATGTTCTAACATGCAAGAGAACATCCTCATTTTCAACCAATATATTATTCCAGTCCTTAGAGGGTGACTGGAGAGACAGGGCTCTCCCTCTATTTCTCCTGTAAGAAGAAACAGTAATCTACACCAAATTTAGAACTGTCTAAAAGACACTCAAGTGCCAGTTGTGAAGATAGATACACTTTCTAATTTCTCAAACTGATAGAGACTGTATATGCCTATAAAGTATAGCTGTTTATTGTCAGTGCATGAAGTAAAGCTTTATTCTGATTACACAGCACCACGGTAGTTCTTTGTCCTTTGAAGATATGCATACATCTGATCACATCAGAAATTTTAACTTTGAACAATCTGCCTTTAGACATAGTTTTTAATGTCCTTGATTCTGCAGAGTTTGTCTTTCTTGAGAAACTGAGGTTGATATCTGGATCAGACATAGGTATGCATGGTGCTGTTCTAACATCTTAAAACACTACCCTAAGCTCCTTTAGGCCAAGCTGTCACCTACATTAAGACAGAAGCACATATGAACACCCATAAAAGGTCTCTTTTGAATAGTTAAAAAGTTATACCTCAAAGCATGTCTTGCCAACATTTGACTAGGAAGCAAAATCTTTTTTGTCTACATTTTCTCTCTTTCTTAGCTCCTTCATGACAACCTTCCGTGTATTCGGATATTTATGTGTGGTTGGGTGTGACACTAAAGTCATTAATTTTCAAATTCATTTTTACCCAGGAAACCACTGCTATGATTATTTTACACACCTTAAAACATGCAATACACTGGGTATCTAGAGTAGGGTAACTACACTGTAAATGAAGCCAGTAATTTCGCAAGTATCAGAGCTAACTTCCTGTCTTTTCCTCAAAATTACAGATGCTGGTAAGAAAAAACTGTGTTAAGCATCTGCTCACAAGTCTTTGAGATATTCAGGTCTTCAGGTAGAGCTAAAAGATATAAGCAGCAAAAAAAGTAGCATATTGTTGATGTTTAAAAACTAAGTTTTTTTTTTTTTAACGCTGTGAGTTTATAAAATAATGAAGCTCTGAAGCTGATGCTGGGGACAGGTCCAACAGGCAGAATAGCCATAGTCTTTTTCTGGGTATTACTATTGCAAATCACACTTAATATTTATGGCTTGCTTTTTTAAGTGCATAGAATGCAATAAAACAAAAGACACCCCTCTCTTTTCCCCCCCAAATTCCAAAAAACCCAATAAAACCTCATTTTATATTCTTTCCAGGAAACTGTTTTCATGATGAGTTATATAGTATCATTCTTCTGAAAGAGCAGTCATATATGGTCATATAAATGATGGGCATTGCACTTGTTATATTTAGGAATGTGATAGTGGTAAACAGAAACTGAAGTTTCTGTTCTTGGGTTTAAGCATTTTGGTCCAGGACACTTACTTTTTTTGGGAGAGTGTTTTGAAACTGGTAGAGAAAGTACTGTACATCACTAAGGGAGACTTCTGACAGTAAACAATTTAGTATCACAATAATAGTCTCCTACCAAAATGGTCATCTTAAAAAGGAAAATACTACTTGCTTTTAACAAATACACATGAAAACATGTAATGAGCTCTTTAAGAAGAATTTCTATTTTTTTTTCACAACGTAGCAGTAAGCATATGATAAGTTAAACTGTGTTATTAGTGCATCTGAGGGCACTGTTTGCTGTCCATGCAGCCTATAAGAATTACAATGTAGGACACTGCTTACAGAGATACATAAATTGACTTAATAGTTGTATACTTGTACATGCCACTGGTTATTTGTACACTCCCAGTGACAGATGTCAAAGAAGAAGAATGCCCTTCAAGTTCTGTGAAGTAATTTTGCAAACCTGCTTCATGATTTTAGCATTACCAGTGAATGTCTGCCTTACCCATCCAGCACTGCAGATGATTCATTCAGCTGGCCTGCATGGTTCTCAGCTTGCAACACCTTTTCTGGAAGCATCCTGTCACGAATTTCTTGTGATAAGTCATCTATTTTGTCTTTCAGCTGATCAGACATTGGCTGTATCTTATTTGCAACACCTTCTACATACTGAAAATGGCAAAAGAAAAGCCTTGAAATTTCTGATTGTAAGCATTCTGTAGCCTTATCTATATATAAGGGTTTTTCTTCTTTCCTTGGGGGCTATTATCTCAACTTACCCATGCATTAAAATTTCAGAGAACTAGTATAGAAAGAGGAACAGGAATGGTTGGACTGGAAAGCAGAGAGGAGATAAACAATATTCCAAGAGCTACCTGTCTCTCTTGAGCTTAGTAGAAGCTTTTCTTTTACAATTAAGGAAATGGTTTAAAAGCTTATAAACTAATTTGCATTTGTTTCCTAAACATAGATACATGCATAGCTATATTAAATGGTTGCTGTGCTCCACAGTAATAACCAATAAGTGGCAGAAGTTTCATGTTTCAGGACCCTTTGACTGGCTACAATGTCTTTTTGCTTATTACAGCTTCTCAGTAAGAACCATGCTTTTTGAAGACTTGCCATTCCTGTTTCAAAAAGCTGTCTCACTGTGTCTCCTTCTCCATTTTTCCAAAGAGCATTTTCCCATTTATTACAGCAAGCTGTGATGCATGCTGGAAATATCTTCAGAACCAATGATACTTCAAGTTACCTTTTTTTTTTTCTTTGTAGCTATGACAACACTGATCTCAAACTTTGTTGATAAAACTTCTAAGGCAGAATTTTCAAAATTATTATGCAAAATGAGACTTCAATCATCTCCCTGATCTGTCTAGACTTAAAATTGTGGCCACAGGCAACACATTTTTTCTGAATCTTCCTTCTGACATACACACCATTTTTGTGCAGATAAATCTACACCTAGATTACAGAGTTGCAGTGAGACTGTGAATGGGTCTGCTGCATCTGTAATTCTTAAGATAAAGTTAGTACCACAATCAGAACACCACATTTATAAATGGCAGAGTCCCTAAACCTTATGAGGTAGCTCAAATGTAATCCAATGAAGCACTTAAAACTCCAAATTATTAATTTTTATACACCAGACTAGCTTTTCTGCTATACAGCAACGGAAAAAAGAACTGTCCCAAGTAAAATATTTCAATATTGATAAATACAATGAAAAACTAGGTGTTACTTTATTTATCTATTTTGCTTCCAGAATGATATTTTGTTGTACTAATCCTCAGATAAGGATGATAAAATACTTACTTCTACAGCTATGCTGATGTCATTTGCAAGTTGATCGGCTTCATTAAGGACATCATTCCCTTCCTGAAGGGTCTTTTCAACATCTTGTCTGCCATCTTCTACAGCTTGCTTCCTTTTCTATAGGGTGAGTTCACACAAAGAAAAAGATGAGTTGTTTACTAGAACAGTTCAAATGCCAGCACCTCAGTATAAGAATGCATTTTGTCACCATGCCACAATGCCCCTTCTGCAACTCTCTGCGCTCTCAGAGCTGCGACAGTGACAAGAATAAAGAACATGTGAGGTATCTTTCCTTTGTCCTCCTAGTCCCAGCTGTGAGCTGTCCTCCCATGGGGCAGGGTTTTTGTTGCTTTCTAACAGAGGTCATTGGCTGAAGTACTACTGCAAAATGAATCAGAAAGTTACCAATCCTAATTGCTACCCAGATGTGTAAGTTCCTCATGTTGTAAATCACCTCTGATGATGAAGCAAAAATTTATACAAATATTCGGCTGCTTTCCTACTTCCATCCACTGGTACTTTATCAACTGCTGAATGCAAAGTAAAAGGTTTGGAACACCCTACAGATTTCTGTTTTTCCAACTAGTAAAACTACTGCATACTGTGTGGTAAGAATGGGCTTCTGAATAAAAAGTTGGCAATTTCCTGTGCAAGACCCACTGAGTGTGGGTCACAGATTAGTCTGATAGGAGGCCATGGCAGCCTTGTGGGCAGGACTGCTGGAAAGGCACTCTGCTACAGCGATGCAGAGAATATTTTTAAAACTGAAATAGCAGATAATTTCTCCAACCTTTATCCATTCACCTATGGGAAGAAAATGCACAGAACAGAGATCACCTAAATTCGTCAGATCACTGTATTTCCTTAATTCAAACAAGCGCAGAAGTCTCTGTTGAGAATGGAGGTCTCAGAACTCTAACCTCATATTGTACTTGAGGTGAAAGCTCACTGAGATACAGAGCTGAAACATTTATCTTCATTAGGTTGACTCTGCTCTTTATGTCTTGGTTAAATGCTTGTTAATGTACAGTATAATATGCTCTTTAAGTCTCTGCAATTTAAATTAAATCACAAGCAGACCCCTCTACTATGAGAGAGATCATTCATAACAGCTACTAACTACCGAGGATAGAGTTTGATTTATTACTCTGTAATATCCACACACCCCCTTCAAGTCTTCTTCCCAGGGGCTGGAGAGGGAGATGAAAGTGTACGTTTTCCAGAAGCAAATATATGACAGCAAAGATTTTAACAGACCTCCTATTTAAATAGTGAGCACATGCTTTGAATTTTACATGACTGTTTATACTGGGACGAATTTAATTTCCCACAGAATAATAAATCCAGTGTAGCTTCCACAAAGCAGATAGTATTATTTCAATAAAGCAGGGAAGTAATTCTACTTTTAAAAGCCAGTGCACTTCCTCATTCTGAGGAACATGTTCCCTTTAAATTACATTAGATATAGTTATATTTTTATCATACTTTTTTTTTGCTTATATTTTTGTTTTAATATTTAATCATGCCAAGGTTTCATCTTTAATCAGAATCAAAGTAATCGAGGGTAAAACTTGTCAGCACTCACCTCCAGCATGGTCATATTTTTTTGATTGACTGCAGATAAACGATCGGCCTCCCAAATTTTACTTGCAGCTTCTTTTAGCAGATCTTGAGCATCAGCAACTTTGCTCTGGTAGTCTGCTAGCTTGTCCCGGACCTCCTTTTTGAGATCCTCATTTTTCTCACTGGGCTCACCAAATAATCTCTTCACCTTGTCCAGAAGATCTTCTGCATTCCTGAAATACATTGCCACCTATGAAGACACTGAGTTCACATTCCTTACACCAAATAATCTGAATAGTCTCAATAATATGCAAATGAAATTGAAAAACTTCAAAGTCTCAAAGAAAATGAAATTAAATTAAGTCTCAAAGTAATTTTCGAGATGACACATGCTCAATAAAGCGAAAGGACAGTTTTTTCTAAGCTCTTTCTTAAAAGAGGTTTTTTAATTCCACTAAGGTCCTATTTATGAAGCAGAATATACTCAAATATTCCCCACTGAAGACTATTTTTTTTAAAAAAATTTTTGCTTAATTTCCATTCTTGAGATCTGACTGGCAAGCTGAGGTTTTCTGAAACATTTCAACTTGTCTAAAAGATTTCCTTCACTCCCATTGATGTGACATATAACAAAGTGGTTTCCTCTCTCAAACTGAGGAGGATTTGTAGATATGGCCAATTTCAAGCTGTCTTGAAGCAGACAACTGCTTTAGACTAGACAGTCAAAAATCATAAATGCTTTCTGGTGAAATAAAAAAAAAACAAACCTAGATCCTTGGATTTATGACTTCCAGTAGTCAAAAAATTCTGCTTATCTAAAAAACACTCTGGAATATTTTTAATGGATTTTGCTGACCCCAGTTTTAAGGGACTGGAGCACTGTCATCTGCCTGCCTCAAACCAGTTTCACCTAAGGCAACACTACTGTGTTAAGCCAATAATATGTCAAGGGCAGGAAAGAAAATAAAAAAAAAAGTGGCACTTCAGGCACTTGCAAAATGATGCTTTAGAGATAAGAAAAATCCTAGAGTAAACAGGAATATGTAGGATAGATAATAACTACAGAAGAAATTTATCACTCTTCCACTTAGGACAGATTAAGATTTTCTTCCTGTTTTACTATGCCAAAGTGTGGAAAGCAAGAACTGTATTTTCTGAAAAAACACTGCAATTTGGCCTGCCTGTAGTCAGTTCCATTAAGAATCTTCTAAAAATATAAAAAAATGCACACCAAAAAGATATAGGAAAGGAGGAACAGATATGCTGACACTGGACATAATTTAGATGAAGGGTCTGAAGCGGAGCCAAGGAAAGTCAAATTGTTATCTTAGTTTTGGGATTTTCTGAGATGGATTTGAGTTCTTTTTCCCATCAATTCTGCCTTTGGTTTTGATAAAAAAATATTCACATATTGAATTCACAACTTCTAAGGACAAAATATTTAATCAAAAGCTAAATCCCAATATTGACACCCTGTCACAGAAGTGTAGAAAGGAATTCAGGATTTCTCTCATACCTCCTCCATTATTCTTCTATAAGAAGCTCCTGTCTTACACTTCTGGCAAATTTTGACACCCTTATGACACTGCAATACTGGAGAAACAGTACAAAACAGATGGATTTTTCTTTTATTCCCTTGCCTCACAGCACAGTTCAAACTACTTATCCATCCAGTAGTCTACCCCAAAATTCTTCCTTGGTGCTCCTAAGATAGCGCTTCCATATTGATCTGTTGTGCATTCTCGCTGTGCTCTTTCTAATGAAGTACGGGGCAATCTGTTCCATGCAATCCCTTACTCTAGAATTTTTTTGTGACTGGACTGTGCCATATTTCTTGTAATACTCTCTTGTACACTTAAGCTGTGCTACTTTCACTGGATACCATCCTAGAAAAAGAACAAAACTACGCAAAATGCTTGAAGTTTTGGAAGAAACAATCACAGATCCGGCCTAACACATGGAATGCTGAATGGTCTGGATGCTCAAAATGAGTGCAAGAGAACAAACAAGATTAGAAACTCATGACAAAATGATTATAATCCATTAACTGCATATGAGTCTAAAAATATTAGAATTGCCCTACCAGGAGAAGAAATAAGGATTGTAACATCATGAATAGCATGTATAAGGTGATCAACTGCCCAACGTCTCTTCAAAAACAAAACCAGAAATCTCAGGAAGCAATCAGGAAGTCAAAACGTAGGAGGCATATCTTCCAACACTGTATGGCTGAGTTATGCAAGTCCTTCTCCCAGGAAAGTGGATGATAGAAATTCAGAGAGGTTCAGAAGCCACCAGACAAATTAGAGGAAGGAAAAGTCACACCAAAATAAAGCTACTCAGCATACTAAACAGAAAGAAAAAATTCTGGCTCACAGCATCCCTTGATAGCAACTCAGTGGCATCTGAGAAAACATTCCATGAAGGAATGTCATAAAACAGTGAAAGATATACTTCATAAATATTAAAAACATGGCACATCAGAATAGCAACTGGTGTATTTCTCTATATGCTCTTTTTAGAGAGAAATTACTGACTATTATGCCATTTCAGTACACTAAGGCAATAAGAGCCTGGATTTGAAAAATTTGAAGGAAAATAAGAGAAAAAACTGCATATGTAAGAGAAGCTTTGCCATCTATGAAAACAAGAAAACTTTACTTCATTTGTCTTCTTCATTTAAGTTTTGAAAATTCCCTGAAAACACAGGAGAGAATCCACTGAATCCTGTCGTTCTTTTCTTGGACAAAATTCTGAAAACAGAATATAATCACTGACAGAAGACAACTCACCAAAGAGTACGCAAGATTAACTACTTCAAAGTGATCATGAGGCTTGCAAGAGCCTTACTTTATTCAAAAGTAAATATTTCAAATGGGTGTGTAGAGAATACATACATGTGTGGAGCACAGTGATCCACACCCATGCAGCTGTACCTCCAGAGTTCTAAGAATCATTAATTTTTCTTCATTCTTCTTTCTTGCAGAGTGTATCCTATCCACTGTCTTACTACAATATTTAAAGGGTTTTATAACATTTTCCTTCAAGAGGCATTTTCAGAAAACAACATCTCTAGGGTCCTTTCCTCCCTACCCTGTAAAGCACCGAGACTTTGGATTTCTTGGATCTCAGTGACTGCCTATAAAGAGGTAACCCTATCCTTAAGATAAACCATAAAACTTTATTTGAAATCAATGAATGTATCATGTATCTCTTAGTATAAAATGTATTCCTATATCAAGAAATTAAAAACTCACTTTGTACATTTCAGGAAGAATGGAAGGAGGAGAGAAGTTCTGTCCCTCAAAAAAAACCCTACTGCATTTTCTACTCTAGCTGTTGGGCTAGTGTAGGAAATTATTTCATTGTAGTCTGACAGTTTCATGTTGGCTATAGCATTTGAGGACTAATAACACCTTGTTTGAAAGGCCCTTCTCCATCCAGTCCTAAATTAGCAGGCAGCACTTTCAAATGTTTGGCTAAATTTTTCTCATCTCTACTTTTTCCTGGTTTATTTCTGTGTGTGAGTAGAGAAGGCATAGAAGAGACTCAGTGGAATCAGATGAAAAAGCAATAAAACATTGCTCACAAATAAGTTTGCAATATATTCTTTCTCAAGAGAACAGAAAGCAGAGCTATCAGTTATGGGAAGAAATACTGCACTAGCAGGATTTCCAGAAAATGATCTGGTTTATGAAGTCTAAGGCAGCACAAATCTGATTCTAAACTGCTTGGAACTCTCAGCTAATTTTGTATTCCATTTACGTCTCGTTACAGTATGCATGCATCTGATAACTGACATTTTCAGGCCTGCATAACTCTATCCCAGACAGTTTTTTGATCCATCACAAATTCAACGGACCATGTCACTGCTCAGATGGATTCCCTGCTAGTTGTTTGCACTGGTGAAGAGCTAAGCAAAGTCTAACTCTAGAAATATGCCTGGTCATAACTCATACAGATGTAACAAACTACCAGAATTTTTAACTTCAAGCCAAGTATTTCTCTCAGTCAGGTAACTTTTCAGCATTTGGCATATTGCTTTACAAACAGCTGCCAACATAATTATATATGTACATTTATTTACAGATAATTAAATAACCAAACAGCAGGCTTCTGAACTATGCCACAGAAATGGTTTATTCTGACCTACACCATTCTAAACATGGTAGAATATATTCTTCATAATGTCTACACTATTGAATGAACTTTTCAGACAGTTATTATTTTTATTAGACCAACCAGTTTTCCAGGAAAAAACCCCAAGCTTCCAGATGAAATTTTTAGTACAAAAGCCATTCACCAGGTCTGAAGTAGAAACTAAAAACAAACTGAGAAAAATTAGAATTCAATTAAAAATGTTGCTGGTACTGTGGAGCAGGGAAATAATTTCCTAGGGATTGCTTTCCACATATGTAAGCATTTTCAAAAATGCACATGCTATATCAACAGATATAAAGTATTAGACTTTGCTTTCTTTCACATTTCTGTAAGCTTCAGATAGAAAACTTGACTGGCAAACATGACTCACATTTACAAGAGTCAGACATTGTCACTAGGAGGTTGAAGACTGGGGTCTCTCTACTCACTTTAACTCATCTTGAGATATTTTTTCTTGCACACTGAGGTCTCTATTTCTCATCTCTATGACCATTCCTTCAGCCTCACTCTGCAGTTCTGGAAGACTCTTCTCCAAAGTCTTGTCTTGAGTTCTGAGTGTCTCATTCAATTTTACAGCATCTTCTTTTGCAGCTGCAGGGGACCAAAATACATTTATGTAAGGAGCTAGCAATTAAAAACAACAGAGAAGCTGTCAACTCTATCAGCAAACGGAACACAACTTGCACTGGTTACTTCTGCTGTGAAATATAAAGGATGGATAATCCAATGGTCAGTAACAAATGAGAAAGTAATGTATGTTTCGTCAAACCTTTTATTATAGTTCACTTTTCAACACAATAAATTAAAGAAGTTTTTATATCCAGGATAATAAATACATTGTTCCCTTGCTCCTCCCCCTGAAAGAAAGAATTTGCACTGAACCTTCAAAACAGGCAGAAGATACTTTGTTATATTGCTTGTAGAATTAAGGAGCAGGGAGGACAAGCAGCGAAAATTAGGCTTAAATTACTTTTGGAGAACCTCAAAATATGTCATTTTTAGCATTCAGACTTAACAGTGCTAGGAAGAATAAACAATTGTGAAATTCTGGAAAATTAAGTAGAAGAGGAGTGAAAGACACCCACAGATGTCTAAGCCCACTCATGTGTTTAGAAGAAGATACCCAGAAATGGAAAAGAAAAATATGAAGGTTGGAGTATATGAAAGTTACTGTAAGTGTGTTTGGAACAGCTGAATTATTCCAAACAGATAAAGCTGTACACACGGCATCATACTCAAGGGCGGACTAAAATCTTTCTGCCATAGCACACCACAACATATTAGAACACCCACTTTCAGAAGCAACCAGGTGATTGATGGCAATCAGCTCCATCTTCAATTTTAAAAAGTACTGCTGTCCTTCCACAGGTACAGAGTTCCCAAGTAACTGATTTCTCTGAAATGGCACTGTTCCTGGTCACAGGGGTACTTATGAGTACTCAAAATTAAATCTTTAATTAAAGACATTAAAATCAGTCTTGCAAACCTCGGTAAATTACTATTTCATCTACACATTGTATAGGTTTAGAGCAAATTATTGAGAAATTTCTAATCTAATGATGTCTTTGATTAGCTGGTGAGAACTGAGATTCGTATCTTTAATAATGAGTGGTTTTGTGAGGTCTGGAAAAAGACTACACTTTCCTCAAATGGATCATGGATGATTCCTATATGTACTACATTATGTATCATTACTAAGGTACCTCAGGCCAGGAATAAGTCTATATTAATTTAAAAAAATTCTATTAAACAAATAGTGAGTAACCTCCCTGAATATTTACCTTAAAAGAGAAAATGAATATGTTAGCTAAGCTTTCCTTTGGTTCAGAAAAACTTATATTCAGTCTTATCCTTCTCCTAACGGTGTTTTGTTTTGCGTCTTGGTAGAATGCAAATCTCAGAGTCCACTGGTGGTAAAAGGTCTGGGTGCACTGACATAGGCAAAGGCTAGGAACTGCAAAGAAGCGAAATTCCGTAGCTAAGAAGAAAAATTAGTCAGAAGTTCAGAAAGTCAACAATCAGCTCAGTAGAAGTGGATAAGCAGTCAGAGTATGGTCATTAGAACCAATCCCTACAAACTTCTCACTTTTAATGAGGAGTTTTGTCAGTGAGGTGAAAGGTATGAATGAGAAGGACGTAGCTGTGTTATGAATCACCAGTGGCACCCAGCTGTAAAAAAACCCTATTATGACATTATTAGGAGAGCTGACATAGGCAAGTTTTACTCCTCCTGAAGAGCAACACACTGAAGAATCCTCATATCATGCTTTTTACCTGTGGTTCAGAAACACGGATAATTTTCAGCAGATGAAGGGAAATTACATTAAAATGAGTAGGAGATTTGGGGAGAACACTCATGTGATTCAGTCTAGAAAAAAAGGGGCACAAGTGGAATACGATTTCTCTCTACAAATGTATCTGGTGTTGGGGGAAGGAGGAGACGTACTAGGGAATGGAAAAAACCTCCATTTGAGCTAAAGAACAGGGTTTGCAAGGGAACACGATGATAAACTAAACATGAATATTTTTTGCTAGAAATGTGAACTATGGCAATTATGAAGAGTACTGAAACTGTCTCCTATCCAGATCATATGTATTTGTAGAAATTACTTTGAAGGTGAGCTTTAGAAGGTTTTTGATAGTAGGAGAGTGGATGCCTTAACCCACAAGGTATCTCTCAATCCCGTGTATGTAATGCATTCCTAAAATGTTAACTTGGCCACTAGGCAAACACATTGATTTTAAAGTTTTTGTCTACTTCTAAGGTACTGCATAAATTTATTTCACCCCCTCAATGTTTTCTAACTCTGTATTTCCTACTGCTATACCCGCTGGAGGAAATTTTTATTTGGGCTACAAACACTGGGCCTAAACTTCGTAGAGTCAAAGACTTTGTTTTGCCCATCATCCCAAATTCATCCTGAAAAAAATTCTCAAAAAATTGCTCACTTTTTCTTGTTGCTATTCCCACAGTTTTTTTCTTGTCAAAGCTACAAGTCCTAAGGATATCCTTAAGTGCTGTTCAGTTCACTTCCAAAGTACATACAGGGATGTGTTCCACAAAAGGCAATATAAAATGTATTTTACAGCACTTGAACAAAAGTGGAAGCTTTCCCTTTCAATGACATAGGCCTTCAGAAGCGTAGCTACTAAAACCAGTACTACAGTGAGTATTTGGAGAAGAACTGAAAAGTATTTTTCAAGTAAAAAAACCCATTTGTATTTGTCAATTATTTTAATATTTTCAGCCATTATTTTATTTAATAGCTTTATATATAAACATAAATAGGTCTTGATTGAAATACATAGGTCTTGCTTCTTAAGGCAAGAGTAGATTCTTAGAATCTCCTTTTCTCATAAGTATTTACTGCAGTGTAAGTGCAGAGAAGTCTGTGGAAGACAGAGCGTTGACTTTGGCTCCGTGCTTAGGTAGGGTTAGGAGTCACTTGCAAATTCCAAGCAGCAGATGTTCATTAACAGCAAGAAGTAAATGCATTTTTGAAGTAAAGCTGGAGAATTAAGATGAAGTGTTAATATACCAAGTGCTAAAATTACATCAAACTTTTTATCCATACATATTTTTAACTACTTTGAAAATAAACAAAAGCTAAGCCCTGCTTGTTACTTTATCATTACAGATATTCAGATAACTGCAAAAATCCTAAAGGAATATGCTCAGTTTTCTTCTAGTCTTTGTTCATAATTACCAATACACTGTTTATATAAAGTCTATACACAGATTTGAAGACCGTTTACTGCCTTTTCTTCAATCAACATTTTAAGCACATGAAATTTCGCAGCAAGTACAGTTTTCCTCACAGTCTCTCTGACCCTCTTCCCCTACCATCCTCCAGTTTTCCTGAGAAATAACTCAAGTATTTTAATTTTTTCCAATACCTTCAGCAGCTTGGAGAATGCCTTTGACGAACTGTCCAAGAGATTTCGCTCTGTCATTAGTCCTCTCAGCATCCTGCCTGGTCTGCTCACCATCTGCTGTCACCTTGGTAGCCTGGTGATACAAAATCAGGGAAAATATAATTAATGAACAGGCCAAGGCTGCACTATGTCATATTCCTACAGGCTGAATACATGTACAAAACTTTCCTGAGGCCAGAGGCAATCAATGAATTATTGATCAGATGCATGGGAAATGAAATGCTCTGTTCAAGTACACAATTAAATTTTATTACCTTTTCCTTTAAATGGAAATTGGAAGGCTTTATTTTAGGTTCTTCGAAACCCTACTTGTGTGCAGCAGCACATCACATCAGGATGAAATTATCCACTGACTAACAATATCTTTGCTTAAAGAAATGCTGTTTGGAACCTTTTAATAGATTCTTCAGGGAATACTTTCCATAGCTTCACAATTGTGTACTTCTCGATTGACAAAGTGCAGCAGGTATTGTGACCTCTTTCCTTCTTCCCTGGAGGTGTTCTCAAAGAGACAGTTCATTCCAACAAGCAAGAAGAACTTGAAATCAATACATTAATTTGTCCAAGAAAGAGAGAGAAGAATAAAGAATAGTTTTATTCAGCTCTGATGGCTGAAGTTGTTAGTTTATAACATATTGGGGTGCTCAGTAAAATTTAAGCTTGCTGTTACTAAATGCTTTATAATTGTACTGAATCACAGCAGCAGCAGAAAGGGAGACATCTGCTGCAGACCTGAAAAACATGCTGAGAAAAGGAATCGTCTTAGGATATTCTAATTAGCTCTTGAGGTCCCTATTTAAAAATGGACCCTTTTTAATTGAAAAGAAGCTGAACATTTCAAGACACAAAGCTTGTTGAGCTGTACTGTAAAGGAAAAAAAAAAAAAGCCAAAAAACAAAAAACAAACAAACAAAAAAAACCAAAAAATGACACAAAACCAAAACCAACCATCAAAACCCAAAAAGTCCCCCAACAAATAAAACCAAAAAAACCCTAGTTTTTTCCTTTAGGCTTTACATTCGAAAAAAAATCATGAAATAGGGCATTATGAATTTCCCAGTCTCTGTGAAATGGCTAGTTCAATAATTCAAAATGAGTTTAGGTTATCCCTGACTTGAACTGCACAAATTGTTTCTCCCTTACAAAAAACCCCACACTTTTCAGTAATAGTCAGAGAAATAGTAGCACTTAAACACGTTTATTTTTGCCTCATTAGCTTCTAGATGGCAGCCCTCAAGGTACTTTACATCTGGGTTTCTGAAATGAAATCCCTGGCATTATCATTCTACTTACAATTTTGGGCTACTTCACAGTAGTTACACTGAAAGTAATTTAAGCTGGAAGTAATTTATATGAAAACAGTTCAGGTAAATAGAAATATACAGGAAGAATTAAGAACCCATAAAGACTGGGGGGAGTTTGTTCTATTCCATCCCTCTATCAGTAGAACATGTCTTTTCACTCTTACACAGCTTTAATCTTACTATTGGTTACTTCCTCTAAGATTCACAAACGTTTTTACCTGCCTGGATACAGAACTAAAATATTCCTACAGTGAGCTGTAAGAGGCAGTTGGGTGAGGAAAAAGGCAAAAAATTCTAAATGGTCTTGATGGACCACTGCTTTAACTCTCCTTGGCATTTCTGATGTAATTTAATTCTTCATGTAATTGAGAAAAACTTATTATTTATTGTCAAACTTCCAGAAGAAGCTTTTTATTCTTTGAGTTTTATTTGTTTGGAATACTCACATTCAGTTTTATTATACTCTATAATATTTCTAGTCCTTTGCTAGAATTAGTGTTTTATAACTTACATATTCCTTTCTTAGTTTTGATTACTTTTTCCACATTTATGCTAATTCATGTTGGCCACTTTAACCTCTCTATTTATGACTGAATAGCATGTACCACATTTTTGTGAAAATTAATCTGTCACTGAACAATTTTCATTTCCTTTCAGTGACAGCTCTCTTTAGTACTTAAATCCCATTCAGGTCCACTGAAGGCCTTCTGTATTTTGACAGAATTTCCTTTGCTGAAAAATAGGCTTTTGCTTCACTATATAGTCTAGCTTTAATCTGTAAATCATATTAAATGGCGAACATCCTTCATCGTGTAGCTAGCCATTCCATGGCTAATTAAATGTTTTCATTTGTTAATAAGGTCCTAGTAATTTTCTACATATCCAACTTATTACAGCTCACCATTTCTATAAGGTCAGTTTTCAGCATCTTCTAACAGTTTAAACAGGCCCAGCAAATCATGCTGTGTGAGGCAGATTGGAGCCAGAGCAAGGGTTTGGAATGAGTCTTGAAGACGTTATTTGGACACAAATAAAATGCTTGGGCATAAAGAAGATCCCTACCACAGAAATCAATAAAGAAAGTATTTGAGATCAGTGAACATGCTTTGGTGATGTCCACAGCTTATACTTAGTGATGGAGGTTCCACGAAAGGCTTTGCTCCACTCTGGAGTAGCCAGTTAGCAATTTAAACTATAAGCAAGTATTAGCAACTATACATACTTCTTTTGTTTTGGTTTTGTTTCCATGTTTATTTAGTCTGAGGACTTAATCAAGCCTTGAAGAACTCCTTTAGATAGAGCGGAGTGCCCTACAGGAATTTCTCCAGCTAGTGAGCTGCAGGCCACAGAAGGAGGTGCAAACACAGACATGTACAGATGGAAGTTCTTGGCTCTCTCTCAAAATATTCTCAGCTATTGCAAACTAAGTTACTTCTCTTACCACTTCCAGAAATTTTCAAGTTAGAGAAATTCAGTACTTTGGGAGAAAGGCAAAAGTTGACAAGGACAAAAGAAGCATTTAAATCAAGATGAGTGATTCTGATCCCTGTCTTTCTTGAACACTTTGAAGGTACCTAATTAAAAGGGAAGTGGGGGTTTTGATAAAATACAGTGAATTGAAAGGAACTGAAGATATCAGGCCTTCCTCTGGTGGTAGGTGTGGGAATGTGCATGCAAACATAATTAGTGCAAGAAAGACATGAGGATCTTCTATATGGCAAAGTAAATGAAGCACAGAGCAATGTAAAACAAGGGAAAGGAGTGCTGCACTGAAGTAAGAGATCAGTGGTTGAACAGAGACCACAGGGAAGCAAAATCCACGAAAGTTTTGTAGTGACTAAATACTATTGTCTTCTATATTTTATTGTAAAATGATTAAATTTTTTTTTCATGGAAATAGATTCCCCACCAATCCTCACCAGCTTTTTTCTTCATCAGTACTCGTTTCACTTTGAAAATATAGTGAGCCTGCAAATATCAGATACAGGGAAAGACTTTGGTATCTGTTGTGGTACTCTGTACTCCAAGTGCCAGGCATTATATAGTTACCAGCTCTATCCTCATTTGGAAATGAGCCTTGAACACATGACATCAGGACTCATTCTTCTTTTTGGAACACTATTCTTATTTACAAATACAGAAGGAGAAAGGTAGGACCTGACACCAGTTTCCAGTCCCTAAATTAAAAAACAAAACAAAAAAACCCCACCCCACAAACTGCTCCAAGCAACTCTGTAAGGATAAATGGAAATCATAAGGCTACTTAGTCATCACAATGATGAAAAACTGCAAAAAGGGAGTGGTGATAGGGGAGTTATTGTGTTGGCCACATTAAGATCACATTTTTGATATGTTTTTCCTTCCAAGAGTTGTCTACAGAAGGTCATAATCTGCATTATTTTAGGTCATCTCTATGGGAGAAATTGGGAAAGGATATTAAAAAGAGCAACTTCACAAGATGAAAAAACCCCTGTCTTAGCCTAAGATTGAGAAATATTAATAGAAGAAATATAATCTTCCCTGCTTGTAGAGCTGACATGGGTTAAAATACCAGCTAGACTTAAAGCTACTGCAGTTGCTTCTTGCAGAAAAATAAAAGATCAAACAGAAGTGGAAAAGCAAGCTTTCTCACAATGTCAGTACATACAGATAGGTACTGGTGTATGCATGCACATGTGGGTGCCTACATATGCAAACACACTTCAGATGATTTCTTACCCACTACTCATTTCAAAATTGTATAAAAACCACACAAAGATAACAGTTTATCTGAGAATTTTAGTTCCTTAAGCCATGTACAATTTAGAGACATGATTCTAAAACTGCCTGGATCTTATGTGATTCTCTGTGGCATATATTGATCAGTACAGTACTCCACATCTTTCTTATTTTGTTCTTTCAGCTCACAATCGTGACTTTTGGTAGTTCTTCACATCAATGTACTTTGGACAGCTTTATTTATACCGAGGCTGGTTCATTTCCCTATTTTTTCTCCACTAGGTGGCACAATTTATATTATTTTCTTAGACATTGTCTTTACTGACCAAAATGAGGTCTATTTTGAAATAAAACTTTTGTAATAAAAAGAGTACAAAGCACATCTATTGAAATCCAGAAGTTGCTAACTATGCTCAGAAATGAAATCTAGAGGACATATATTTAACCAAAATCACACACCTCCTCTTTAGTGTCATTTTTTCCAGGTAAGATCATTATTGGGTCATCCGTATGGAAGTGAAAAAGCTTTCTTACCTTATTAGGAAGTTTTGCAGAAAATATGTGTCAATATATTGGCCCACAAAAAGAGATTTTTAGAGTACTTCCTGTCATTTTAGACACTGAGACTGAGAAGCATCTTATAATCCATCTATTCATTCATGTTTAATGCATATTCAGGAGATTTCTGTCACTATGCAGCCTCAACCAAACCCATAGACCTCAATGTGATCACAGACATACTCTTGTCAGTAGTTCATCCATTTCTGTCACCAAGGTATCCAGATTTTCTCGTGCTAGCTGAAGAAATCTCTCTGGTGCTCTCTGAGGTGAAAGCAAATGCTGTTGGGAAAGAGATGGGAGAGTGAAAAATCTGTATGTGATAAATGTCAGTGCTTCCAAATATTGAAGAGAAGAAGCATCAAACATTTTATTACAATATGCAATCCCTTTTGTCACTGACTCGTGTCACATTCATCCAACAGGCTTTTTTCAGGAATCTTGACAACTTTACACAACTTGTAAGTATGGTAGGGAATGTACAATATATAAAATACATAATCATTTTATAGACCATCAGCATGAAAACTACTCTATTTGTATGGAACATTGCTTTTCTATGCCTGAAGTATAATTCCTTGCAGATATGTTCAGAAATTACTGTTGCAAGATTTATTTATTAATGTAAGTAAAGATAAATAACTGTAACACTTATTTATCAACCAAACCAAGCCTGAAATAATTAAATCTTGAATTTTTCTTCTTCCCTGAAACTACTCACAGCTGTGAGGTTGAACAGAATCAAGTGTAGTTGTACGGAAACTCTGTTATTTATATATGTGAATACTGCCAACATACCTTTAATTCCTGTGTCGTGTTCTCAAAACCATGTAACATTTTATATGGAGCAGGCAGTGGACCACTAAGGTTAACACTCAGGATCATCTGGTTTAGCCGATCCAGGTCATTGAGAAGGAGTCCTGTGCATTCATCATCACAAGCTGGGGAAAGAACAACAAAGCTGCTAAACATTTCTTCCTGCTAAACATTCAAGACATTTGACTTAGATATTGTATGGCACACATGCAATTCTGTGGGAGGTAACACTGATTTCATACATAGTACCCCAAATGTGTGGTGTAAGAAAAAATGGAAACAACAACTAGGGAGTAGGAAAGACATTATTGCTTAGGATTTAGTAATGCACAGTTTAATATAAAACACAAAGACCAAAATTGAGAGGTTTGCCCCACAAAAAGAGGAAATAATTAATGTTGTCCACTGTGGACTAGCCAATATAAAATATTAAATTATACAGGTAATTTGGATGAAGTTTGGGAAAAGCAGGGCAATTTGGAGATCAGATGGGCAATTTGGAGCATCTAAGGAGCTCGATAAAGAATATAGTACGCTTATGGATTTGAATGCAAGAAAAAACATAAAAAATCTCCATATAACATCATGGCCAAGCATACTAAACCTGTAATGCAGACAGCTGAAAGCATCTAGGTAAAAATTCTAACAGTTTTCTTTTAAAAAAAATGCTTTTTCCTACCTCTTTTCACTAACCAGCTTATAAGCTTTTCATGTATGCTTCTTTTCTTGCAAATATCCTTCAGGATGAAAAATATTGTTGTGTGCTGCATATATCAAAAGAAGTTTGCATTTCCTTCCCCCCTTACTTTCGATTAACTATCACAAGAAATTCTCATCTTGTATCATTTATGCAGCAGACAGGAGAATTCTTCATCCTTTAGAACAGAGTTGTGGGAATACTTTTCTGTTTCTCTGCATAAAGAGCTAGCAAACCCAAATATTTCAGAAGATGAAGCACAGTGTGAAACAATGAATTCACTGGTGATGTTAAGAGACATGGAGAGTTGTACCTAAAATTTTACAAGCGTGTAATTTTTTATTTCAGCAAAGCTAGGCAGTCTAATAAAAAACCACACTAAGCAATGTGTATGTTTTTGTAGAAAAGAGAAGTAATTTTCAAAACAGAATTCCTTCTTTTTTCCTGAAATCTGTTCTTCATGTAGATTAAATCTGTTCATTAAAGTTTTCATGGTTACCTAAATATGGTTATTACTCTGTTGGCTGTTCAATATACCAAAGACAAAGAGTAGAGTCAAATACAGAGGAAAAAAAAAAGGTAAACTATTTCAATACACCATGAAACTCAAGTAGTGATTGAAAAGGAGACAAGGTAGATGCTGGATTATCGTAGTAAGAAGTTGGTGCAGAAGGCTAGATACTACTGTTATTTTAAGACTTCCTTTTGCATTTTCATTGCTTCCATTTGCAGACTTTTCCCTCCTCTTTCACAGCATTTTGTTACATAAACTGAACCGCACTGGAACTGCAGTCAATAACTGTGGGCATGATACATTCTGATTTATGCTCCTACATGAAATTTTACCTCCCCCCCAACTTATTATCATCCCTGTTCTTGCCATCTGTGTGCTTGCCTTAAGAAGCCTGAGAGAATTCAAGGAAAAGCAGGTTTTACAGCAAATAATGTTTTATATAACAAACACCTGTTCTGTAACTGATCAAGAAGGTAAGGAGACCTTATAATCATTTTGCAGGATGAAAATAAATGATCTTGAACCTGAAAAGAGTTGGCCTTTATAGTTTAGTTTTTGCCGTGGGCTTTTTTTTTTTTTCCCCATATATTATTTCACTCATGAAACAAGTGAAATCTATTCACCTTCAAAATTTTCCTAGTGGTTGGTAATAAATTGCTAAAAATTTGTTTTGTGTTGAAGACAAACTCAATTCACACCAATAAGAAAAAAATGAACAGCCCATGAACAGATGAAGTATTCTCAATGAGTGGGCAATCAATAAGTGAGTGTTCAGTATAAATTAACACCTCTTGCAAAATAATCAGGTTGAAAAGAGGAACTGCATCGAGTGAGACCACAGCTGAGTAGATGAGACAGGACTAAGCTACTCCAGTATGCAGTCTGTAATGTACTGTAGCCATGGGAAATATTTCAAGAGCATGATTATATTTTGCAAGACTAAATACTTCTGTGTCTATCTATAAAGCTGTCAGGATAAATTTGTGTCTAATATTAACAAATACAGCACTAAATTCAGATTATTACAGCAGTGCAAGCATGTCAGAGGCAAATCATGCAATCAATATTACAATAGTTCAACAAGCAATTAATGCAAATCACTGCATTTTCCATTTTCACCACACTTTTCCATGCACACTAAGTCTCTAAGGGTTTTGACTTACCTCTTGTGAGAAACATGTCCAAAGTATGCATGCTAAAAGAAATTCTTTTAAGTTTATTCCATCTTACGAAGAAACATAATGTGCAATAAAAGAAACACATCCGAGTCACAATGTGTTCCTTGAGTGATTATCTGACACAATTTTGCTTTAATACATTAATTTCTGTGAAGATTCAGAAGACTGTGTTATGACTAGGAAATTTTTTTGTCTAAGGGAAACCATGCAATCTCTGATGGGAGGCAGTATCCGACGATAGTCGGGACTCTTTAGTATCAGCTTCCTGTTGTTTCAAACAAAGTGTTGAACTATGGTTAGCTCAATAATCTCTTGGCTATTACCTAATTTTTCCCATTTTGGCACTAGTCTCACACCAAATAATAAAACAGCCTTCCTGTGCCTTCCAAAACAGAACCCCAGTAGAGAGCTGAAAGCTTTATCTTGCTTGCCACTGCTGCTGGTTTCATGCAGCTTACGTGATCAGTATGTCTCCAAAATATGGGAAAATTCATACTCAGATCAGGATCTAAAACAGCTACTCAGGTTTATTTCTCATTTTCATAATCTAGAAATCCTTATCTTCTGGTTCTGATACATACCAGTAGTAGCTGAGCTTAAAGATTGCTTGAGTTGGGTGAAAGACAGGAGTGTGGATCTAAACTCAACAGGAGCTCATTTTCTCACAAAAATGGAGAAAAAGTGATAGCTTATCAGCTTCTAGGCCAAGCAGGGATGGCCTAATTGAGCCTATGCAGCCCGAGAAGCAGTTGCCCAACACATACGTAAATTTAATTCTTACAGCTGAGACACACAGAGCAAAACTCAGAACACTGAAGAAGCTAGTCCAAGGCTACATAGATGTAGTGTTACACACAGGATCTTTCTTTTCAGCTCACTCTGTAAAGGCTCCCAGCTCCTGCTGAATTAAGCACTGTGTAAGAGCTGGGAGAGGCTTTGTTTCACAGATTCTACAAGATCTACCTCTGACAGAGACAGCACAGAGACAGCACCTCTGCCTAGTTCTGAATTTGGAATGGCTGACATCATGGAGCTCCTCACTGGTTTAAAGGGAAAACTTTGATCCTGCCAGGACTGGTGGCTGGGAACTCCCTTGTTCTCCTTGGTGTTGGGCTATGATGAAGCAGAGATTGACAAAAAAAAAACAAACCAAAAAACAAACAACCTCTCACTGCAAGCATCTGTCTTGAGTGCAAATACTTAAATGCCCAAGACCTGGTATTAAAGGAATCTCATGATAGAATTTTCTTCTTCTACCAATATTGAATATTTAAATACATAAAGAGGAAAGTTTGTTGACTGCAGCAAGGCTGAGGATCTTTTTCTTTTTTTCACCTCACAAGACTGAGTTAAGGAAAAATTCCTAACAATGAAATATCTCCTCGATCTCCCTGTGTCATGATTGCTTCCTGTTCAGTCACATCAGCTGCTTTACATTTAGGCTTTTGCTTGACCCCAAGGAACATTTGTGACAGGAGCACACATCCAAGGAAAGGTTTTGTAGTTTGTGTTGCAACACAGCTCAAAACATAGAAGACCTTTTTTCTGAAGTCTCCATTGTAGTTACGACAGATACCTTGAAAGCATTCAGAAGGCGAGTTCTGACTTGCCATCTAATATATAGAGCCACACAACAATAAAGCCTTGAAGTTCTCACCAGGATTGTTTTGTTCCATAAATATGGCACAGCAGTGAGCAGAGTCACAGTTCCCATAACATTGCCATCTAGGCTTCTTCATTTTATGTACTACAAACTCAACAACTGAAGTGAAGTGCAGTGTCACAAGGTATAACAAAAAATACACAAGAGGATTACTATTTCTAAGAAAATGCATGATTGCTAAAGGCTTGATTCAAAATCTGAGAGAAGATTTGGGGAAACTTTTGTCATACTTGCAAGTACACAAGAATGCTGGCAGCATTATTAAAATTAGTTTCCAACCATCACTATTTATTCTTTGGGTACTGACTTTTTCAAAAGGGAAGGGAAAGTGAACCTACAAAGTTATTTGTTTGAGTCCAAAAATTTTAAGAAAGTATTCCTCAGCAAAGTGTTGTGAATATCTGTATAGGACAACCTAGGTGGTTAATTTAGCAGGGGAAATAATCCAGCCACTAGCCATTAGAAATTTTTATGATGTGTGGTAAACCATACTTTTGTATTACTTATTTTTTAAAAAATCTACTTTTTGGATATAACTTTTCATTCCCTGATGGAATCTTAGAAAAAACAAAATTGTTCTGTTCTAAGAATATAATGGGAATGGAATCCTGTCTGTGCCATGCACCTATAATTATCTAACCATTGTTATTTATCTTTAAGTGGAATTTTTCCTATTTAAGCAGCAGCTTTCAAAATAAATATATATCGTATTTTACCTGTAGCTCTCAAAAATACAACTGGTATAACACATCACTGAACAGTGACATGCACTAAGCAACTGAAAAAAAGACACATTATTAAAAAAAAAAAAGTAAAAACCCAGTAAAACAGATTTTCAGCTAGATCAGAAACAGACCACTTTAGTGAACATGCATGCTTCTTTGCTTCCCCTCCACCTTTTCACTGAAAATATTCACTTAAAAAATCTTTAGAATACTTATGATAAGGAGTATGTTAAATTATAAACATTATATTTAAAGAAGAATCATCACAATATTTTGGCTAAAATACCCCTCTGATCTGATTTTATTATTATTATTGCATTATTTGGTTTTTCAGGTCACACTGTGTGGTGACCTTTTATGGAATTTGCCAAGCATCCATTATTTAAATGGTTATTCTTTTTTAATTATTCAAAATAAAATTTCACTCTCTTTAACATTAACTATGCCATACTAACAGAACAGCTTAATCACTTTGTATTATACTACTTACAAATACTTTTTCAAACACAGCTGACTGTATTTGAATGTATTTTCTTTAGGTAAGACCACTTTACTGCCTAACTAGGGTGTTAGTTCTCCACACTTCTGACTGGTACCATGCAATTGCAGCAGTTGAAATGGAACTGCAAATGAGCAAGAGCAGGTACACGCATCCAGCTCATTTTAACTACTGAACATAAACAGGATTCTGCTCTTGACACTAATTAATTTTCTGTACATCAAGAGTACAATTTTTTTTTTTTTTTTTTTTTTTTTTTTTTTTTTACTTTTAAGGTTTTGTTACAACCGAAGCTGGTCAGAAGGGAATTTACTGAGTATTTCACAACTGGTTGATACATGAAAGGAAATAAATACATTGTATACAGAACCAAATTCCCAGTTGCATTAAACTCACATTGGAACAGCTCAGTATTCTGGAAACAAGGAAGGAAAACCTCAAGGTTGCCCCAAAGGTGTTTCTAATGGTTCTTTGACAGGACAAGGACTATTAAAGCACATTAGGGGCTGCAGCAATGAATCCCTACCAACAGCTGCACTCTGAAGCCTGTGACATGCCAGACACTGTTTACCATGGGCAGATTCCCACAAAATCCAGGCTTGCCACACTCTCTTTGCCATAGACCTGTGGCCACCACAGGCTACAAAGGTTATTACTAGGCTTATTTTCTACCATGTCAGGGGAATTGTACTGCATTAGCAAAGGCAGGTGTGGAGTAATATGGGTGTCAAGGAACCTTTAAACAAGAGGAAGATCATACAGTAAGACCTAATAGGCACATAAAATGTCTACTAAAAAATTAAACTGCAGTTTTTGAAATTTATGATATGGTTATTATTGATGTGGTATCAACAGTAAAAAACTATTTCCTGTGATAGGGAGATTTAAAGTACATCCCATCTACTCCTATAGGTTGTTCTTATCTTTGTGACTAAAGAAAAGAAGTCTTGGCATTTGATTCCTCACTTCTAGTGGTCAAATGAAATGTCCATATGCATATATGAAGAACTGTTTTTATGGTGAAAACTGACTAGTTAAAGTAAAAACGTCATTAAAGATACTGTAGGTATATTTCAACACTCAAATTTAAATGTGTTGCAGTTAAATCAGAGATTATAGCAAATAACATATTTCAGAGCAAAAAGGTGGAAAATTTCATTTGCCTGCAAACAGCTTTTTCCATTCACAAATAGGATTTTTAACCTTATTATCCACACAATGAAATAGCCTGATTAACAAATTGGAAAACCATTATAAATGATAACTTGCACTTAGGCTGTTTTGTACAATGAAACTCTGTCATCCTGGATACCCAAAAGAGTTTTCAGAATACTGATAAGGTAAAAGACTAATAAAAAAACATACTAAGTCATGTCTGTGATTGGAAAAAGAGGATAATACTGGCAATAATGTAAGAGCTATTCAGGATATTGAAAAATGAAGTAATTTTCATGCAGATGGCACTCTGTAGAACAGAGTCCTTATTTTAAAATTTTGTAGCTGTAACACTTATGAACTTGCAATTACAATTCTCCTTGACATATAGACCACAAAATGGAACTCAAAAGGTAGTTATGTCAGCAAAGGGACTACTTACTCCAGTTGCAATCATTTTGATGTTCAAAATAGAGCTTAAGATAGTAAGTTCAGAATTAAGTCCTAAACTACATCACACTGCAGGACATTAGAAATTTCTCTTAAGTACACTACTGTTTTAATCAATGAATTAATGCCATGTTGTTAACAGTAACTATATTCCCAGTAAACTATAATTTCTACCTGAGCATCAGGACTGATGCAAAAGCACCTACTTCAGTGGACTTAGGAGCTTAGTTCTGCTAAGTCCTGGTGACTGTCAGAGAACTGAACACAATCATTAGGCTGAGTGAAAAAATGCTCTGCATTGTGTAGTTCCTGACTCTATGAGCCTAATGTCTCTTCTTTAAGCACTCCTAGAAGCCATGCATTCCATTCTTGAATTATATAATGCCTTCAGACATTTTAAGCAATTCTTTGTTTATTTTCTAACTGTTTTAATTTTTTAAATATTTGCATTTTGTTTTTACGATTTCATTTTAATACTAGAGAGGTGTGCACCTCTGTGTATTAAGAAACAAAAGAATTGAACTCTTCGGAGAAGTGGAAAAAAAAAATGTAGACAGTACCTACTTTTCTTGATGTTACATGTCCCTCACATAGATACACCACTCTCCATCAAAAAGCTCCAGTTAAAGATAAAACATTTAAACCAGCTCACTGTGCCTTGCCAATACTCCAATACTTTCAAATACGCACAGGTTAATAATTATTACATACTGTGGACTTATTGGAGCTCTACCATTATTCTACTTTAAATTTAACAATCATGGCATCGAAGGAAAAAAAAAATCACAATAAAGTTAGTTCCTCTATACCCTGGGGGAGATGAGGAAGAGAAAAATTCCTTATCTCAGACAGGGCTGTCCAAGAGTTCTAGAAAGACTTTGCTACTTTTTTTTTAATAAGATGTAAGCATGCAGCATTAAGTGATATGAGACTGTAGGCTCAAAACAAGCACTATCCAATATAATGAAGAAAATCCAAACAAAAATACAAGAAAATCACTTGGTATGTATCAAAACTGAGGGTAGGAGAAAGATAGCAGTACTGGAAAATATCAAGTGGTGTTTTAGGCTATTAGTTCTCTATAAAAAAAAAAGTTCTTTGCTGGATATAGTGTACCGTCATTGCTTACATCTTTTAAATTCCAATGGATGGTTGTTGAATCAGCATGATCACGTAAACCTTAGTAAAAATTTTGTGTGTGCCTCATGGCACAGAGCATTGCAATTACTGGTTAAACATTAGGACAACACTAAAAAATTCACCAAGAGAAAATATTGTCACAACAGTAGCAACAACCTTTGGCAAAATTACAGACTCTAAAAAGCCAAAAAGAATTCCCTCAAAGTTTTTTTGTCAGTTGTCAGTGTTAAAAGAAATTTTTCAGAGTTTTCTTGACATCTCAAGGCTTGTGAAAACAAAACGGACCAGATGCTAAAGTAGTAAGAAACCTGGCAATTATTTCAAAGAAAGCCACACAACTCAACATTACACAAGCAAGTCTGAATTTCTGACACATGAAAAACACAATCAGAAGTTATCCAAAATCTCATTAGTATACGTACAAATGCATTTGGTGCCATGACGCGCATGCCGATGCTCGCAGCCAGCACACTTCCACCCCGTGAATCCAGGCTTGCAAGTGCACTGCCCAGTGACAGGGTCACAGGGGACAGGCACAGAACCATACGGATCACACTCACATGCTTGGCAGGACCCTCCTGGAATCTGTGGGTTTCCTGTGTAGCCAGAAGAACATCTAGACATTGCAAATACAAAATAAGATTTGTCCAACTGAGATGTGGTGCACAAAGAATACTTGGCAGTATTTTAAACATAATTTACACAAACACCAGTGAACCATTAAAAAAATCTTTGTAGCTTCATGATCAAGACAGAAATATCGCAAACTGTCCAACAAAGTGACTTCTAATCAGGACACAGAACAGCCTGGATGGAGGAGGTACGCAAAATTGATTCCACATCCTTAACAATTTTCAGTTAAATTTCTATTAAACTACAACAAAAGAAAACCCTCCGCTATCAATGTGTGGCTTATAGACCTAGCCACTTGTGTTTTGTGTCAGGATCTCTTGGTAGACATTTGCCACTTTTGATCATCTTAATCCATCGGTGTTTTGATGAATGGACAGCGGAGGCTGTTTAGGTTATTAATTCACAATTCAGCATTAAAATGTTTATATGTAACTGTCTTTCACAGCCAATGCCTAGGAGGGCACCACAGTCACTAAAACAAATGGTATGAGTGACATCAAGATACACTATTAGCATGGCATCTAATTTTAGACAAATTTTTTTAACTTCTGAGCCCTGGAGGAAAAAAATCCTCACACATCAAAAAGTAAGACTAGGACAATATCTGTGATATAAATAACATTGATTATCCATTTACAGTGGTGTATATAAAAATCTACTTTGGCTGAGTTTTAACAGCATATAAAGGAGAAATAAATTATCCAAAGGCATGTATTTAAACAGTAGTAAATATATGCTTGTAATATTGAAAAACATTTATCTCCTTCATGCTTTTTCCTCATTTCATTGTCCCTCTTTCTGCTTTTTCCATTCATCCTACCTTTGGCAGTACTGGCCTTCATATCCAGGTGGGCAGGCAGTACACCGGTAGTCACTAGGTCCTTCAGCAATGCAAGTAGGGCTAAAACTAAAACAAAAGTAAATGAAGAATTTTTTTCTACTCTCTTGCATCATTTCACTTAGGTCAGCAGTGCAGAAAGGCCCAAGAAGTTCCAATCTTAATGTAAATGGCAGCATTTTCCTACCTGTTTATAAAAACCTGTGAGAGATCTCTCCTTTCTATTAATATTTTTGTGAATGCCTTGCTGTGACACTTGCACAGTTTGGACAAGGGCTCTAAGGGCTGTATCCAAGGGGATGGAGTTAGCAATGCCCACGCTGTAGGCTTGTGTGATTGAATGGTGTTGTCACTCACAGTGAGCACTGGGAAGGATGTGAAACAAAAGATTTAGAAACTGAGCTAAGGAACATTCAGCCTTTCCTGTCTGATTTCAACTTATTTTGAATGAAATGAGATAAACTGGGAAGAGTTTACTCGAAGGTAAGACATCAAGAGGGAAAAGGAACCAAATTCATAGCTGTGTGCAATCTTCTAAAAAGGCAGCATCAAATAATCTTCTCAAAGAGGCATGAGAAAAGCCCAGTCTACAGAGAAAAAAAAAAAAAAACCAACCTAAAAACTACCTCCTTCATGATCAGGGAGAGGTCTTATTTTCATCATTGAAGACACTAGATTATCTTTCCTAAGTCAGTTTACTACTGACTGTAGTGTGTACCTGTGGGCACTGTGCAAAGCAGCACTTAGTTGGAATGTTAGTGTATTAAGGGCCTGCACAGGCAGTTAAAACAAACAAAAAGGGCAGTTAGGGCGAAAGAGCAGAACTAAATATTAAGATGGTGTAAAACCATGAAACTCTTTCAGCTCTTTGTGGAAGAAGAACTAGAAAAGCACAGAGGTGGCTAGTAGTGAGCCCAGGGCTCCTTCTTGGTACAGTGCAGTCAGCATCCTCATCTAACTTCCTTATAATGCATTAAATCAATAGTGCTTGAACAAGTATATAAAATTATGCCTTTGCAAAAAATGTAAACAAATTGATCTATTACTCACAAACTCATTATCCAACACATTTTCAACTCCATAAAAATAGATCCATACTAAGAAAAATTCATTCTGTTTTTTTTTCCCCAGCTCATGTTTGAAGCTGACTGCTGATTGTATAGCAGTATAAGCACAGTATTTAGAACTTTAGTAGAGTTTTATACAATTTCATAAATAAAAATAATTGCACTGTACAATTTACAAATACTATCGTATCAGTCATGACATAGCAAGCTAATGAGGTAGCTCATTAGCTATCTGTATTTCATCTAGACTGTGATTACTTGACTACCATAAAATAGCTGCAGGTGGACTTTTTCCTTAATAGCATCCTGAAGAGCTTTAACTGATCTGCAGAAGATACAAATCTAAGGTCTGATACTCTAATTTTCCACGTAATACTATAGCTTTATGGAATAAATCTATGCCACTAAATCTATATCCATCTGAAAGTCAGGTATTTAGTCTAAACCAGTTGTTCAGGCTTCCTCTATCAGCACTGGAAAATGGACATGCACAGACATTTGAAACATCTCCTTCCCTGCTCTCTCTCCAATGGTGTTTTCCTTTAGGTTTAACATGAGTGAGATGTACAGTTGTCAGTCTATATTTACTATACAGCTACCAAAGTTGTTGATGGCTGTGCATAACAGAAATAGAAATCCGTTCCATGATGTCTAGAGACAGCTGAGTTAAGCAGTATAAAACACAAGCAGTTCTGTTCCTGGACATGCTCAGATCTGACCCTTTTCTCAATAGCACGAAGAATTGGATGACTATCTCATGACAGTTTTTATTAAATTCAGACCAGGTGTTATTCTCTTATCTCCTGTGAAGGTCTATGAAACCAGAGAGTCTCATGATCACTTTCAGGTAAGCAAGACACAAAAGGCTGTGACAGCACCCACAGCCATGCAGGCTATGTGACTAAATGAGATACGAGCACTTTGCTTGCTCTCCCTCAGGCAGCTCAGCAATTTGAGCATGCACTTAAGACACCTTAAGGGAGCTTTTTAAAAAAAATAGAGATAAGACAACAGGGAATGGTTTTAAAGTAATGGAGGGGAAACTGCAGATTAGATGTTAGAAGGAAATTCTTTACTCATAGGGTGGTGAGACACTGGAACAGCCTGCCCAATGAAGAGGCAGATGCCCCAGTCCCTTGAAGTCTTCATGGCCAGGTTGGATGGGGCTTTGAGAAACCTGGTCTAGTGGAAGATGCCCCTCCCTATGGCAGGAGAGCTGGAGTTAAGGATTTTTAAGGCCTCTTCCAGCCCAAACAATTCTATGATTCTATGTTACACATACTACCCACAGTCCACACATTTCTCAACTGTAGAGCGCTTCAGCTGCACCCACTTCCTGAGTTTATGTTAGGTTTTAAATAAGATATTGAAATGATCTCGGGAACACAGTGTGGAGAATATGTCTAAATTCTTGTAGCATGGTGCCATAAACACAAGGTGAAGAGCCCTGCTCATTTTCTGATCTGATACATGTATTTCTAGGCAACCAAAGGCTTCTAAGCCCCACAGGAAGACAGGATGAAGTATTTGCAGCCCTTCATACTGCCAGTTAGTAACATAAAGAAGTTTTTTCCAATATTTGCTGATTTGCAAAACCCAGAAGCTTGGTTGATCTTGTTCTTTGCAACTTGTATGTCCTTTTCTGATAACAACAGACAGAACACATGATCAAGTTGTTATAGAAAACACTCATGAAATGGGCAAACCTCAGAAAAACTTGTAGTTAGGAATGCATTATAACTTCTGAGAAAAAGGGCATTTCTTTAAATACCTGAGATTTGGAAGTATTTAAAAAAACTCGTGCTGTGGATGAGTTTTTAAAGATTATGATGTCTTTATCTAATAATATTGGAAAAAGGACTTTCTTCCTTCAAACCAAACCCAAGACCAAACCAAAATGATAAAATGAAGTAAAAAGAAAAAGAAACCCCATAAATTCTCAGCTATACTGACTGAAATCCTCACTAAAACATCCTAAAGGCCACACAAAGCACAGAAAAAAGGTTTTTACGGAACACTTCCAGCTTTTCAAAAGCACAATCATGAAACACAAACCTGTTCATTGCACTACTACAGTATGATGCCAAATATCATTAAGAGCTTTCTCAGCAAAACAACAAACAAATCTCAAGTGCTAAAATATCATCTGTCGGGAACACATGCAGAAGCATCGTGGAAAGGCTCATTAGCATAAAGCAACCAATAAAATTTATGCTGCAATAACTACAATGCTTTTAAATTATTCTATATTTCACAAATTGCCTAAAACTCATGTAACATTAAATAAGGAATCAATAAATTCCATAGTGGAGCAAGAAAGGCACTGTAACACATTATACCAACACAATATATAAGAATTTTTGCAGCTCCCTCGTGGCTACATTGTACTTGGGTTCTGCTCTAGCTCCATTTATGAGAATACCTTTAAACACATGCTCATTATCTTGAGTACTGTATTTTCTAGCACTTATTAATTTATTCATCACAAATTAGCAAGGGAGCAATTTCTGACTTTTAAAGGAAGATCAATTAGCAAAAGTAGATAAGAAGTTTTTATTTTAGCTTCCATGAGGCAATTCTCCTGTAGCCAGCCATCTGAAAAAGGACAGAGGGAGCCCAGGAGGAAGCTCTGGCTTGCTGGAAAGGCAATTCTGCACCGTGAGTTTGCTGACTTACTTGTTACTAGGAATGGATAGGGGACAAGCACAAGGCTGACAGTCATCTGGAGAGCCTTGGACAGTGCCGTAAAATCCCGGAGCACACCTCTCACAGTGGTGACCAGCGGTATTGTGCTGGCAGTCCTGCCAAGGAAGGAGATAGAATGAAAGCTGCATTCGGTAATTACATGAAAGCAGACAACATTCTGCTCCCAGCTTTAGGGATTCAAACCCACTTCAACACATAATTTCCCTGATATGATTCTCAGTAGGAATGCTTGCTTCGAGCTTCTATCAAATGCCTGCTGAGCAATATACGGGCTTAAAAGGAGAAAGAATACAGGTCTGTTTCTGCCCAGATGTATCCTACAGAATTTCTTATCCCATTCATCCTTTCTTTCCTCCTTTATTCCAGCCATTGGAAAAGGAGCAATAATTAAAATTCAGTCTTATTGTTTCAGGTCATGTGTATTACTGCCTGTAAGAGCAGAATTGTGTTCACTGTGTGACACATGGTACACTGTTTCTTGATTCTGCAGGTGTCTAGTTTTTCTTTTTGCACAGGTAGTAACTCAGGGGTGAGAAAGCACTGCATAATCTGAACTCTAGAAAACCAGAACAGAAAACTTCAAAAGTTTGCTTTTATGACTCTCCCTGAACTTTGATACTTCAGCTATTTAGGCAAAATCATATTAAAATATTGTCTTCTGTTTTTTTTTGGATTAGTAGCACAATTTAGGAACAACATTAGGATTAACTTGGTGCAAAGGTTTAGAAGTGTAATACCTGACAAACTGATGTTTCAGAGTCACACATAGTGCTGTGCCCGTGACACTGACATACAGTACAGGTGCCTAAGGACTGAGCAGGTGTCCTTCCCGCAGGTGGAGATGGAAGCCTATAAAATCCTGGAGAGCACGACTGCAATAAAAAAGATGCAGAAGAAAACAGATCATTACAGAGTGGACTGTGTGTGGGGAGCATTGCAGGCTCATCTTTCCAATCACCAGTTTTTGCAAGTTGTGAGAAGAATCTGACAGGCTTCCAGCCGTGTTACAAACAATACACAGTACTTTACAGATAACAAGAGCCAGCCCTAATTGGAAACATGGCTGAAAAATCCCTGGAGCACTCTACTGGCATCAAGCTTTTACACTACAGCTTGAGAGATCTTTCATTCAGATGCAGAACACCTTTCTGTTCTCACTGTGCATCAAGCATCATTCCTTTCATTACTTAAGAAAAGAGTTTGTTTTTGAAATAATTTTTTTTGCATGGACTGTGGAGAGCAAGTGTGATGATTCTGTTTCCTTCATCCCTGCTATGTTTTTCAGGTTCGACAAGCTAGTATCTGCCTACACACTACCTGATGGATAACAAGCAAAAGCCGAATCATAAACAAGAAAATGGCAGCATGGCTGCATTATTTATAGCTATATAATTTAAGCACCATAAAAGTACAGAATTCAACATGTTAAAGGTTTTCCATGTCTTGAGCCTATCAGCCCCAAACTAAGTTTATCCATCACTAAGTCTCCTCTACTGTAGCTTGGCAATAAAATTCCAAGAATAACTCAAAAATTGCTAACAAAGCTGACACATGCAAAATCAAACACTTGATCTTTATTTCAGGCTTATTACACAGTTCTGTGGAAGCCCTAACACAGCTCTCAGAAAGCACACAGCTATGGCAGCATAAAAACACAAACAGGAACATTCTGACAGTTGAGACCATTAGGAGCAAGTGCCTACTTGTCCTACGTATAAATTCTACCACCTAGTGGTGCCAGGAGCCTGTGAAAGCCGGCTGATGAGGTCATTTCCTACTGACGACCACAATTTCTGCTTTTTAGAAATGAGTGGCACACTTTTCACACAGCAATAAAATGGATGCAAAATAAACCAGAAGAGAATCTGGAGTAAGTAATTGTTGTGACCAAAAGTAGGATTCTTTAATGAAGCACTAGCTGACATGCTAGATTTATTCATATACTACCATTCTGACAGTTTTATAATCATTGCTAATCATTGCTTAGACTCCAGGAGTCTAAGTTACGGAAAAAGTATAAAAACAATTATTTTCTTTAGAATCACAAATTAATCTTAACTCATTTCTGCTTTCCCCTTCTGTTTTGACTTAGACCACATTAAGTTCCCTGAAGCATAGAAACAGTCTATCTTCTTTTTCATGGTTTGTGAAGAATTCTAACCTAGATAAATAATCTCAAATGAAAGTAGTTCTGTTTCTTACCCTTTTTTCCCCTCAATCTCTATCCCCACAAGTGCACTTGTTCAAACAAGGTACAAAACGCATAGTTACAAGTTCTGGATGATTTCAGAATCCAATCATAAAACACATGGTACATCCTCAAACACAACTAATATCTGTGGTTTTTTTCTGATATGCCATTGACAGTCTTACCACCTATTTTGATCGAAGTATTTCTGAGATGAAATAAAACACAGACAAAAGATAAAACAGACTATATTTTTAATTGCTAGTTTGGAAGCTTTTCAGAAGCAGCCATTAGGAAAATTCTTACCACTGCTTCTGCAGCCTAAAAACTAGACGTGGAAAAAAAAGGAAGAAAAAAAAGGGGGGGGGGAATTACAAATTTCACTTCTAGTAAAAACTGCTGTGCATATACTTTTCACAATGTTATTATATGGATAAAGCATGCACAGACACATACACCCTACTAACGCCTGCTTAAAAAATGCTAGGGTGTCAGATATTTTTTTTCCTGCTAAAATTAAATAAACCTTCACAGAATGCACCATAACCTTCACTGAGCACACTAAAAATAAACTGAGTTATAAGTATGTGAAGATCACACAATTAAGAAGGAAGTATGAAGGTTGCAATTGAGACATTTATTGAGCCTCTGGTGGGTGTGAATTGAAAAACAGCTCTAATTAGATTGTCATATATTTTTCTTCAAAAATCCAATTTGCTACAGTAATTAAAAAAAAAAAATCTGTACTTCTAAGCAAATGTTGAAGTCCATTAGTTTTTCATGTATTTACACAAGTTCAGGTGTATTCTCTTATTGAAATAGTGTGCAAAGAAAATTACTTCATTCACTTTCTTTCACACCTTTCCTATGAACTTACTGTTTCTGTTGATTTATTTGCTGCGTAACACAATCATGTATGACATCCAAAGGGATCAGAGTTGTCACAGATAACAAGGTATCTTTCTCTTCCTTTACTTCCATTTTCCTCCCATTGCTAGCTTGGGGCAAACCCTCACAAGATCCCAATTAGGATGTTTGAGGCATTTGCAAAATACTCAAGGTGTTGTTCCCTGCTACTTCCACCTAACAACTGCAAACAGTGAATTCAGGATTGCTGTGCTGAACAAAAATGAAAACATGGTATTCTGTACACAGAAAGATTGGCAGTCTCATCGTCAAGAGCACGGACGGTCAGAAATATTAACTTACATTCTGCAGCCAAATTTCTCTGGTACCCATCACGAAATGCATTTCACAAAAGCATATACAAGTCAGCTGATTCACTAGAACACTTGGATACTTTTGAAATATGCCATCTTCAGCATGAAATTGTAAGTAAAAAATAAATACAGTGCATGTATAAGGAGCACCCAGGTCACTTTGTTGACCAACACTTTTCTCCTGGTGTTCAGTGAGTTAGTATTTTACTATTACAAGAGTATTATACCCTTGTCTGTTCAAAAAACCTTGATCTGTTAGCACCAGTTACACGATTCAGCCTCAGTGATACTGTCCCATTAAAGCTCACTTTCCTGTATTCTAAGTATTTGAGTCATTGCCATGGTTTCAGTGGCATATTTGCCTACAGCAATAAAAAAAAAAAAAAAAAGGGCTGAAATTTCCTGCGAGAGAAATACCTGTGAGAGGAAATAAGTAATTAAATTAAGAGAGAGTTGCTGCCAGTTAAATGAATTCACACCCAATACTATTCACACCTTGCCAATGAATGGACCAGAGAAAGTACAAAGTGTTTTCCTGGGAGTTAGGTTAGTACTGTACCTCACAGGACAAACCAGAATAACCCAATGGGCAGTCACATTTCTCTATCAAGTAAGCCTGAGGGGCCATCCCGGACACAGGGCCGTCTTCAGCAACTTCCAAAGAGATCTCAGAAATCCTGGAAAAAAGGACCAAACATCTCCAATGAGATTAGTCAAGCACTCACTCAAACCCAGCCAGCTGGCACAGGAGGAAACAGGCTCATTTGGCTGTTCGTAGGATTCTTATCTACAGCAGACAAACATCACTGGTTTTTTGCATCTCCCAAGAAACTCCAAAGTTAACACCACCTCTGGTCTCATCTTCTAGTTGTAGGCAACAGGATAACTAACTAAATCTCCAGCTTGATTCTATCTCTTTAATCTGTTTTCAGCCAAACTAGTAGAAGTTAACATACAAAAATTCATATTTGTTTCTTCATTTGGAGGGACTCATTAAGAAATTGATCACTCTCAGGGGTATGGCAGTAAAATTGTCCTCTTAATGAGCTTTTAATGAGGGAACTGTTTAAAAAATAAAATAAAATAAAATCTATCCTAATAATATCTCCCAACCACTCCTGGTCTTTCCAGCATGAATGCTGACCTGCTAAATAGGGTTGAGTACATCATGGACAAAGACAACAAATATAAAATCTAATGAAATACACTTAATCCTAGTGTATCAGAATGCTGTACTTTCAGCTTACTACTTTATTTTGGGGATTTGTTAGTTTGCTTAAATGGATGCTATGATCTGGAACACCTATTGCCTCAGAGAAACAAAATGTGCAGAATAGTGTAAATTTTAAAGCTTCAAATATAATGCTAACCTAAGCTAAAATGTCAAAGTTTGTCTGACTAACTAGCCGAATAAATGTCAATAATGTGGGTAGTGTATTCAGTAAGTGTCTGAGCACAGTGCTAATGGAGAGGTGCTCACAGAGCTGCTCACCTCTCCTCATGCTCACAGCCTCTTCAACTTTTCCCAGACCTTGATTCCTGAGGGACTGAGTGGTCCTGTTCTGCTCATTGGCATATAGGTACCAACATCAGGATGAATGGAGGAAGAGCAAATTCCCACCAATGAACGAGATGAGAGTTTTGTGGCTGAGCTTACATGACCAGACCCACACAACTTGATTACTTTGTGTCAACATAAAAATCCCCAAAGCAATCTAGTGACTTAAAGCCTATGCTCTTACTACCTGAAGAAAGGGGTTCAGTCCAACAGGGAAACTGAACAAAAAAAACCCAACCAAAACCAAGCAAACAAAGCCAGGTCAAAACAGAAGACTGAAAATAAAGAGGGCTAAACCATCCAGATCTGATATGTCAACGTAAAGTTACATTAAAACCTGTTTACATTTAATGGGAAAAGAAAATTAAATCTGCCTCTCCATCACGCTCAAAAGTGAGGGTACAGTTGAAAAACTGTTTGCTGTCATAAAGCTGTATTTAGATAATGATACACTCTAGGGTGACAAAAACTGCCTATTGTTTGTGTGAAAATGTTACTTAAGGAAGGTCAGGCTTGACTGACTTTTGGAAACTGTCTATTAGGCAGCAGCCAAACAACTGCTACCTGATCACTGTTGGGAATATTGAAATAATTTGCAGTGAAATTGAAAGCATACTTCAATTCAAGAAATTTATTATCAAGCCCTGTTGCAAAACAAAATCTAATAAAAGCAATGTTTCCATTTAGAGTGTTGAATGTGAAAATGAGGGCAACAAAATGAACAATACAGGAGAAAAATGTTTGGGTTGGGATTCTGAGCAGAAACCTCTAAATCACTAATAATGCTACAGCTTGGAAGCAGAAACAACATTAGCATTGCTACTAAACTGTTTAGCTAATAGAGTGCTAACGCTAGAATGAAGCTATTTTTATGTTCCCAATTACTGCTGCTACTTTGACTTTATTTTAAAGTGTTTTTCCTGTAGTTTATCACTTACCTGCAGCTTTTAAACTTTGCAATTGAAATTAAAGCACTATTAAAAAAATGTAAAAATACTTCATATATATCTTTTTCTCCTCCCATCCACAGATTCTTTAGATTTATATATCTTTTTCTACTAGGCACAGTCAAGTGGAAAGAGAAGCTTTACTAGTTTAGAAAAGGGCCCTTATTTGGAAAGTACAACACACGCTATTTAAACAAATGTTTTATTGTCACTTAATTCAAACATATGCTTAAATTTGAGTGCAAATATTGTTCTTTAGTGGGTCTCAGCTTATTTTTAATGAAAGCCTTATGCAAGGTAATATTCCACTAACCTTTAAAAACATTTTTGGGATTTATATTTTAGTCTTATGCAAAATTTCCAATCATTCAAAGTGCTAACTTGAAAAAAAAAAAAAATGTATTCCTGCTATATTCTACCTAAAGTCTCAGATGCCATGTGATAAATGTTTGCTTTGTAACAAGACAGACCATAAAAACCCATTGTAACATAACCTCCTCCAAAATCAAACACAGAATTATATGCACCAGAACGACCAGATGAATTATTTGCTAAGCTCTGCTGTCACAAAATGTCACATTCTGAAATGCCATGCTGTAAAAATATATTCTGGTTCTTGAAGCGACACCTTGCAAACCTGCCTTGGAACTGAAAAGTCCTCGCCTGTTGTGACTGCCTCGTGACTGGGCAGCCTGGATAAAATGCTGGTGCAGCGCAGGCCTAGCGCAGTCACAGGAGGCACACACACCTCAGAACAACAGCAGCTTTGCTGTCATGACTTTCCTTTGGATGCTCCAGCTGAGATAGTACTCGGTTTTTGCTTCCACAGCTGAACTAAGATCTGTCCTGCTCAGAGGGAAGAGAGAAACATACATGAAACATGAGTATGCTTCTCAAATTTTCCACATTGCATTGGGGTTACCTTCATAACTCTTTTCCTGGGAATCCCCTTGCTTGTAACACAATATCCTAAATGGACTATGCCAAAAATAAACCAATGTTAAACACTTATGGCATCTGTTACTAATATTTAGCATCTAGCCAGTGCAAGCTACATGAATATTTTTCTGTAAATTATATACTTTAAAGAGAAACAACAGCAGCAACAATGACAATGTTTTCTGTCACATAGTGCTGTTAAGTCCCATGGCATCTGCCCCTACTATTCACCCTCAAACTCCAAAGGCAAGTTTCTTGAAGACCTATTTGTACCTTAGAGACCTAGAAATAATTTTAGCTTTTCATTTCTATGACAAAATCATAAAAAGGACTTCTGGAGACCTTTGGAGTTTATCTCTGATTATTCCCATCCCCTTGCCAATAAATTTTGATTGCAAAGGATATTGTGTATTAATTACTAAAAATTTTGTGCAATAGTCTATGCAAGCTATTCTAGAACATCTCTACCCCCAGCATTTTATCTTTCATGTCTAATGTGGATTTTTCCTGCTGATATTTAAATTAATGTTTGTTTTTGATTTACCCACCATGGCAACAGAGAACTCATTCTTTCCTTTTTCGCTGTGACAACATTTTGAGCATCTTAAAGCAATTTCTGGTTTCTAAATATATCTAGTTCTTTATGTCTTCTTTTACATGTCATATTTTCTAGCCTGCCATGATGGTCACTGATATCCTCCGAGCACTTTAGTAACTATTTTCTTGAATTCCATTAACCAGAACTTCACATTTAGGCTTTACTAGTGTTGGGTGGAAATAAAAGAGGTTGTTTTTTTCACTTTGCAGGCCATATCTATTTATACACACAGATAGAGAATTCGCATTTCTCAACAAGAATATTGTTACTGAATCATGTTCACCTGGTGATATGCTGTAAACAACAGACTCCTCTTTGAAGAATAGATAACTAAGCAGTTGTTCCTTGTTTGTTCAAATGACTGCTACTTTCAGTATAAATGTTACAGCTGACCTTTAGATTGCAGAGATCTTTGTACTGTTCTTTTCTTATCATGTTGCTGCCTGATGTCCACTTCAAATTTAGTGTTAATTACCTTGAATAACTGATTCATTAATAGATTGAATAGAAGATTTGAATCTGACCATAATATATTTAATTTCCCATTTCCAGGAGAAAATTCCCTCATGTGCTAACATCTATATTTAATTACAGCATCATGCTTTCATAAAGTAGTCCTTTATTCAAAAAATACATTAGGGTTGTTTCAGTGTGTGTGTTCCTACATGTGTTTTCTCTTCTAGGATCCTGAAAATAGAGATTCTACTTGCCTAGTGTGATTTAAATCTTCTAGTGCATAAAACTTCCCTCTTCTGTGTCTTCCACTATGCCAAACACAAATTCCAATGGTTCTTTCTTCTCAGCACTGGCTTATAGGCGGTGTCATAAATACAAATTCTCTTGAATTTGTATTTATGACACTGGGAGGTCTATGAGATTTATGAAGCTAGGAGGTCTATGAGATTATCTGACTACTGCACCATTTCAGGTCACTGCATGAAAGAGTTACCTGCTCTGCCTCATGATATTGCCATGAGTCGCCTTGATAAGAATGTAATGAACATCATACAACACGTTCATGAAGTCTTCCCGGGATACAGTTCTACTTGGTCTTGAGTCATCTCCATAATGTTTCCAGGTGAAATCTCCCTGAGACATTGTCCTGTTGAGACCTGGGTTACCATGATAATATTCCCAGGGTCCAGAGTTTCTGCCTCTTTGGTCATCACCATAATATTCCCACTCATGCTGAAAGACAGAAACCCAAAAGACAGATTATTAACGATATTCAAAAGACCCATGTGCTTAAGTTTTTGGGCTAAAAAAGCAGATGGAAATGTTACCTCTGTCATCTCTATCTCATGCCTTGTCAGCTGGCCAATCAGAGGGGCAGCCATATGCCGGACAATAATTCTTGTATTTGTGGGAGGCCCGCCTCTTATGATGACTTGTGGGGAGTAAGTAGTAAAACCTGTCTCTTCTCGTGCTTCAAAGTAGATGGCATATTTCAGTTTCCCTCCATAAGCGGTCAGCTAGCAAAGCACAAAAAGAAATCTCATTTTCAGTTAGCTAAAAATAAATTCCTGGGAAGGAGCTAGATGTGCTCTGCACCTATGCGCAGCCTGATGAATGCATGCGTGGTAGAAAATAGCAATATGTACTTGTGGAACTATCTGGGGACAAGGGCTGTGTTCAAAAACACTCATCCACAATTTGTCATTATATTACACTAAAACCAGTATGTTATCTATTTCCTCAAATGTGCCTTGGTGTTCCACCAAACTAAGAAATATCAAAAGTACAAAACAAATTGTCACAGAGGTGCATAACATCCAAAAGGATGGTTCTTTCAATCATTTTCTCCCATGTAATCTACAAATATCACATATTTTTTGCTTAAAAATGAGAGAAACAGAAAATTGCGAGTGTTATATTAAATTTGTGTAGTTTAATTTTTTAAACAACATTTTTATGAGAACATTTATCCTGTGGAAAACCAGAACATAGATATTTACAGATATTAACATGTAAAATATTATTTGTGTTACTTTATGAATTTCCATAATAACAGAGCAAATAATTTTTAATAATGGAATAGAATTTACTTTCTTTTGAAGTACCTTCCACTGTGTGAAGACATGCTTATTGGGAAGGAAAAAAGGCATGGTAAAATAATAAAATAAGATTAAAAGAAAAAAAAAAAAAGCCATGTCAGTATTCAGTGAAGTTTTAGGTTTACCTTTCGTCCCTCAAACTGCTCTGGAAGTCTCCAGTAAACAGGTTCTGACCGAAGATCCTGCATCACCTGTTCTATATTTGCTACTATTTCAGGAGGCTGGAATGCAATCCCTGAAAGAGTGCTACGCTGAAGCTTCTCATCTACCAGTGGCAGAATCATTTGCTCCGGTTTCAAGGTCACCTATGCATATTTGAAAAAATTGAGAAGAAAATTAACTCTGTTTTTTCCCCATGAAGCGGTAGTCTTCAAATTCTAGCTCTTTAAAAAATTACTTCTAGGTAATTTCCTTTCACATCATGAGCAATTTGTCACAAAGCAGTCTTGCTACTCCTTCAGGTATGAACAGTGCTAATAATGACTTTCCCCTTGAGCCTTTTGCACCTTGTCCTCATGTTAACAAAGAATGTAGCAGCACTGGTTAAAATACTTTAATCAGCAAGTGATTCCATGAATTTTATTGAAGTGATTTTCATAGTGCTATTTTAGTCCCAGGCCTCTTTTTTCAGATTGTGAGAAATGTTACCTTACAAAGAAGCACCTTCTCACCACTTATAGATCACTGGAGCTGTAAAACACGGTGTCCGATGCCTTGATACCTCTATGCAATATTCAACTAAATGTTCTCCAGGCAATTTGCAGAGAGTGAGGCTTCAATGAAGGTTTCTGTAACTCTAAATTCAGCTTTACTAAAAAAATACAAGGATGCCACTTATGTGCTTGTCATTTTCTTAGACTGGTTGACAAAGTCTCATTAGCATTATACTGAAATAATTATTATGATCAAAAACTGTAGTAAGAGTCTTAGTAATTCTGTGCCAATGGAAATATCTCGGGGAGTGTGTGAACAGATGCAAAAGGCTGGTAACAATACTGCTTTCTCTCAAAGAGTGAGGAAGACAAAGACAACAAATGCAGGTAACAGTCAACAAACAGTAAAATCAAGAAACTGGTCATAAGATACGAGTCAGGTAATGAGGAATCAACCAAACCCTGGACTGTACATTCAGTATCCTGGTATTTCCATTTATAGCAGCATCTATGGACTGATCAGACATGGAAGCACTCCTAACATTGCCAGCCCTAAGTGAGATTCAGTGATTTTGTATCACAACTTTATTTTACTGTTTAATACTTTAGATACCAAGAAAAGTGTAAACACATTTGAATTTCAGGTCATTCATCAGCCATGCCTTATTGTCATTTAAATTGGGATTTGCTTGTTTAAACAAGTCTAATGTCATTTGAAGCACCTGAGAGTATCCAAAATAGCCACTAGCAGCTGGCAGAACACTGTCTCACTTATTTCACAGTTCTGTATCAATTCTGAAATGGATGAGAGTACCAAATACTAGACGCGACATGGACACACACTTTTTTAGATATGAGCATAAATACAAAAGGAAATTAATCAAGAGAAACAAAATAATCAGGAAGTTTAAATTTTTTCTGCTTTGTGCTGCCACAAAGGTCAAAGCACAATTATCCAGAACTGTTGCTGTTACGGAACTTGATTAAATTTTATAAATTGTCAGCCTTCTACAGCCTTTCATCTCCAGCCTAGCAGCATATGATGGGCAAAACTGAAATAATGAGAAAAACTGGGTCAGATCATAATAAATCACTTCATCCACTGGAAGAGAAAGAGGTGCTACAGGACTGAACAGTGGAGAATAAGTGCTATCCATATTATATTAAGCCAGAGAGATTAACTTGATTTCAGCCTAAAGTATTCTTATCTAACTGATGGCTGTACATGACTAGTCTGGGGTTTTGGCTGATTTGCATTGGGCAGACATTCCTTCTATGGTTGGCATTCTTTCAAGCAGAGATATGACTGACCATACAGGGGGACAGAATGAATATTTTATGAATATATTACAAATCTCTCCTCCAGAATGCAACTGAGGGGCTGGCATGGCAGCAGTCTCAATGTGTATTTTGTGCTTGCCGTACAGATAAATGGAGACATCCAGTCTGCCTTATTTATGAGTCCAGCATAGGTCTCAAGGCCCTCTTCCACAAACAGGTGTAGAGCTCTTTGTTTGCTCTGATGGATTATACCTTTCTGTGCTTGAATTTAAATATAGCTTCAATAAGATCTTGTTTAAAAATGAAAGAAAACCTCACCAAAACAACAAAACCAACAAGGAAAATAAAAAGATTAACTGAACTATGGGAAATTTATGCTGGACAACAAGCATCTGTGACCCTTGAATACACCTGGGTAAACTGTGTATCACGTACCAGGGATTATGTTGCAATGCATTAGACTGAATAATTTCTCCACATGACCAGCTTGCCCTTTCTTGGGATTAATAGCTCTACTTTGGCTGGATGTCAGCTATCCTATCACTCATTTTCTTACCTATTTATTTCCTTTTAATGTCTTGACCCTGATTGTCTAATGGAACACACCGCTCTCACCACTCCTCAAAGCATAAAGAGGAAAGTGATTGCTTAAATGTTTGGCCATTTTCTAGCTGCCTCTCAGTGCCTGACTAAAAGATGCCAGCAGGAAACAACATTATCGCATTACATGGCTCAGCAGTTTCCTACTCACCCACAAGCGGATCAGCCCCCTTGCCTCGCTGCACTGTGTAGTCAGGCCAAAGCAATAGCAACTGCTGCAGCCAAGTGGGTTTCTGGCAGAGAGACCAAATGTACCAGACTTGCACCTGTCACAGTGGACACCTTCCACATTAACCTGGAAGAGAGAGAGAATTTTTAAAAGGGGAAAAAAAAAAAAGTTTTATTTCAAGGTAGCGAAACAGAAAATCCTACTGTAATGATAATAACAGGGTGCAGCAAGAAATAATTATCAGCTTTAGGAAATATTCAAGGAACTCTCCAGGTTCTTATCACGTGTGTATGCAAACATATGTAATTAATGTAATTAAGGCATTTGCATTTCTATCCACTGAGTAGCTCTGAGCAATAGATGCTGGCTTCACACTGAAAGTTGTAAGCACAGAAAAATTAAATGGCACTTTGGGCATGACATGCTAAATAACTGATTGATAAGATAAGAAAACTAAGTTGTTCTGGAATTGCCCATGTTAATCAAGCCTTCTGTTTAATAGGAATTAGCATTGACATGTTCAGATATTTAAGGTACAGCACTAAATGTTCTTGCTGAGAAATGTATTTTAATGGAAATTCTGAAGAGAAAAGCTTTCCCCTCTTCATGATTGTTTTCCACATCATTGCACAGTATTAACAAGGCTGAAATGTTTCACTGTTGTAATGTCAAGGCTTTTATTTTCATTTTTCAATTAGTCTAAATAAAAAGCTATTCCAGATAGGGCAGATACACAATAATTTATGCAGAGCCTTTTAAAACCATTTTCATACTGAGACCAAGGTATTAAAAAGAAAAATAGTCACCAATATGAAAACACTTGGTTGGCTTTTTCTCCCCACACCCTTTTTTCTCTCTTGAGACTAGTGTGAAGAAGCCAATCTACAAAAAAAAAAACAAACAACTTTCTAAAGCTTATACAAGAAACCAACATTATCCCTCAGGATTTACCAGTTTTAACCCTCATTTCCATATGTTCTATCAACAAATGTGCGTACACTGCATTTAGCTTAGATTTTGCTGCTTTTTGTCAGGGCTGATAATGAGGCTCCTGAGCCTTTGAGAGCTGTAGCGACAGGTTTAAATGGGAATGATTATAATTTTATAAAAATCTAGTTTCTTCAATATACAACTCTTTCAAAAAAAGTTAGACAAAAGATTAATCAACCCTAGACTTAAATTTAACCTTGGATTAAAATTCTGGGGGGAAAATGTTTACTTAATTCAGTATTATTTGTCCATTTTCTCTCATAAATGGTGATTTTTACGTGCTTTGAATTTTGTTTCATGTCAATTGCACTTCCTTATCATTAATCATCAGCTAAATATACACTGTTCATTTGCACTCAGAGAAGCATAGAAGCAGCTATGTTATTAGCCGTAAAAGAATCAATAAAGAAACACTTCTATTTTAAAATGACATGAACCCCCACTCTTTCTACTTAGTGCTTACAAGAACTACAAGAAAAACAATGACCCAGAGAAGTTATGGAGTCTCCTTTTCTGGAGACAGCAGGCTGGACAAAACCCTGAGCCACACGCTCGAGGGGACCCTGCTTGAGCTGGGGAGTTGGACTAAATGACCTCCAGTGATCCCTTCCAATCTGACCAATTCTGTGATTCTGTGACATGCTGGAGCTAATCCAGAAATGGGGCATCGAGATGGTTAGAGGGGCTGCTGCTTATCAAGAGAGGCTGAAAGTACTGAGATATTTCCATTTCTGCATTTCAGAGGCTGGCACAGGGCAAATCGCACTGAATTTTTTTCAGACAGTCCATGTGGTCAACTCACTTCCATTTTCTTATGGTGTCATCATCAAATGAATCAGTACTTGTGAAATAGAACATAATGCTTCCTGTACAAACATACCAGAAAATGGGAGGGAGGTCAAGCAGTTTGCACAAGGAGGTTGTGAAATCTCTCCCCATGCTTGGAAGTACTGCCTCAGCAGTGTCTTTCAGACAAGGTGCTGGACTAGATGACCTCCATAGGTCACTTCCAACCTAATTTGTTCTACAGTTCTGTGTCTTGAAACTCAGAATTAAGTAACTGTTGCCCATTTAACAAAATAATTACCAAATTTCAATTATTTGAATTCATCCTTCCATTTTACTATCTCTTTGTGCAAATACAGACCTAAAGAAGAAGAAGAATGAAACCAAATCGCAGAAAGAATCTCTAGGGGTCACTTTTAAAAACCTCCCCCTAGAAGTACAACTATCACCAATACTAGGTCACATTATCCATGCCTCTTTCTAGCCAGTTTAGCCAGTTCTCAAAAATCTCCTAGAATGGACATTTCACATGTTTCTGGATAATGTGTACCACTGCTGCATAACTCTGATTTTTTTTTTTTTTTTCCTAATGTCCAACCCAAAATTCCAAAGCTCCCTTTGGCAGCTGTTGTCCCTTTTTACATTTTCTGCCATCATCAGAAAGGACTTTATTCCACCAACTACTCTTTGAAGTGGCTAATAGGCTGTAATTGCATTTCCTCTTTTTAGCCTCTTTTATCAGCCCAAGAGAGAGTCCAGCTCTCTCAGTACATCCCCACAGATCATCTGCTGTGAGACTCTTCTCTGGATTCTCTTCAATTTCTCAACAACATTTTTGAATCAAGCTCTAAAAGTGGACACCAGCTCCAAGTGTAGTCTTACCAGCACCAGCTACAGTAAGAGTAGAGCACTGAGCAGATGAAGCCTTTTCCCTGCTCACCAAGCTCTTTGTGATGTCCTACCTTGCAGCTGCACTGGCCACTGCTCTCACTGCATCCAGATCAGAGATTGCAGTTTGCCTTATTTAGCATGAGATTATACGGTTGCTTTATATTGTGTTTTCCAGGAGGACTGCCACTCAGGCTTCTTCCTCCCAAACAGTACTGATTCTTGAGGTCATTCCACTCCAATTAATGACCTTTCTATTTTCCCAGTCATCAGGCTTTTCAAGAACTCTCTAGACAGTAATTCTACCGTTCAACATGTCAACCTCTACTTCCTCCAAGTCAGCAGTATTTTCAAATGTGCTGATCACAAATTCTGTCATCTGTGTTGCTGATGAAGATTCTGGCTCTGGGATAATCTGGTTGCTGGCTACCAACTGCATATCAGATCACCAATTAGTGCGCTGTAAGCTGTTCTACCAAGCACAATTCCAAATAAGAATGTTGCAGATGATGCCAAAAGTCTTTCCTTTAATGATCCTGAATTGGATGAAGTCTGCTCTGAACAGATACTATTGCAGTGAATTCTACTCATGAAATGATGAATATTGACTCCATCTAAGTCAATGCACTTTGAATTAGCACTGTGGCATACTATGGTTACTGATGTGTTTGCTTTTATTGTGCTCAGAATCTGAACAAGAATTGTATTATGGGGATGAACTGGAAACAGTTCTGGAAGAATAGACAGAAAGAAAAATTGGGGAAAAAAGAGAATACTAAGGATCCTTGTAAGAGGATGCTATACTGGCAAGTGTCAGTATGTGGAAAAGCAACTGATAAACCCTGAAGTCTTTCTTAATGTTGGACTCCTCCCACATCAGTATGCAAATGCGCTATGAAAACTAAGGAGATTGTTCTGCATATACTGTTTGAACAAGTAAGGGCAAGTGCCAATGAAATCTGAAATAAACTTCTCAGCAGTTACAAGATCAGTTTACAACCTTCATTGTCCTACCTTGCAGCTGCATTGGCCAGAATGATCAACGCATGAGCACTTCCCCTCTGCATCACAGCTCTGTGGATCTGTCCCAGCCAGGAAGCACTGACAAGCCACACAATGTGGATAATTCCAGTAGCCCAACCTGCACTCAGTGCATTTCTCCCCAGAGAATTCAGGGCGGCAGAAGCAACAGCCTGTATTTAAGTCACACTGAGAACTTAGGGCTCCAATGAGGCTGCACTCACAGGGCTGAAAAGGAGAGAAACAAGGTAATTGTAACTGGGCTTCTGAAAAAAACAAAACCAAAACCCAACCAAAAAGCAATTCACCTCTTTTAAGTATCTATAAATAAAACAGAGCAGTGAATTTCCACTGTTTAAAAATAACATATTTAAATGGTAAGGCCAGTAATGTATTTTTATTCAACCTGGGTCAAGCATTTACACTAAATACATTTACAACACTGGTGGGATTTTTTTTCCAATAAATATTACTTACCATATATATGTTAGGCATTGAAAACAAATAAACCCAAAAGGGTCAAGGATATTGGAATACTTTGTGGACAAAATTAACTGAGAAACTACAAGCACCCTCTAAGAAATATTTTGTATGTAAATTCTCTGCAGGCATGTTCAGAACACTTTCCTAAAATTGGAATTGCTCAGGAGCAATGGGTTTAGTGGTTCCAGAGGAATCTATTTCAATGTCTATTACTCATCCATCAGACAGGTAACTATCCTCTTTCTACAAACAAGACTCCTAGATGACAGTAATTTACACAGTAAGGGCTAGAGATTTAGTCATGTGACATATTTGGAAGTAAACTTGCTCACAGAATAAGACTTGCACAGGCAAGTGCGGATAGAAGTAGGTGACTTTCCAGGGTGTCTAGATATTGAATACAAAAGCAGCAGGGAAAACTGCAAGTTTTCAAAGAACAGAAGAATCCCTCAGTGCTATTACAGTGGTAGCACTGCACAGTTAATACAAGACATTGGCTGTAATCACTGGTGTGATGAGAATATCATATGGAGAAGTTCAGCTTACAGCAAAAAACTCAGTACCAGCAGTACAGGTTACCACAGTAACTGACATGGATAGACTTGCTAAAATTACAGACACAAAGCTGAAAAAGAGAGGAAGAAAATATGGATTCAGTTTCTAAGCAAAACTGTTTATTAGATGACTACTTAGAGCACCTTTCGTCTGATCTGAAAAGACCATATATAAAGAAGGTGAATATACACAGGAAATAGTCTGCAAAATGACTACCTAACCTAAAAAAATAAAACTTTCTGACAGAAAGAACTTTATTGTACAAGATACATTTGAACACAAAGCTAAAAAAGCACATTGTTCACCATTCTCTGAAGTATCATGGTGTGCAATATCAAAACCTAGATTACAATCAGATGCTATGTGTGGTTTATGCAGTTTTCTACAATGTTTTCTATCCCAGACTTACAACAGCCTTGTTGAAATCTTCTACAAGAACTGCAAAGCAGGAGATTCACATCTCACTTTGCAGAAATTAGCAGCAACATACTGAAAGAGATGTGGACTGATAGATCCTCGTTAATTTAGATGGTGCTATGGAACTGTCATACTAAGGTGCTCACATAAAAGACAATCAGAGAATATACTCCAGAGCTCAAACAGAGGTCTTCAACCTCATTAGGCTGGTTTCAGAAGTCAAGAGTCTATATCACAGCAGCACTGCAGAGGTTTCACAGGCGTTTTACATACATACAAGAAAAGAAATCATTCTTGTCAATTGCTTTGCAGCCTGAGCTACATGACTTACAGCCTTTTAAGAACAAGTATTAATGGTGTATGACTATGTTCCAAAAAGATATCGCTTTATGGAGTAATTGTAGCAGTATTATTAAATCCCTTATCATCAATGACCACAGCAGAGAGGAAGAAGGCATTTTAACTTTCCATGATGTCTACTGTCACCAGTTTTCAACCTTAACTGAATACTGTGCCACTCAACTCAAGGTCATTAACAACAGTTTTCATGGCCTCCTCGATATTCTATCATTGTTTTCCTATTTCTTCTCCCTTCTCTTCAGATATTTCAACTCTATGTCAAATATTGGAATAAGAAGGATTTAAAGGTTAATGATAAGATTATTATGTGCTTTATTCCCCTTTAAGAACAGGAGAATAAAGCACAATTTACAACTAAGGTGGATGTTTCTTTTCTTTTCTCCTCGCTGTCTTTTATGCACAAATTGAAGCCTTTCTCAAGCAAACTTTGAGTACAAATTCCCAGTGGTGTCACCAATAAGGCCAAAGTAAATTTGTTCCCCAAAGGCACAATTTGCTGATTACCACAGTATTGAATGATGTATGTAGATGTGTATTTACAGGTAATCTCCTCAATCATGTTATATGATAATAAACATATAAACATATATAACTATAATAAAATCAGGCTCAAGCAGGACCCTGACTCATGTGACAGCAGAACCAACAGGGTGTTTTGTGTTACAGGCTGCATACCTGACACTGAGGATCTGCAGTGCAGTAACAATAACAGATTGCCAACATTTACACCTCAGTCTCGCACCAAAACTTGCAATATGGAGACAAACCATGATTTACAAACCAAAAACTCTGTTCCGGCTATAAATTACAGTGAAAGAGGTAACACACATGGAGAAAACAGAAATCCACTCACCTTGCAGCCACTGACAATGTTGTGGCCCCAGTGATTTGGTGCACATTTGTCACACATCTCTCCAACAGTATTGGGAGGGCAGATACAGCGCCCACTGACCGGATCGCAGTTATTGCCAAAACGTGAACACTCACAGGCTTCACGGGAGACAGAAAAAAAATAAAGCAGAGGAAAAGTTATCCCTTTGTGTGACACCCGGAGAACAGATTCTGACGGGGTTAGGATCATTCCTTTACTGTACAGTGAACTCAGTTATCTGTGAACACGATGGGGCAGAAAACGTAAAGAAACCCTGAGAAACCAAAACTAGTAGTAGTGAAACACAGGTTAACTGTGGTTGAAGTAGCTGCAATGAGAATAGAATGGGAAAAATAAAGTCACCAACTGCAGAAGCATGGAGACTTCTGAGATGGTGCACTCTTGTGACATAACTGCAGAAGAGCAGCTATACAATTTCTGGGCCCATGCTGTCTCCTCTAAGAGGCCACCTGAGGACCTCTGAGCCATCTATGCAGCAAACTTGCAGCCTATTTAACCTCGTTCACCAAATTGATGGTGAGAAATACCTTCTGAAATTTCTGGTGCCCTAAAGAGACTTTCCTTAAAGGGCAAAAAAGGTGTTTTAGGTTTCTTCTTCCCTTTCTATTCCTTCTTTTTCAGCTTATCCTCTGCCTTGGGAGGATATCAACAAACTGATGTTTCCTCTCCATGGGAAACTGGAATTCTTTGCAGATTGTACCGAATTAAAAATACTTCAGATTTGGAAGTGTTTCCAGAAGTGGAACTTTGCTCTTAAAGGATTATTAAGTAAACAATTCACTGGTGGCAAATACAGATTCAAGGTATGTTAAGTGATAAGTAGTTAAGGGGCACAAGACACACAAGTGATTGAAAGAGCAGAGCTGGTATGTGGTTGTTTTCACACCCAACATCCACATAACCCATGCGGTCAGAGAAAAGCATCATAAGCAAACTGATTCTCTGTGTGATAACCCGTTCCTTGGGGGGCTTAAAGGGCAATGTAACTTTTCTACTGAGGGCTTAATTTGTGTTCACTGCCTTTACCGTGAAATACTTCAATTCCAATTGAAACTAGAAAACAAGGGATGTGCAAAGATAGAGCTCCTATCTATAGGTCAAATAAGAAGTGACCTTTATTTTTCCCCACCAATGCCTTCAAGACAAGGCAACTGATGCAAAGAAGATAGCAAGTTTTGCCTCCATCATGGCACGAACACAATGTGTTGCATACTATTTAAAATATTTTCACACACTGCAGCTTGAAGTTTCAGAATACATCTCATTGGGATACTAAGGCTTTCAGTTCTGACAGCTCATCTATGGGCTTCCACAAAATTGGCTAAAAAGACATGGAGGGGAAAAAGATACTCAAATGTTTTTTCTATTTTTACTTTTGTAACTATTTTTCAAAATAAGAGGGAAAAAACACAACACAATTGTTGCAAGCAATAGTGAAATAGAAACCTCTTTTGTATTTTTGCTGCTAGAATGTCAACACTGACGATGCTTTAGGGTTTTTTTAATGCTTTATGGATTTATATTGCACAAGAAAAAATCAAATTATATTCCTTTCGGATAAATGCTAGATAAAAGAGGTCCAATATTTTATTTGATACTTAACTGTCACAATAAAATTAATTTTTCTGTACTTTTCCTTCCAGCATGATTTGATATACTTCTATTAAATTTCTGATTTTCTTTGTGATCCATAATTTAATTTTTTTTTTTTTTTGTCATTTGAAGGAATACATAAGAAGCCTACTAAAAATAAATGTGGAAAAACAAGCACATTGAAAACAGAATTCTTCTCCACCTGTTCTATTAACTTTGGAACTTCCAAAATTCTGAGTTTTCTCAACATCTATAGCTGCTGCTGTTGCTTTAAACATTTGATGACCACAGGCCAATAGACTTATATTTAAAATGCTATTTGGATCTACAGTATTTTACCATTTCATCGCTGTTTCTTAAACCCTGTCATTTTAAAGTTTGCCAAGAGAGCAATTAAAATTTTAATGTGCAATTTCATTAATAGCCCTCTCATTTTTCTTTCCCAACTGTAGTTATCAACATTTTCTTGTGTTTCACAACAGTGATGTGCTTTTAACCTGTGGAATGCTAGAATAAGATGCTAATCATAAACAATAGAATTTTTTATCCTTCATTTAATTGCTAAAGGCTTTAGGACTACAGTTATCATTTGCATTTTATGTCAAGCTCTCTCATCAGTGAGCCTGGGAACAATTCTCCCTTTTCCAAGGTGCCACTGTATGTGAACTTTTCAAACCTGTAGGTGTTTTTGAACCCTTCATTCCTGCGGGAGACAACACCACAGAGCAACATTTTCAAACATAATCTATAATCCAACCTGTGTCACGGTTTATCCACACTACAGGTAAAATTGCATTTTGCTGCACAAATATGGGTCTTGAGGCCTTGATGCTCCTTCCATTTAAAAAAAAAAGGAGTAAGAAAAGGCAGAGAGCTAAACTTGTTCCTTGTGCTGCCATTCTGGATAGGAAAGGAGCAAGAATGGATTACGAGACATTGTGATTCCTGCTTCTGGAACGAATATACTTTATACCTAAAGAATAATAATGGTATTCTGGCATCCCAGCAGTCAGTCACACTAGCCAACTATCTATGTGTCCTGTGATCACAACTAAATGAGTCTGAGACTTGAAAAACCCAGTTCTATCAGGAAAGATGGATATTTCCCTGTGAAGAAATCTATTGATTGGGTTCTTTTTGATATAGCAGTCTGCACTACTTCAAGGATAGGAAGCATTCATTTTAGTCTTTGACCTGATTTCCAAAAGGAAAAAAAAATAAAGAGGTGGCTGGATATATTTATGTCTAATGCTAGAGTTTCAGCATCTAGAGGAGGAGATTTTTCACGTGTTTACACATGGCATATAGCAGATCGTTTTACTTAAAGATCTTTTTGTACACAAAAAGTTAAAGTAAGCAACGAAATATTCCTGTACAGGAAAGGACTGTGGTAATGAAAGAGGATCAACCATATAAGAACAGTGAAAAGGTTGGGGATAAAACTAGAAGCAAAGGGAGTCTGTGTTTTTGTTGTTTTCCTTTTACAACCCTACAAGCTGATTTGATTTGGCAAAAATTTTAATCAGAGTTCTGATACTCTCAACTAAATTACAGGAACTTCATGGAAATTTTTTGGCAGACACTACATAGAGTAAATGACATTCCTGTTCCTTCTAAATAAAATAAAATTCATAAAATCTTCATAAAATAGCAGAAATGGCTTGTGTCTTTCATTCTTGCTAATCACCACCCTTGTCAAGTGAATGATGCACAAGGCTGTCTATGAAACCCCTGTCAGGAAAATTTGTTATGCAATCCAAAATTAGCTAAACTAGAATGTTATGAATAAATAAACAAACAAATCAATCTGTGCTTGGGTGGAAAACATTTACATACGGGTACAGCCTCCTTCTTCAAAGTTGTAAAATCCATGTGCACAGCGGTCACACTTCTTTCCTGTTACTCCAGGCTGGCAATAGCACTGTCCGTCTCCATCACAATCGAAGGACTTGGAACCAAAAGAGTTGCAATTGCAGGGAACACATCCTCTGGAAGACTGTAAGCCAAATGTTCCAGGCTGCCACAGAGTGAGGAAGAGCAGTTAGGACATGGAATGATTACCAGGAGAAAAGAGGAAAAGCTGAGAGTGTAGGGAGATCAGGGCTGCTCTTTCCTGTTCATCACTGAAATACTGCTTTTAACAGGTTAAATTGTAGTGGTTAAACCCTGGAGCAAGAACACTAAATGCCCTACACTGCTGAGAAAGAATAAAGATTTCAGAACGTTACCTGATGCTATAATGAATGTTCTGCAATGTAACACATTTCTTATGAGGCTGTTTCCCTAAGTACAATTCTCACTCGGAATGGAAGATATGTCAGCACAACATACATACCCCATTTCTGGTTGCCAGGCTATGTCAGGCAGTTTTTTGTTACGAGAGTGAATTCAAATTCTTAGCTATGAATGGAGATCGATTCAACTGGAAAGCCTCTGAATTACATTTTATCTCCTCTGAGCAAGGCAATATCTGTATACAGTAACTTAAGGGCAATTCTTTAGAATGATGTATAGGAATAACTTCAGAAGAACATAGAGATAGTGTATTTGTGTATAATACAAACATATAATGGGGATTTTTTTAAAGATCATAAACTCTGTCTTTGGATTAGGCCTCTTTCTCTTCTATTTTCTTCCTTTTCTTTGTTTTTTGCAGTGATCAATATAAAGTTTCTACAGAACCAGAGTAGATGTTATCAACTGTAGTAAGAAATTTCTTCCTTAACTTCACTAGTGGAGTGCAAAAAGTAAAGAAGGGAAGACACACACTCATTTGTATACTGTGAATATATCTGTATACTCTGTGTGGTACAGAGTTCTGCACAAAGTTTTCAACCAAAAGACCTTGTGAGTCTTACTGCATCAACCAACAGAGGCTCCTTGGAACAAACCATTGATATTCAAATGACACACTAAGTCTTGAACTAGAGTGCTTTAAAAGGGGAGTATTTCTTCACCTGTTTTTCAGGCATGATGATTTTCAGTGAATACTGAAATCCAAGTCAGATTAATAACTTCACTTGAAATTGATATTACAACATTAATAATAAAATCTATCAGCAAGTTTGCTAGGAAAGAAGAATGTTAAAAATGAGATATTAAAAAGATCACTGCTAATGAATATAAATGGAACAAAGTGAAAAATATTCAATTTATAATGCACTACTTTGTGATCCAGGCATGAGGTGTAAGATTTTTACCAACTATAAATCAGCAGATCTTCAAATCAATGGAGCTGTACTGGCTTTGACCATGACAGTGATTGTCCCTCGGTACTAAGCACTAGTGCTGTGTCCAGTTCTGGGCCACTTACAAGAAGAAAAGACACTGAAGTGCTGGAGCATGTCCAGAGAAGGGCAATGGAGCTGATAAAGGGTTTGGAGTACAAGTCCTATGAGGAATGGCTGAGGGAACTGGGGGTGTTTAGCATGGAGAAGAGGAGGCTCAGGGGGAAACTTTTCTCTCTACAAATCCTTGAAAGGAGCTGTAGCCAGGTGAGAATTGGCCCCTCCTCGCAGGGAACCAGGAACAGGACAAGAGGACATGGTCTCAGGCAGTGCCAGGGGATGCTCAGGTTGGAAAAAAGGAACAATTTCTTCACTGAAAGGGTGGTCAGCCATTGGAGCAGGCTGCCTGGGGTAGTGGTGAAGTCATTCAAGAAATGACTGGACATGGCACTTAGTACCATGGTCTAGTTGACAAAGTGGTGATCAAAGGTTGGACTCGAACTTGGAGGTCCTTCTCAACCTTAATGATTCTATGACTACTATTTTATATGGATTTGTTCCAGAGTAGAACTCCTAACTAACCCTTTGTATTGGTGTATTCTCTGAAATTTCAGAAGCTTTCCATGGAAAAGTCCTGAAATCTGATCTCTGAGGTTAATACAGAAGTTCTCCACTCACACAGAGAATCTGCTGATAGGTGTCACAATACAGGACAACATCTACAGCCAGAATTTGGCCTGAAAATCATACGAACCTAAGCAAATGCTTGATTATACATGTAATAAAGAATTACACTGATTTTAATTTCCAAACTCTATATTGAAATGTTTTGCAAATTTCATACTTCTACCTGACAAAACATGGCATATCAGAGAGAACGTTGTAGTCAAACTCATTTAGTTAAACTCAAGGTTTCAATAAAATACTTGACTATCTCTAAAGATTTCTTTTACACAGGAAGAAACATAGAAATGTGAATACACACAATCTCAGGACAGACATTCAGATTCATGCAGTGAAATAACCAATGCACAGCATGCATCTCAGTTCTCAAGGTAAAGTTTGCTAGAATCTAATAAATTCTGTTTATATGGGTAACAGTCAGAAAAAGTCTGATATCAGCACTCCACACTGCGTTAAGCTGGAAAAGATCACCACCATGCTGGGTTTCATTCTGTGAAAATGGGCTGCACACAAAGTCATTTTGGTCAGTCATGCAAACTTTAACCCCAAGTTAAAGCTCTCAGCAAAGTTTGTTTACACACAGAAATTCTAAGAATCACATTTACTAAACAAGAGATAAGGTCCTAGACTACAATTATGAAATACACTGAACTTTCTGAATATGTCATTATATCATGTCTCCATCAGTGTACTGTGTGGGCAACACAGTAACCTAATACGTTTAATTGGAAAAAGCTAATTTCTCCAAGAAAGTCTACATGAACAAATAAAGCATGTGTCCCAAAGTCAAGATCAGGATGAAAAACACTGCCAGTATTTTTCAAACAGGGTGTGGTAAATATGGGGATTTTGAGTTGCAGAGAGAACAAACAACATTCCTAAAATACTGCTCTGTTAGAAGCAGTTGTATCATAATTACTTAATTTTAGGAAATAAGTTGCTTTGTAGGTCTGTGATAAGGAATGAACACTTCTATCATTTTGGGCATTACATTCACATAAGTGGCACTGCACCAAGCCAAAAATGGCTCAGACAACTGAGAACTTTTTGCTAATATTTGCTAATGAGAACTTAACACCAGTTATGTTCAATATTTTAAAATTAGATTTTAACTCTTTGCCTCTGGGGTAGATCCTTCTTGCTATCTCCTTAAGCTATTGATTCTTGAATTGTTAGAGAGCAAGTCTTATGCTGCAAAGTCCAAGAAAATCACACCAATTCCATTGATTTATGCACATCTCCCACGCATTTTGTGCATACTGCTGTTGACGATGCTGTTTTGGGACTTAGTCTGGTATTTGATTTCTCGCTGATATCACCACTTGCAAGATGAAGCCCTTAGGATTGGGGAAGCGTCCTAAAACGCTGCTTATCTTCCGAGCCTGCCAGTTTCTTGACAATTTCTTATACTGTAACACGGGTATTAAAAATTAGAAACCCAAGCAATCTGTGTGAGCTCCAGACACAAGCGAGCAGGAGACTTCAGCCCATGCAAAGCAGAGTTTCCCATTACCAGAGCAGCAGGCCGGTAAGCACCTCGTGGGCACCCACTGGCACTGCTGGTGCCCCACCGCCGCGGGGGAACTCGGATCTGCTGACTGCTTCCCGCATTTTCTTGCAATTTAGGCACCTGTCTGCTGATTTCACAGTGTCTGCCCATGAATCCTGATTTGCAGATACATCTTCCCAACATATCACACTGCAGTGATACAGATCCTAAAGCACTGCAGCCACAGGGTATACAAAACACCTTTTCTGGGGCCCAGAAGTAGTTGGGCTTGAAGAATGAAAAGTAAACACTGTTAGAAAGTGAAGATAAGAAAACTACACCACATAAAAGGTATACAAATAAAGACAGGCGTAAGCACTGAAGTAAACAAAGATTAATTTCAATTAACCACCAGTATTGTATTAATGAGCTTGAGATATTTGCTAAGTACTTTGTGCAATCTGCAAATTCCACTGATACCAGCAATTTTTCTTTGAATGGACTCTAAATACCATTTAAAATGGAGTGTCAGCAAACCACTTCAGAAATTACATAATTCTAAAGGGTGAAAATGATCCTTTTGATTTGTGCAGAATTATTTATGCTCCTTAAATTACACACAGGTGAAGGCGTTCTGAGGACATAGGCCTAACTCATGAGTCCTTATGCTGAACTAGAGAAATGTGCAGCCAACTACAGCATATTCCTTAGCTGCCTGAAGACAACTCCGTGAAAGTTTATGAAACAATATTTCTCTGCAGTGATTTATGAGACAGGAAAACAATGTCAAGGCAAAAAACACTTTCACCAAAAAAGAATACATTGTTTAGACAATACAAGAAGAAAACCCTAAGAAAAAAAAACAAAGGCAGAACATTCCAGTAGAACTAAACTAGCACCCTGCTTTTTAAGAAAAAAAATAAACATCAGATGCTATCAGACATTTTGCATCTTTCTTCATAGAGGGTTTATCTCCCAAAGCTGCAATATTTTTAACTAATTTTTATATCAAACATTCATAATATAAAGTGCATAAAGTATGTATGCACATATATATACAGGGAGGCTTAAAATACATTAAGTGCATGTAAATGCTATGTCGTGCATTCTGTTCCAGAAAACTACTAGAAAATGTTTAAAAAGCAATCATTTTACCTTTCTCTTCATAAGAACAATCCACATATGTTCTTTAAGTGAAAATTAAACAACAGAAAAAGCCTATCCAGAACCAAATGATATTTAGTTGAGACAAACAGTGAAGAAAGCTGAAAGGAAGCCCCATTTCTGGTCACTCACTTTGCAGATGTCACAGCGGCGCCCGATGACGTTGGCTTTACACTCGCACTGGCCCGTCCGAGAGTCACAGATCTCTGAGAAGGAGCCATTCATGTGACAGTGACAGGCTGCAGAGGAAGAAGAAGGAGATTCAGTGTGTTCCCTGAAGCTAAATCTAATAGCCAAATGTTTACAGTGCAGCTTTTTCCACCCTGAGAAATGCCCAACCTGGGTTAAGCAGGAAGGCGTCACTCCCCTGCACTGACATATTAACCTGCCCATATTAATACAGAATTTTTCTCCAAATTATTGCAGTCAGAAATTTTGCCTCAAGTTCATTAACAACTTGTTTCAGATGTTTCTCTCAGATCAAAGCAGGATGTGGAGGGCAGATTACTAAGTACATGCCCAGAGACTCTGAGTGGGAAGGGCAGTGCTGAGAGAAAAACACAAAAAGGGTACAGACCCTTACACAGGGTGTGCACAGGATGTAGCTCCAACCAGTGGGAGTGTTACTGCTCCATGTGCTGGTTCTGCTGTTCTGGAGTTCACTCCCTGTTCATGTAGCTGTCAGGAAATGTTGGCAGGCTGCAAACCCAGTACGAGTTTGACACTATACAGGGGCAGTAATGCTCTCATGCCCCAAGCTGCACTGAAAAACATACCAAGGATTATCTGCTACCATGACTCTCCAGGATTTCTGTCTCAGCAATAGCATTACACTTCCCAGAGGAAATGTAAGCCAACTGACCAACCTAACTCATTGCAGTTCTGCCCTGAAGATTTAAAAAGGCAGTGAAAAAGCTGTTTCTTGAGGAAAACAGCAATGCTTCTGGCTCTTAAATTCTTATGTTTTAGGAGAAGACAAATTTTGGGGAACAGGTCTATCACCTTTTATGTTCTTCAACCACAAGAACCTTTGTGTTCTTCAATCCTTTTGGCACGCAGAGATTTGGAAAAAAACCCTTAGCACTCGCTATAGAGTACAGGGATGTAATTGTTGCCACAGGGACTATAACCATGCAGTCACTGATCAGCATGAGCTGGTTTCTACACATACTTTTTTTCCCCCCTCACAGGGGAATGAATCCACATCTCTATACCAATTATCAAACTACTCTCTAAACTTGGGCTCCAGTCCACATTTTGCCTTCCTGCAGTGCCCTATCTGCATGTGTTGCTTTTTTTTTTTTTTTCCTCAACCTGACACCTTCATTTTAAGAAACACTTAAGAGCCCCAGCAGTGAACACATGGCAGTCGCATACTTGCATGTCAGAAGGTGCTATGTGAGACAAGGCAGTTTTATTTTTTCTATATACAGATTATTACAAGAGAACCTTCCTCATTGCTTCATTGGACTTGCTAACTTACAATTTCCAATTATAAATTGAAAGGATTGGTGTGGGGGTTTTCTCCCTGCTCTTGAGGTATTCTGCAGAAGTTGCTTCTTTTAATGAAAGCAACTTTATGACTTGCCATTCTGTTCATGGCATTGTTTCTCAAATGTTTGCAAAAATTCTGGAACAAAAATAACAAAAGTAACAAAAATGTGCTGGTTCTGCTGTTCATACCAGTTATGTAACACCATCAGAGATTTCTACCTCCTTCTGTTTTGCAATATATTTTTAAAAAGTAAAAATTAAAAAGAACACTTCTGATGCAATTAACATTGCTTATCTTTTTTTCAGCTTTTGATACTAAACAAGTATATAATTTACCTCTTTTGTTCTGTATGCAGCCCTCTTTAACCTGATGTTTTAAAACTGCTGACACTCCAAACTGTACATGGTGACAAGTATCACATACATATATGTTTTGAGTATATATTTAATTAAATTGGTCAGTGGGGAAAGAAAATGCTAAAGCTCAGATTCAACAAACTACAATCCTCAATGCAAATTAGAAGTGTTTCACCAACCTTTTTATACAGACCTCAAAACCCAAGCTCAGTCTGATTTGAACTGTTTTGCTTATCAGGCATATGACAACACAAGAATCAAAAAGAAAACTTACACTGATTTTATAAACAGATTAGTTTTTCCTATTTATATTACAACAAGCAGCACACCATGGTGTCTTAACTCAGTCACAGATGACTGAGTGCAATGTAGTGGTAAGGGAGAATTTGGAATACCAGGACCTTGATTGTTTTTCTTGGCTCTGGCAGTACATACATAGAGAAGAAACATACAGTCAGGGCTATTCATCTAATAAACTGTTACTCAATCTGATAAATTGCACTTATCGCACCTAGAGCCTTCCCATTCATTCACCTCTACTGGGAAAATTAGCTCTTGTCCAAACCTCCAAATGGTTGTTATAATACAATGTAACCTGCTGGAGAAATTTGTCATACTTTCTTCCCAAAAGACACTGGTCAAGACCTTTCATTCTCTCTAGATTTCTATAAATATTTATGAGCTTGTATTTATGATCAAGCTACACACTTATTCTCCTACAATGGTAGTACCTACACACTGAACACCGGCAGACTTGATTATTTGCTTTAATTCATCTTGTGACACTGAGCTTTATTACCATCAGCTCAAGCTCTGGGTATTTGCTTCAGCATACTGCGCTGTTTCACTCCAAAAAACAATCTACTAGAATCAAACCAAATAAACTTAGGACATTTGCTCGTTGTTCTTAGATTTATGGTTTTGTATAGATACACCAAAAAATTCAGAGATACTATGATGATATAAAGTTGTACTGTCATTTGAAATGGTTAATGCACACAACAGCACTGTACTGAGAAAGAGCAAGAGACATTTCAAACAGTAATTTGAAAGCAAATTCATGCTTTGCAATACTCTTGGATTTGGCTTTTTAATAAGGAACAAAATTGAAAACAACAAAGTAAAGGCACAGTCCCTCTGATATTGTTGCTGCAGGGCAAACTTCATGGAAGTCTGCAAAGGAAATAAAAAATCATATGCAAAGAAGAAAACCCACATGAAAGGCAGAGAGTAGATGAATACAAGGTAACTGCAAGCACAAGGATATGAATACATTAGGGGGCTCTCCTTGTCGATGATATGAACAACAAAAGCAAATCTCATAATTCAACATTAAACATGCATTTCTTTGAAATATTTTTTTTAGTTGTATGTTTTCCAAACTCTCCTCTTATAAAATCTCTTTCTCATGGACCTGTCACTACTGTGGAAATCGTCAAAGCACCAGTCATATTGATGACTCAAGAATAGCGACAAGGTACTGGAAGCTGTAATTTTTGATATACATTTCTTCTTAAATCACTTTACACACTTAACATTGTAACTTATATGACATCATTCATCGTGACCTGTTAACTTATGGAGAGAATAAATAGGATTGTCCAATTTTTTTCTGGCATTGTGTAAAGTAGGTACAGAAAGCATTTACACAGGGATGTCTTCAGGGTTATCTATGACTTTGTGTCCATCGATGTTTATTGCACTTAGCTGAGAAGCATGGTGATGCTCTGCATCTTGTTAGCTCCCATACACTCTCTGAAGGTCCAACATAACCTAGGATTTTCGCTTTTAGACTGCAAGTTGTTAATAGGGGAAGTCCTGGAAATGGATGCCAGTGCCTTGGACTTCTCTGCTCACAACACATACTGCAGACATGGTCCCCAGGTTTCCTCACACAGAGCAGTAAGACAATGCCCCAGCTCTTTTACTTGCATAATTTTATCCTGCTATAACACCTTTGTACTCAGTGAGGTTACTCTTGTCTTTATTATAATGAACCAAACAGGAATAAATCCTCATGACAGTGAAATAAAATGCTCGGCTCTTTCAGGACAGTTTGCAACCTGTTTTCTTTTGGTTCTCTGAATGTGAAGGAAGAGTACATGAAGAATGTTTGAAGTTAAAAGCACTTGTTCTGCATTCTGAATTGTGCCAGCAACAGCTCAGAGAGAGCCACTGCCTCCTATAGGAAGAAAAGCTCCTGTTTCTACTAGATCTCCACTGAAAAATTTTTTGCAATCGCTATGGGGAAAGATGTTCTGGGGCTTGTAGTTGAAAAACATGCCACCACTCAGCTGAGAACTGGTAGCTTGCTGCAGTGCCAGGTGTCTTCCTCCAGAGCATTTTAGAAAAATTGTCTGGAGATTTTAGGATCTGATTGGCAGGTGGGAGAATCTTGACCTGCAAGCAGCAGCACCTCCCAACTTTTCCAACTTGTATATAAGTGGGAAACAGGTTACAAATGCTCTCAGAGCAGGACCCTGAAACTGAAACATCACTCCCTTCTTTCAATCTTACAAGAGAACAGGATTTTTCTGGGTAGCTTATAGCATTCTTTTAGTGAATAGTTTACATTTATTTGTATTTATTTTTGTAGATCTGACATTTAGTATAACCTTTGCACCCATGCAATGCTCCATTTTTTCCTTCCCATGTCTGCTTCAACCAGAGCTTTTTTAATAAGTTTTACATTCTATTTAGTTTAAAGACTCCCGTTCTAGATGCAGATGCACAGTGTCATTATTAGAGCTGTATCATTCTCTTGCTCACACATACAGAGGCACAGTCTTCCTCTCAGGAACAAAGTTATAAGATAGATCAATACTGTCAGGAGCTGTAAAAGTTCGTGACTTACGTTGACAGTTCCTTGCATGAAGAGCATCACCAAAATATCCATCAGCACACCTCTCACAATATTGGCCTGTTGTACCTGGCTTACATATCAGACAAGCACCAGACAAGCTGTCACAGCTGCCAGGAACGGAGAAGTCAAGGTTGTCATTACACTGGCATGGTTGGCATGATCCTCCTGGAATTAAAGGTTGTCCAAAATAGCCTTCTGCACACCTACGGTATAAAACATCATCAGTTAGGACCCTTAAATAATCCTCTCATTAGAAATATTTAATTCCGTTGCCTCCCTAATCACCAAAAATTATTTGATCTTCTCTCAGGTCTGTCTTAAGCATCTTTTTTCTTTCTCTCTCCTTCTCTTTTTTAACAACACTGTAGATACAGTACCAGCTGATATCCTGCCAGTTCTGCTAGCAATTAGACTTCAGTGGGAGAAAAATCTTGTCACTGGCACTGAAGGTGACACAAAGCATAGCAAGAAATCTTAGTAGCACTCTGGAGGAGGGGGGGTTGGACTAGATGACCTTGAAAGGTCCCTTTCAATCTGAACTATTCTATGACTCTATATGTTAGATATACTTTGTATTTTAGCACATTATGTATCAATGTTCTGTACTCAATCACCAGCAAGACTGATGATGTTTTTCCCTCTACCTTAAAAACTTGTTTAGTTTAGAAAAACACCTTTAGAATGTAATACAGACATATATTTGTTTACCTGACAAGATCCATCCCCTGCCTTAGACTTCCCCTGATCTACTGCATGGTGAGATTTGCTTAATTAATTCTAATCTCTGTGTATGGGCAATCTAACAAAAAGATTGCTCTATAGCACAGAAACTATGCTGTTGCATACTACAGCTTTCATATTTTAAGAGAATTGTTTGAAAATATCACATCCTTTTCTACCTTGCCCACCTGCAATTTTCTGTGAGTACCAAGTAAAGCAGGTTAGTGAATCTGACCTTAAATGAGTCTGTATTTAAGGCAAATTTCTACTACTCTCACAGCCTATTTCCTATTTATATTCTGGTCTGGTTTCCTTTTCTGTTGTATTTGCTCACACTTCATAGTAAGAGCAACTTGTAGATAGCAAAGAAAAATAAAAGAAAAATTGCACAGTTTGGCTAATAAATTTATTCACGTGCATCTCAGATGAGCTCCAATTAGTATAAGGAAAATAGAAAGTATATAAAACACATTGCACAAAATTTTTCCTACTACTTTAAAGTCAGTTTGAATACAGTTTTAAGGTACACAGATATCCTCTCTACTTTCTAGTAGTACTGCAGAGCACAGTTGAGGAAATATTTTTTGCATCATCATAATGCAGGAATGCAGAGCTCCACTATACTGTCACTCTTGTGTGCATCAAGTTCATCCTTTTCCTTGCTTCCAGAATATCTCATAATGCTTTTAATTGGATCTTAAGCAAAGCTGTCTAAACATGCAATAAATATTATTCAATATAATCAGCAAAGATAATAAAGATTATAAAAACAGGATAACAGAGCAGGGAGGAAAAAATAGCGGGAACTAATTGAGCAGCTTTTTGTAATTTTACACAAAAAAGGATTTTTTTCCATTCTCTCAAGGTATCCATTGTACAGCCCACAAACCAAAAATATGTACAAACAGTCCAGTGGTTTGGATGCATGTAAGCACTCAGCACCACAAGTAAAATTTCCACAATCTAGCCCACTCCTGTAGCACAGTCATCTCTCAAAATTACCTCTTCATAGCAACAAGACATCAAAATCTTGTCATTAGAATAATTCAGGTATTTTATTTTCAGAACCTGTCATAAAGGAAGCAATTGTATTTCCTGCAAAGGAAGAGATTATTTTTCCTTGATGGAGGATATCTCAGCAATGACACAAGACTGATTTTTAGCTTAACTTCACCAAAATAAATAATTTTTTTTCAGTGACATTGTCTCAGTTACAAAGGCTAAGAATGTATCTTAACATGTAACAATTAATAGCCACATTTTATCAAAACCAGAGAGTATCTGGATAATTTATGCAGTTACCTTAATTTACCTCAAGTGGATTACATCTGAAGTTAACTCATGCTTTGCTAGCATACTGCTGGTGTGCTTACCATAAATCTGTATCTCTTGGTCCTACTAATCTATTTGACTTCACTTAATGTGTGTTTGTTTTCTTCTTTTACTCTCATTTAGGGGTTATTTCTGTATATGACAGCATTCACAGAAACCAAGCAGTTCACAGAAAGAATACTCCAATGATTTATGTGAAATACACGGCTAATAATTTCCTCCTATTAACAGCAGGAGACCTCAATAACTCTTTGTATTCTCATCAGTTTACACGTTAATAATTAAAATTAGAAAAACCCACTACCATCACACAGCCATATTTTACTTATGCACATACATAATCTCAAATACAACTGAAGATGATCCTGAAAGTAGGGGTAGACCAGTTAAAGCTGAAAAGAGAACTGTGTACATGTATCTATGTAAATTCTTCCTCTTTTTCTACCACTTCTCCTGAACTTGCAGGGGAAGATGAAAAAAAAAAATCCACTTTGCTTAGTTCCATCTTTATTTCCTTAAGGACATTCCTACTTCAGCTTCTTTTCTCAGCTTCAAAGCATTATATATTTGCGAAGGTTTAGATTAAAAAACACCAATAAGTATGTGGCATGGAAAATTGCTTTTATTTTTTTACATGTGTTTTGTGTAATGCATGACTTCTAATTACAACATAACACCTCCGAGATTACAAAATAAACAAAAACAGGAGGAAAAGCAGCAAAAAAAATAGTGTTCATATATTCCTTTTCTATTCTCAAATGCTGGTGCGTCTGTGAGTGACACTGCTTTTATTTAGCATAAATGGTGCCAAAGACAGGGCTACTACTAAAAAATATGTGTATGAATGTGTACTAGTCCTGGTCAGTATGGAGTTAATATTCCTCATAGGAGTCTGTATGGTGCTGTGTATATACACATATATACACAGAAATGCAGGCCTATTTTATACATTTCTTTATATTTACTGGGGAAAAAAAACCCATTGAGACAGAGTTAATTAAGCCTGAAAATCCAAACACTTTAAAGCCTGGAAATACTATTTTTACAAAGCCTTTGAAATTTATGTGCATTCAACCTGTGCACAAAATCAGGCAAAAGCCCTGTGGAGAAATGGCTTGTGAGCACGCAGTGAGATATCTTAACTCAGGTGTACAGCACAGATGTTATTGTTGTGTGACCAACTATAAATCTTGCATTTTCTAATGTCAGAATGCCTACCTTTGCAAGCTACAAACAATCCTGCGTAACGCGTTTGTTGTACCAAATCTCCTGAAATGTTTGACCCTTTTCCCATCAGTACTGCAACACGGACTCGCTGTTCCAGCACAAGTGGAAGAATTATATTTGCTACAGTGAGCAGCAGTTTGAAGCCACAGCTCTCATGAGAGGCTGTGGCTGGTGGCACTCTGTGCTAGACCTCAAGAATGGGGGAGGTGGGGGCAATGAAGGACATGGGTCACCTCACCCTTCTCCTCACACATGAGGGACCCTCTAGGGAGGGTCATGCTCATGTATCCATGCACATAAATCATGGAGTCCTACAGGAAAAGACAGACTCTCACCTATTTTGCTTCTTTCCCCTAGCAAGACTGTATTTGGAAAATGGATATCATCATCCAATAAATGTGCTGGGCTAAAAAGACAACCTTCTGCCATTTTCATACATCCTTTCTATGAAGTTCAGAGAATGTCCAGCCTACTTCATATGCCTTTGGAAAAGTGAGCAGTGAGCAAAGGAAAGAAAACTTATGTCTAATTTTTTAGGGAAAAACATTACATGGGAAAGCTCAGCTCTCTCTACAATTACAGATATATGATAACTCCCAACACAGTTTATATCTGCAATTATTCTGATGGTGTTATGATCTGGACCCCTCAGAATATTGAACAATTATGACACCATTTTCCTGAGAGTTCCAGTAAGAGAAGTAGCAATTTTTTCTTGACATTTTACAAATCAGACAGATATACGTATCGCCCTATGGGACAGAGGATATATTTTTAGGCCAAGTAAGTACAGTGCCGCACACTCTCACCTCATGATACTTATTATGTCATGGTAATTTAGGATTGTTCAGCTAATGAATCACATGGCTCAGATCACTTGTCACTTTGTAGTTGTTAAAATGGAAGAGAATTTCATGCAAACACTCTCAGCAATTATACAACCACAGCTAATAGGAAAATGCAACATGCTTTCTCCTGATCATTATTATTGACGGCTGCAGACATTTTAAAACAACTTGTTACAATTAAAAGCAAATAGTTCTGTGAGCTTTGGAATTAATGGCCTAATTTCCAGTGGATTTATATCTCACGTTACAAGGCTGAGGGCTGATTATTTGCTACAGGATGTTGCTACTCAGCAGGGAGTAATCCCTCGGGCTACAGCAGCACTTTTTCCTTGTCCTGTGAAAGTTTTCTTATGGGCAGAACATTTAGCAATCCCTCTTGTTCGCTCTCTATCTGTTTAATCAGGTGTGAGTTCGCACAGTATTCTTCCCCTTAGCTATGACATGTCCTGATTTATTAACCTCTATTCAACCACTTCTTTTCGTAAAGCCTTCGGGAACAATTATCATCTTTGAACCCTCCTACCTTCTGCCAAATTTAGTTGAAATTGACCTACAAGTGCAGATGACTTCGCAAGCAGCCAGAAAGACATGCACAAAAAGATCACAGTAGCCTTATTTCCTTATGAGTTCAGGCTAAAATCCAATTTAGCCATTTATTCAGACTCTGTCCTACTACATCTACAGCCTGTGCTCCTCTCAGGAACAGCACTTGTTGCTAATGGAAGCTGTCAATGACCCTGCATTGACAAACTGCCACCAAAGTGCTCTTGATGTGATTTATTCCTGCCGTCATTAACTTCACAGCCCACTAGCTGAAAGAAGGTGATGACTTCCCAGACAGACAGGAAAAGACAGGCAGAAATAGCAGCAGCAGGAGCAGACTTGGTGATGATGGGTGGAAACAGGTGACAGCCTGCACTCTCACTTCAGGACAGATATAGTACAACAGGGGATTTAAAAGGAAGTAGTTGTAAATTGGAAAGAGGGGACTATAGGGAGATTCACAGCGTATGGTCAGGTTTCTGCTTTTCTGGTTGTCTCTTACTCTTGCTTTATTCCTACTTCTTCTCATCCCAGCCTGAATATTTTAAGGCTTCATTCAGAAGCCTTACCTTTTTTTAGGGTTTGCCTTGAAAAATCCTTCAAGCAGCTCATGCAAGTGCCAAATGGCAAGAGCCTACTAAGAAATGCAAGGGCCACGTTTCCATGCCCCTTAGCTGTCTAGCTAGGTGTTCCACAGTTCTCTGGCTCCCCAAGCCCCTCTTAAAAAGGCGTCACTGGCAGGGTCACAGGGGACTGAGATCATGCAGACAAAGCCAACACTGATTCATCATGACCTCCAAACATCTAGCAGAGGTCTCTGGCACACTAACTGCTCTTGAAATCTGTTCCATCCATGTGAAATCCCAAGGGACCAAAGGCATGTAGACACAGTGGTGATATCCCTTGCCTATGTGGTCTCACCTCCTGTGGAAGGGGGTTCCTGGGAGCTTAGCAGTGGAACTCACACCAGCTCCTTGTTTCATTTAAATTCTCCAAATGATCCTTTCAGCATAATGCCTTTGTAAAGCTAGCAATAGGTGTAGAAAATACATATTGAACTTCTCTATTTGACCAAGAAGAATTATCTTTTTTTGTCATTAAAGCCTACTTTGTTCTACCTGCTAAATAAAGACCACAACAGAAAATGAGAAGCAACAAAAATGTAAAATATTCCTTAAAAAAATAATTAAAATCTACAAGTAACTTATTAGAAGAACTGTATTTTCATGGTATATTAACTTCTCTAAGTGAAGCATAAGAATTTACTGCATATTTGAATCACCACGTCCTAAACATTCAAATGACAAAAGAGACAAAAGGTTTATAAAAATCTCAGAAGAGTGACAGAAAGGCTAGAAGCAACTTTTTTAACAAAGACTCTTAGTTATCAGCAAATGCTTCTTTGAAACCTTACATTTTACCATAAAACGCTGAAACAAGCATAAGAAAAACATACATTCAGTGATCCAATATCAGGAAAATGCACAGGAATTTTTTCAGTGTGTTTCAGAACAGGAACAGGGATGAGAAGGGGAGGTAATAAAAGGTAGAACAGTTCCATGTGATCAATACTTTTGTTTCAGGTCTCATATGACTAAAAGCATGGTGCCTGCTTACCTTTCACAGCGTGGTCCCACGTAGCCAGCTGGGCATTCATCACACATTAATCCACGATGTCGGTCAAAATGACATGTTGGGCTAAAGCTGTGTTGTTGATTTTGAGAAAGAAGAGGGACAAGGAAGAAATATAAAGAAAACACAGTTAGCAGCATAGCTCTCTTCCCACTTCAAAGATTGTTAATTTGCAAAACAGTGCCCAGGAAAAGTGATTCTGCTCTAGGACATGGGGCTTAAGTTCGACTCCAGCAAATTGAATTTGGAATGACTCTGCTATTTCTGTGACACTGAATATAGAGCAGCGGATGGCAGCATCCCAATAGCCTGTTATTACAGGACTTGAGTCTGCCAGTGAGTGGTCTGGATACCATTAAAAAGGCAGGAATGTACAGCTGCTTGTTTGTGCCCCCGAGGGCCTGGCAAAACAATCTGTGCCATAACGTGGCCCCTATATAAATCTTTCTGAAGGACAACCGATTAAAAGCTCAGTTAACTTTGTGTATAGTCAGATGTGAAAGGAACCCAGTGAACAAGAAAGGGGAGGGGCAAAATGGGAAATATCTGGTACAGCCTCCCAGAGAGTGTATTTGAGTTAATCGAGTGCCAATGACCTCAAGCAACAGGCTACACAGGCATGTTGAAGTTTAAGAATAGTTTGCAGACTAGAAAGCTTTACCTCTTTGTTATGCTCTAATTATTTTTGGCGTGTTTGTTTTTTTCCCCCTCTTCTTTTTTTTTTATAAATAAGGATACTGTAGCCATTTGTAATCATTGCATCTCAATGCCTGTGTTTAACACTGAACAGTGTTCCTTCACTGTCAGCATCTTGCTTTCCATAATCTTTCTCCCTTAACCCACTTTTCTGAAGAAACCTCCTGACACACTGAAAGATACTACACAGAAGAGGCAATCTGTTCTTCCGTAACGATTATTAGAGACACAGACATATGAGCATCTTTATAAAGCCTCGTCTAAATAATGGCAATCAATTCCGGTCAACTAAGTAGAAAAATAGAAAATGGAAAAAAAAAGAAATAAAAGACCAGGTATAGGTGCATAGCAGGATCACTATTCAAAATGGGGAAAAAAAATGTACCTATGTGAAAAAAAGATACTAAATTACCTTTTATAACCTAGGAAAAGAGAATTTGAGAAGCAATAGAATTGCTCCAACAGAGACAGCAGAAGGAAGGTATATTCAAGGTAACAGTGCATGCCACAATAATAACAAATAGACATAATCTGACCTTGGATATATTAAAGGATATACCATGACAGTTTCTGGAAAGTAATAGACCCAGGGAGGACAGAAAACCTTAATTAGCACCATTTAATGTGATTGGCTGCTGGTGACTGGACCCCGCTTCTCAGGAGTCATCCATCCTGTGAGCTGTCCTCAGTTATTCTGTGTTATCCCACAAATATAAGAGACCAGTAAGAAAAATGTGGGATGGGTCAGGTCCAATAAATAAAGACAGGTGCTGGGATTTTTCTCTTTCCAATAAGGATTATGCTTGTGAGACTTTGCAATGTCATTTACTCAATAGATTCACAAATGGATGAAGAGTCAGTTGAAGAAACAATAATTGTTCATTCTATTCTTTAATAGCAATGAAAGCACACACTATCACTGGATATAATCAGCAGCACCTGACTACTTCAAATAAGTTCTGCTTGTCAGTCCCAACTTCACTCTAAGAGCTTCATGGGAAACTTTGTAGAGATGCTATCACAGTTCATTACAGCATTGTACAAAGTTGACTGCACCCAAGTTCCACAAAGAGTTCTGAATTTAACTGCATAAATTTTAAATATAATAATGATAATAATTGTAAGGATAATGACGATAATAATGATAATGTACTTATTATTACTAAGCAATAATGATGAACAGTAGAATTTCTATGTTTTAAGGGTTATGCTCAGACCTTGCCTCCTTGATTCTTTCTGTGACTTAATAGTTGGACCTCATTTCAACAATAAACATTAGTATATTGAGAAATTCCCATCTGCGTGCTGTAAAGGAAATATATGATAGCAGGCTGTGAAGAGTTTATCTTCCTGATTATTGAGAATCTCATTACTCAATAGTGCTAAACACTAATGAACTGTGAGTATTGATTTGTCAAAACAAGCTTCAAAAATTGTAGTCCCCCTCTTGATTCATCATTGCTCTTTATGGTTTTCCCATATGGCAACAACACTAATACGAGTCAGGACACAGGACAAATATGAGTATACAGTATGGGTATGTATGTGATAAGTCTGTGCTGGGAGACAGGGCATCTTAAAAGCTTCCTAGTGTGTTATAGAAAACACCCCCTGACAATATGTTTGTGATTTTATCTAATTCTCCAAGAAAAAAATTAAAATTCTGAGACCAACCCGAATTCTCAGTTCACACGCTATGAATTTACTCCTGACCTTTCCAGGCTGAGTGAGAGATCTTCTATCTCCCATTTCCAGAGATAAAGCATTCCTGTCAAAGTCTTTGCTACACAAATTTATACCTACATCAAGGGAAGAGCAGTAATTACCCCAAACATCTATATTTGTTAGAAATTATGGGGAAAAAATAATTTCCTTTGCTTGAGGACTAAGAATGTTAAAATGTTTTCTAAGAGTGGTATGTTTACAAACAGAAAGAGGATGAAGGAGTTGTGTTCATTGCATAGACCATTTATAACATGGGTATTGATTTCATCTACATCACATAAGCACATACATGAAGATATATGCAAAAAGAAGAAAATAGAACCCAGGATATAGAAAACAAGCTTAGACAACTTAATTTTAGTTTCCTGGTTTGGCCAAGTGCTCTTTTCTGACATATGGCAAGTCATTTATGACTGCTGTGCTTCAGAAGGCACATGATTGGCTTCAGTGACTGCATGTGGAAACTCCTGTCATTAGGACACAGGAAAAGGATTTAGCAGCAGCTAAATCCACTGAAGTCAATGCAGCACAACACAATCACCACAATTTCTACAACTGTTAGAACAGTTCTCCACTTAATGTGGCATTACAAAGGTGCTGTGAGAACAGTGAAGGGAACCATGATAAACATAATAAATGAGACTCTGCTATAAAATATAAAACTTATTTCTTAATAGAAATGTATCTCACAGGCTCATTACATGTACAATATTCTCTATGCAGTGGGAACTTAGTATTAAGCTTAGAAACCTACACATGTCCTGTCATATCATGTTAGGAATTAAATATTTCAGTATTTAAAATCTATACACAGCTATTTATAATAATTTGAACATACAATTAGTCACTTCTTCAGTTACTCAGAAAGAACGTGACATATCCTACATCTGCACAGTGACATGAACTTGGTAAAATTTTGTTTTTCACACTAAGGTATCTGACTTTTTTGAAAATATTATCCCTAGCATAACAAAATCATTGGCAACTAAGTAGGAAAGCAAAGAAGTATTTTAATAGCATTCAGATAACACATTAAATCTTTAAAACCTCTTTTTTCCTCAAACAAATTAATTAATTTAATAAATCTAGACTGTAACATCATGAGAGCTTGAACCTTACAGTGAGTTCTACAAAGCCAAACTTTGTAGACTTCAGAACTCAAACACTTTCACAGTTCAAAGAACATTTATATTGTGTTTTTGTTCTGTACCTATTATATTTTTCAAGAAAACTAAATATTGGAAAGGAGACTTAACTCACAAAAGGAAAGTAAAGCACCCAGAAGTATGATGACTATGTAATGGAGGTCTCCAGGCATTTTGCCAATCATAACCTAAATTCAATCTATTTGACTTGGTTTGCTGCACATCTGTGCAAGACAGAAATGTGATAGTGTTTTTCCTTCTTTGTCAGCACAGTGTTCTCAAACAAGAGACAGATAATTGACTACTGAGGCAAGGAAATACCAAGTAATGAGAATGTCAGAGGAACCATGCCCAAGCAGCAGATATAATAAACCCATATATATGTATCTAATAAAACCTACTCAAGAGCTGTGTTAACAGGAAGGCAGGCTCCCATTCTACAATCCCCTGGAATTTCCGTTCATAAGCGTTTAGACTATTCCTGCTCTGATCAGTGCAATTTTATGATGCAATGCCCCAGACAAGAGTCAGAACAGTTTTATTCAGGTACATCACGCAAAAGGCTTTTGGTACTATTATTTTCCAGGTACTGTCTGTGACAAAACCAATGAAATATCTTCAAGCCACTTTGTCTACCTATTAAGTTACATGATGGAGTAGCATAGACAAGCTTTTGTAATGAAGGAAACTTTGGTTCTTAGGTCAGAATTTGGAATAACTTTTCACTTGTATTTTTGTTTAATTAAACAAGCTTACAGTATTTTTTCTGAGATATGCTGACAAAATACTTTCACTTATGAGATCTAAGGATGAATTCAAATTCCAAACAAATCACACAATGTAGACTAAGAGAAAAGGAAAAGTAAAAGCAGAAAAAACTCACACGTCAAATCTGCAAATTCAGCTTTAAAACTAGAAACAACTACTCTTAAGGAGGACAGAAAAACAAATGCTAGTTATTAATTTGAAATGCAATCATCCAAATTCTGTGTTGTTCTTTCTGCCTTAGTATCATCCAGCTTTTGTCTTCATCTGCCTAGTTAAGCACTCTGTACAATCATAAAAATAAAAATTTATCTTACAGAATATATTATTTGATTGAAAGAAAAAATATCTCAAGCATACATGTAAAAATATAAATTAAGAAATAATGCAATTTACTAAGGGGAAAAGTGCAATATGCAATAAATGCACAACTTACTTGTTAGAAGGTATATTTAGGGGGCAAGCACACAACTGACAATCTTCAGCTGTCCCTTTAGTTGCATCACCATAGAAGCCAGGCAGGCATCTATCACAATATGAACCACCTGTGTTGTGTTTGCAGTCCTAAAGAGAAGATGTAAGTACAAATTGAAAATTAGACAACTTGCATATGGAAAAAGGTCTGCAACACTTACTCCTATTTTCTTCTGCTTGTTGAGAAATAGTTCTACAGGTCAGCTGTCAAAAGCAGAGCTTCATATGTTCTTGTGGATAACTTTTTTCCATGTAAAACAAAAAGAATATGTGACAGAAAATTTTAAATTTACACCAAACAACAGCCATATTATTGTTTTAGTTTGCTAAAACCAACTTTCAAAGCAGCATAAGACAGGTTTAGTATTGCAGTCTTGCAACAGGCCATATTTTGTGACAAACTGTCTTCAGATGTTGATTCCAAAAATACAGCCTAGATGACATAATTTATAAAAATGAATTATTACTTTTGACATGCATGTACATTAGTTAATTTTACAAGGTATATGGCTAGCAGTATTTGCAAACTGTAGCAAAGCCTGAATTACTTAATTCTTATTTGCTTGAATAGAATCCAGCCTCTATTTCATGAGTAGAAGGAAGGACAAGTATATCATGTATAGGGTGCTATCCAACACTTTGTGTTCATCTATGTGACTGCATAATAGGAGAGAAATTAAGCCGAGCATAAGAAACATGCAGTATAAAATGGCAGTACTACATTTGCATTTTTGTATATAGCTTTTGGCTGATCTCAAATTAAACAATCTTTTAGTAGAATGGAAATCAGTCCTGTGAGAAAAAGCTTCTCATGATGACTTGTAAGAACCAAGTTTTAAAGAGTAATTACCCTTTTTATTCTTTTTCCCTCTCATCATATAGATTTAGAAACTCTATGTAATTTCACAGAATCTATAACAGAATCAGAAAAATTACTTTTCTGGCTTAATCTGTTTCCTTTCTTCACCCCACATTACTAGCACACCACAATATTCCTTTCACTGCTATTTCACACAAGATACCCAAGTGTAGCCCTTTCACAATGCAGAAACAGAGAAAACAGAATAGTTTGGGACATTAAATGCCATATTGATGTGTTTGGTATGAACTGAGAAAAGGATTAAAAGAGCATATGTCAACTTCAAAAGGCCAAAATGAAAGCCATGAGAGATTTTTGTTAATAGAGCATGTTCTGCTGTGTTTAAAACTATGGGCCAGATCAAATCTAGAATGTTTCCTCCAAGCTGCAGCTTAAGAACTATGAAGGTTTGTTTTCATTTAGGTTTTTGTTTATTTGTGGGGGGTTTTTGTTTGTTTTGATTTTTTTTTTCTTTAAGTGTGGGCACTTTCAAATTTAAGGTTTAATTTAAAATTGTATTTTAGAACACTTTAAAATTGTTTTATCATTGTAGTAAGTCATGCATATGGTACTGATTGCTATTTAACAGCCTTACTGTCTGGAAGACATAATTTATCCTCAATAAGGAAACAGACAATATTCTAAGGAACACTGATTCCTTCCTCACAGCTTTCCAGGATTGCAATGATTTGTACAAAGCTTTTTTGTATTGCACTCTGCACCTGGGCAGCTGAAAAAGCACAATATCCTTTTTAGTCACGTGGGCATTGGCATCAAAAGCATTTGCCTTCAGAAACACTGTTTGCTGTTTTAAAGGGTGCTTTCTTATTGCTAGTGCAATACAATCAGCATATATTTGAAATGAAAGCCTCAATCACAATACCGTATTTTAACATAATTTGGAGATTGTGAGCTAATACTAAATTATTGAAACACTTAATCAATTAAAATTATGGCTTTAGAACAGCCAGCTGGGTTAAAATCAACTTCCCTAAGTTAACTAATCCATTTGATTGGTATTTCAAGCATTGACATTCAAAAAGAATCTACCAGTCATACCAAAAAAGTAGCCAGGAACAATATGCTTTTTTAAAGAAGATGTGACAAAAATAATTTAAGTGTTTCAAAAGAAAAATCCTCTGCAATTCAACTTTTTAAAGACATCATGTCAAATTATTTGTACTTTTTCTGAAAAATAATGGATTCTTCTTTTGTGATAAGTTTAGCTTTATATATCCTCAGACATATCTTAATGTTCTTGAAGAATATGAACAGTTTATATGTCAAGGATGTTATTAAAGTGAGAGAAGCTAATACACTACTTTAAAGCTTCACATCTCTTACTGAGTGGTACTTGCAGGTTCTGCTTTTTTAAAGTAAAACACCTGAAACCTTCCATTTTGTAGGAAAACATTTCTTGTTACAAAGACATGACCACCTTCACTTTGATGAAGTACTTTCTGGCACGTGAACATCAGTCATTTCTACATACTGTGTCTAATCCTACTCAATTCAGACCCCTGTGTCTAATTCCTCACAATCACAGGACGATAGAATATCCACAACTGGTAGGACCATTGCGTCTAACTCCTGTCCCTGTGCAGGACTCCCCAGGAGTCACACCATGTGCCCGAGAGCATTGTCCAAACACCTCCTGAGCTCTGTCAAGGCTGCTGTAACCACTGCTCTGGGGAGCCTGTTCCAGTGCCCAACCATCCTCTGGGTTAAGAACCTTTTCCTAATATCCAAACAAAGCCTCTCCTGAAACAACTCCAAGCCTTTCATTCAAGTCCTGTCACTGGTCACCACAGAGAAGAGATCAGTGCCTGCCCCTCTTACCCTGATGAGGAAGTTGTACTGGCAATGAGGTCTGCCCTCAGTCCCCTCCAGGCTGAACAGATCAAGTGACTTCAGCCACTCATCATACAGCTTCACCTCGAGGCCCTTAACTATCCTCATAGCCCTCCTTTGGACATTCTCTAACAGCTTAATGTCTTTTTTATGGTAGCACCCCAAACTGCACACAGTATCCAAGGTGAGGCTGCCCCCGTGCAGAGCAGGACAATCTCTTGCCCGTCTGATATTGTCTTGCCATCTTGTTGTAAAGGCTTCATACCCTCTTGGTGATTCTCATGGGCAGCTCCTCACAGCACTGACTCCAACTCCTCCTCTGCACAGCCAACAAACTCCATCTTACATCTCAACCAGCCAACCTACTCTTTTACAATACCCTCCTAATTGGATCCAGCTGTGGCCTGTTAAGGGCAGGCTTGTTCTTAATTCTTGATAACTAGCACAGCTGTAACCCCTTGGGGTGAGATTACCTTCACCACTATCTCTATTCTCCTACATTCTATCTATCCACAATATTGCACTATTCACTACAACTCCCTGCATCCAACCCATGAGCCAGCTGCTCACCCATTGCATGATGTTTATCCAGCTGTGTGCTGAACATTTTTTCCAGAAGGATCCTGTGAGAGACAGTGTGAAAAGCTTTACTGAAATCCAGAATGATTACATCAACTGGCTGCCCTTGATCACCTAAGTGGGTTACCTTGTCATAAAAGAAAATTAAATTTGATAAGCCGGATTTGCCCCTCAGGAAGCCATTCTGGCTGTGATTGATGACTGCACCATCCTCTACATGTTTTTCAGTACCTCCCAAAAAAATTTTCTCCGTAATTTTACCATACACTGAAATGAGATTGACAGGCCTACAGTTTCCGTGCTATCCTTCTCAACCTTTTTGAAAATTCAAATGTTAGCCAGCTTCCTCTTAACTAGGGTCCTTCCATATTTCCAAGGCTGTTCAAAAATGTTTGAGAGAGGCCTCAGTATGACATCAGCCAGCTCTTGGAGTATTCTTGGATGAATCCCATCAGACCCCATAGACTTATATCCATATCCAGTATATATCCAGACTCCATATCCAGTAGATGCCACACTAGTTCAGGGTACTCCCCAGGAGAGTTTATCATGCTCACAGCCAGGGTCCTTCAGCTCAAGGCACTGGGACCCCTTCAGTCCATCATCACGGAGAGTTTATCATGCTCATAGCCAGGGTCCTTCAGCTCAAGGCACTGGGACCCCTTCAGTCCATCATCAATGTTGGAGACAAAGGCAAAGAAAGAATTAAACATCTCTTGCCTATATCCCTGTTTGTGAGGGGACCATCTGCATCCTCTAGTGGACCGATGTTATTTCTGCACTACCTCTTACTATTAACTTATTTAAAATACTCTTATTATTGCTCTCCATATTCCCGTCCAGCTTCAACTCCAGTTGAGCTTTGACCACATCACTTTTTCTCCTAAAGCAGCAAGTAGCACTTCTGTATTCCTCCCACATCACCTGATCTTGCTTCCACTCTGTGCACCTTCCTTTTTTGCCTTATCTCCAAAAGAAGGTCCCTGCTCAGCTAAGCTGGCCTTGTGCCTGTTTGACTTTTGACATTTTGTAATTGCCTGCTCCAGTACCCTTAGGAGGCAGTGCTTAAAAAGTGACTAGCACTGATGGTCCTCAGCATGCTCAAAAGCAATGAATCAATATTTAAATCTAAAAACAAACCAAAAACCAGAACCCCACATATATAGGACCAAAATCTGAGCATCCCATACTGTGTCTGTTAGTTTATCTGAGAAATAATGATCTTGTGTATCCTACACTTTCTCCCAGTTTGGACCTTACAGGACAAAGATTATGTAGATGTGACCTGATCTGCCTGTTCTCTTCAGTGATGCATTAAACTTCTTACTAATCTGCCACATTTACAGATCAGTACTATAAGTACTGAAGTAGACAAGTCCTTCTAAAAATATTATCAACACTCATGAAAGATTTGTGCTTTCTTGATATCAATTGGCTGAATCTCAGTTTCAAACTTGCCAAATGTACAGCAATGGTTTGGAACATCATCTGGTTTGAGCAATGTCTAATTATACTGAGATTATTTCTATAAAGCATGATAAAACTGATGCATCTGATGTCTTAATTTCATGTTCATAGGAAAACTGTACAGGTTTTTTTCGTGTCATGAGACTGGGTATAAAGCAGATTGTGATCAAATTTTCTAACCTGCCCAGTACAATATATGTACTTTCTTTTTATTCCCACGTAAATAGAGGTTGTTCCAACACACTGATCTAGTGGCTTGGTAAAATCCATAGGGTTTTTTCACAGATCCATAGATTTTGTGGCCAGGAACAATTTTATGTCCAAATATCTATGCTTTCAATTCCAAAATAATTTCAATACAATGATTTCAATTGTGTCTCACACTATTTTAAACGCATTGATTTTCTGTACCTCTTTTACCTCTGAACATCTTTAAACTTCAGCTAGACAATCTCTGTGCAATTAAAACTGTGGGATTTATTTTTGTCCAAAAGTTTATATATGACTCAGACCTTGTTCCCTACGAATTTCCTTGCTGATTTCTCCCCCAGCTCTCCCTTTTTGGAAGAAACCAAATGAACTTTATGCCCAATATCAGGGAACCCTAAATTCACACTGAAAACCACTCCGGCATATGCAGCTTAGTGTATATGAACACGGAAAGAAACATTTAGAATAGAATGCTAGTGATGAAAATAAAACCTTATACAGGGATTATGACAGAGTCCAACATAGCACATTTGGCATGCTGCTGCCCTTCCTCAGGATACCTGTCACAGAGACAACCAGGGAAGCTGTTAAAGCCAGCTAAAGAAAGTAAGTCTGGGTGCCTATTTTAGTATATTCCCAAGCTGTCTAGACCAGACAATGGTATTCTACCTTTAGAAGCATGAATAAGCTCATCTAGCATTTTCAAACTACCATAATGTCAAGATGAACAGACAATTCCCTTTCCCGGTCTAACAATACAAATGCAATCAGGATGCTGCAGAGGCTTTACCTATCTTCACTTGAGCGAGAGCCTGTACTGCATTTAGCTAGGACATATAATTTTGTTATGGTGGATATGAAGATGGGTGAAGACATTTTGTTGCTCTGGTGAAGAACACTGTCTAAAGCACAGCACTGACACCGGCCTCATTCTACATGGTATATGCTGTTTATACACAGAGGTATACAATATGAAAAGGATGCCACTGGGGACTGCCCACTTAGGGCAATTTGACCATATCTTTGGGGAGAAAGATCTACTTTCTCTGGGCTTACTAACAGGAACATAGTACCCGGCAATGAACAAAACACCTTGAAATGTTCTTGCTTTTCGCAAGGTTTAGGTTTAACCAACCTACTAAAGCTACTGTAAACGTGTGTGTGTAATAGTACAAAAGAATATTTCTGAATGTTCCAAATTGCCCTATGTACCAAAGCAGTTATGTATATTACAATGGTAACGAGAACGAGGTATTGTGCAGCTCTCTATGGCTGCTCTGGGGATCAAAGGGCTTTGCAGGTAACTGTAAGATATACGTTAAAATGAGCTTTTTATATAGGCCTGTGTCGAAGCAGATGATTTGGGCTTTTATCATGAGTCAAAAACACATTTCAGCTTCTTTTCAACTACATTTCAAAGCTAAGGAAGAGCTAAAAGAAGTATCATATCAGTAAATTAGATGCCTAAATTGTCTGTTGTATTACTGAGAAAACACCATGAATAATAATAAGGAGGGCAAAAGGCTGTGTAAACCTCAATAGAAAGAATGCCTTTGATGAGAAACATTTCTCTTTTTCAGCACTCAGACTTCTCTCTCTCTCACTTCAAAAGGCTTATGATCAAATTGAATAGCAGCATTTAATAGCCTGCATGGATACTAACCGATCTGACTTACAGTGCTTTCAAAGTTGTAAGAAAATCCAGAACTGATTTTAAGCTCCCTGTGCACCTCTTCTCTATAGCCTGATCTAGTATAAGCTACAGAACACATAAAATGCAGAGAGCTTGATAACGTGTATAGATGAAAGTGCGTCTTCAGCTGGTTATTTTCCACTTCCTTGTCAGTGCTGTGTTCTCTTACACCAGCACACTTGAAACATCAGAAGGGGGAGCTCCGCTGCCTGAGTCAACAGCTCACAACAGCCAAAAAGCACAAAAAGCAATATGCAGCCTACGTGGCCTTCTCTTTTATCCAGGCTGGTGCTACAGACAAACATAAAGAGGGAAGCTGTGCAGGGGCTAAAACATGAAGACACAGAAGCCAACAACCTCAGAACTTACATCTGGCTATGGACCCCTAAGCAAAAGAGTCAACAGTTTTGGCATACCTTAAACAAGATTCCTCCTTTCTTTTCTCTCCTGTTAATTGATTTTATCCCACACAGATATTATAAACATTGTAGCTGGAGAATATGGTCATTAACACAAAAAAAAAATTTGTCAGGAAACACAAATCCATATTACCCTAGTGATAAACATTTTCACTGAGTATTAAGAGAAAGATTCAAAACATGACTGTCACGCCAAACATGTTTTTCATTCTAGGTACTTCTTTTGAGACTTACAGTATAATTAAATTGAGAATAATTTTAAGCTTCTATTCATGAAAAAGCAATTTGAAAAATCCACTGATCCACACATTAAGGATATCTTGTTTTGCACTGCAATGCAATTAAACATCTTCTATGAGAAAAACAGGAAGAACAGTAATAATTCTAAGTGCCAAATTATATTGGAAAAAGCTTGAATTTTCATTTTGGCATTTTCCCAGCAGGTTTTTCTTAAGGAAATAAAAGGGAACATTTAGAAACATGCACATTTCAGAGTCTGCTTGAAATTCTGCAGGGAAATGAGAGTATATCCCACTAAACTGGCACTGGCTTAAATTGTGCTTCTGCAAGACTAATGAAATTAGACATGTTGTTTCAAGCTTTATGCCATGTCAGACAATATAAAACTAAAAATGCCCTTGAGTCAATCAGAAAAGTATATTCAGCATAATTCACCCATTCCAACAGGCTACTGAACAGGCGGGAAACAGTGGTGTGCTGGTAGGCTTACTACGGAAAATATCACAGATTTAATTGCTGAATTAGTAGGTAAAATCTCCATAGTCTACAAGAAAAAAAAAATAAATCTGATTTAACTGAGATCATATTGTTTTATTATTTTTCTGAAGTACAATTCATTAAGTATTCCTTCAAGGTTTGCTATGAATTTAGAAGAAGGAAGGCATTAACAACATCTTCTCATTAAACTAGAACAGAATTTACAAAGTTACCTTTATAATTATAAAGGTATGTTATTCATTATAAAGTGAATGTACTGCAGGGGAAGATAAATCTTGCACAAAAAAGCACTCATACATTTGCTGCTTTCTGCATGCCATACCTAAAATTATTGTATTTTAAAACATAGATCCTATGTGAGAAATAAAATCTTTTATTTTCTTAACTGTTCAAGACACTGTATCTTGGTGTGAGGGGATCCTTAACCTCAACATAAAGATCTCTTCATTACTCACTGTTTTTTTTCTTCTTGATTATTCCAGGTCTCAGAGGTGACTAATTCAGTTGCACAGGGTATATTGGGTTGATGGTGGCCATGTCCATTGTTTCCTGTAGGGACACTTACCAGGCACGCTCCTGTCATGTCATCACACACATCTGCATGACCGAAGCACGTACAGGGTGCACAGACTCCACCAAAGATTGTGCCATTCACACGCCTGTGTCGAGGCCAGCATGACTGCAAGAAAAGTTAGATAAAAAGTTAAACTCTTCTTTGAACAGAGGAAGGAACGGGATTTTAATTTTTTTTGTTGGATTTGATGGTTGCACACACAACAAACATGCTTGCCAAATGAATAAAAATACCAATATTTCTCTAGAAAATTCTTCTTTCTGGTGCTGTAGCTTTGCACTGACCTTAGCCTTAGCGGCAGGTGCAAGATTAGAGGAAGCTTTAACTTGATCATTCTTCTGAAATGGTAAAATAAAGCAGAGAAATGAAGAACTGAAATATGACAGCATGAAAGCAAGAGGTACAGACTGAAAAACAGCCAGAAGGTGAAATATTGAAGGAGAGAGAATAAGGAAAAAACCTCAAAACAAGAAGAATGTTCTCTGAGAAGTTCAGGCGCAAAGGACAATTGAAATACCATTTAGTCTTGTTAGGACTCCAGCAAAATGCTACACTGAAATAAAGCACAGGCTGAAAACTAGGCTGTCCTTTTATTTACAATTTGTGCTCCTTAAAGGATAGTAATTTCCCTTCAAGAAACTGCTCTGATATTTTAATTTTCTTTTTTAAATGCAAAATTCAAATCAATATTAAATGCATGGCCAGTAATTTTGCAGGAAAGGTGACACCATACAATTGTGATTCATCAGTGAAAATTCAGTTACTCAATTTGCTCATAATAAGATGTCAAGCAGCAGACTTCCTTACTATATATCTCACAACTGGGTTTACAGTTTGTTTGTTTTTTTTAAATGGCTTTATAGCAAACTATCCATCCATGGTAGGACTGCTCATGTGATCCAATAATTTTCCATAAGATAAAAAATGTGCATGACAGATTTATGACCTTCAAAACCATCTGGATAATACAAAGAGAAAGTTTTGCATTGACAGAATACTAAAAGTATCATTTAATAAACAAAATCCTTTCCCCTTCACATACACTCTCCCGAAAGGTAACAAACAGACTCTTCTTTGTATAAATAAAGATGTCCCTTTTTGTCTTACTCTTGAAAAATTGAAAGTAATCTAAAGATTAATTGAAATTATTCTTTTAAAAAATATTCCAAAACCTGAGATATTACCCTTTTTTTTCATTCTTTATATTCTTGGTTACACATTCCTAAAAAACCCTGTAAATACAAAAAAAAAATTCTAAAGTTATAAAATCCATACCCTAAAAAGAGATTAAAAGAAATTGCTGTATTTTTCTTTCTGTGGCTCGAGATGCAAGTGGTTTCTACGTAAGTCTATAAATCTTTTCCCTCTTTTGGCGACTGAAAATAATCTGTTGTACACAGATACAAATGATATTGCTCAAGACAAGGCTCCAGAAGTCACTAATTTTAAGAGCTTAGACATGAAATATCAATAGCAGGGCTCAGAAAAATACTAAAAGATTACAGATTGAGGTCTTAAGAAAAGAAATTATGTAACTGGCAACAGTTGGGAAAGTTCTTGACCATTATAGTGATGCAAGTTAAACACAACTCCTTTTGTGAGTATAAGTCAAGGAGTACAGAGAATGGGAACAAATCTGAGAGAACAAAGCAATTAGATGTGAAGATGTTGACAAAGGCAAGAAAATTCATGAGTGGAGCAAAGTAACTATCACAAAGGGGTCCAATTGGTATTAGAAATCTAAAATTCCATCTGCTTTACCCATCCTTATGGTGTTCCTACACACACAAAAATGTACAGAATTTCATTTGGCCAGAGTTGCATAAAAAACGAATTCTGAATTAATATAATGGAAAAACTTAAAAGAGACACCATAATTCAAATGGGGTTGGTTGTCTTTGGAAGACTGATCATGTCAAAACATTCATAGCATGAAAATAAGAAAATAATAGTTGTTTTTAGTGCGGCAGCATTATGCAGGAGACAAATACATACATTAAATCAAATAATGAAGAGAAAATAGAACTGAAAAACTGCACAAAATTAATAAAATATGACACTCCGCTTGGTTGAAATTGGCAGAAGTAAAATGAACAAGGCTGAAAGTATACAGAAGAAGAAACAAAAATGGTAAATGGGAAAAAAAAAAAGGGATTTTCACCTTCTCCTTCTATACTTTCTTAACTACTGTCTGTCTGGAAATCTTAAACTTCACCTTTTTTTTTCTTCTATGCCCACTAGCACGTATAGAAACTTTAAATTTGCAGCTATATATATGTGCTTTCTCTTGTGGAGTACGCTCTTAAGTATGTATCAAATTTCAGGGACTGTTTATGATTGAAGAGAAGGTTTAGCACTGAAGGACATAATATTGGACAGACAATTTCAGCAACACCAAGACAGGAATTCTACCCAAGCCCTTCAGCCTCTACAACAAAAGTAGATACTGAAATATCTGCATTCAGGGCTTTTCCAATTACTCTCTTGGACATCGGGCTTAAATCTGCACTGGGAGAATAAATGGAAAAGTCAAAAAAAGTGTGAAACACAGTGATACTGCATCTAGCATTTTTCTTAAAATAATTGAATAGACAGACAATGGCCAGGCTTTAAAATTATTTCTCAGCTGAGGTAAAAAATATTCTTCTCCACTTACTTTTCCATCTGTACCATTTTGGAAGTGATAGGAATATCCATTAATTCCTTCAGGACTTCTTTCTATGTTAGTTCATCTAGCCCCAGCAACAAACAACCACGCTTGGCATGAGACTAGACTCTAAACCCTAAATATCACATATAAGCATGAAAATTTTTAAAGAAAAGGAGAGTTGACAAGCAAATGCCTAGAGTGCCTGTGTAAATGGCATACTGTTTGTAGTTTTGTGAAGCAGAGCATCTTGGTGTTTGAAACTATTTCCTTAGAGGCAAAGCTTTTGAAGAATGTTTTTTGGCTTCTGTTCTCCCCAAGCGATGCCCACGTGAGGTAGTTAATCATACGTATACTTGTATGAACACAGTCTGTGTGAACTAATCACTTAGTTAGCAAAATGGGTATTTTTCTGAGCATGTGTCTACATTATTATCTGTTACAGGAGCAAAACAACGTGACACAATCCTCAGAAGAACACATGCAATTCTCAACAACTCCAAGGCAAATGGCAAAGCCCTGGGAAAACAAAAGAAGAAGTTCAACCCCATTAACTCAAATAAATTGATCCGTCTTTGTTGTGCACAGGTCAGATAACTGCCATTTTCCTTCTAATTGTGTTCATCCATTTGTATTATCAAATGGCTAAAGAGTACAAATATTGTTTCCACTTCCTTTTTGTGAACCAAAATGTCTTTTTGTAAGTTAGAAATCATCACAGAGGTGTAGAACTTCAGATTTTAAATATTATCTCATATAATGAACCATCACCTGGAAATAAAGGTAACTAGCCAAGCCATGGCAAATTCCTAACAAGAAGGGACAACTGTCCTATTATTTTCTACCAACACAGGTCCACTGCTTCCACCTATCACAGTGTTAGCAACATTGAACTAGACTGCATCATGATACTCACCTCACAGGAGGTACCATCATAGCCTGGAGGACACTCACATAGCTCCACTGCAGGTGCTACCCTTCTGCCCCGTGAAGTGTGGTCAGCAGATTCCATAATAACACTTCTTAGTCTGGATGTCACAGAAATTAAACGGGCAAAACAGCAAATTAGATGGATATGTGCAGCTGAATGAAACAAACACTTTATAGGGACATGCAGTGGCTTGTTTCTGTTTTCCTGCTTAAGAATAAGGAGGTTTTCATATTCATCTATTTCTTTCTAAACCATATGTCTGTAGGCATGTTACTATTTTTCTTCATCATGTGAGGGAGACTATGGTCAGATACCCACTGATAAAAATAGATTTAAAAATTCTTGCAGCACTGTACCAGGCTATTCCTGGCCTGCAAGCCACATGTGCCAACTTGCATTGCAGCTGCATATAGAGCAAATCTGACACTAAGCAGCGTCTTCAAAATTTATGAACCACTAGTCCAGCTTTCTAAAATATTCCATTACTAAGTTTTGGATAGAAGGTATTTTTACTCTGGAGATTTGACCTCTAGAAAAGATGTCAGCCCTGTCCAGAAGAATTGAGGATCTAAGTATTATGTATATGAAAGAATAATGTATGTACGTGAAACAAAAAAGAAATCTTTTGCCATATGCCCTGGTCTCCCCAGTGCCAGAGAAAAAAGTACTAAACACCTGTTGTTTAGGTGAACACTGACCATGATTTTTGTTTCAAGAGCACGGAAGTATGATGAGAGAAACAACAGAAGCCTTTTGATAGTCTTATAGCTATCATCAGAAACAGATGGAATTTACCTCAAGAGTATCTTTCTGTGGAGAAAAATTGGGATTTGGGAGTTTAATTCTTATGAGAATTTGAAGGAACATTAATGTATTACAGAAGCTAAATTACTTCTATTTTCACCCAGTAATCTTAACACAGTGTTTGATAACTAAAGATACTTGAAGAGCTTGTTTTGAAGTTGTCTTCAGCAGAAAATACCTTTTATTCATGATATACATTTTATTAAAAAGGGGTTTTTTCCCTTCATAACAGGGCATTTATCTTTTGGCTGCAAAAAAATTCTAAAAATTATTTGGATGACCTTGGACAAGAAAACATCCAAGAAAAATATTTTGTTGTTGGTACAGTGGTTGGAGGAAAGCTTAAGACAGAATATTTTCCCACTCGATTTTATGACTACTCCAAACAAGTTAAACATGAAAGGTAATGGGGGGACAAGAGGGAAGATTTCTTCAATTAAGATAGAAGCTTCAGAAAAACAGAAATTTTACCACCACTAGGAATATGACTGGACTTTGAAGGGACTATCCCTGTGTATAATGCAGTTTGAAACTTCAATCTGATTTGGTGATACTAGAACCTCTGTAAAAGGTTCTTGATACTGTTTTAAGAGAAGGATGCTTATCCCTATCCAGATCTTCAGTAAATTCTCTCTGACTTTTCAGTATACCCTCTTTGCTCCATTGCTGTACATTTATTTTGCAATTATTCATTTGAATTTTCTTTATGATAAGATAACCAATCTCTAGGATACCAGATATCAAACAGTGATTAACTTACCAGTAAAAAAATAACATTTTAAAGAAAAAAGCCTGTAAATGAAGAAATAATTTTTTAATAAAAGGTCAAATTTTATTTCTCCTTTGAACTACATCTAGCTCCCTCTAAGCACTGATCTTGGAACAAAGAGAAGCACTAACACACAGAAACAATCCACCCAGTATTATCCCACATTTGTATTCACTGAATTGCTCCAATTTTCATTACATTCTGCTATTTGCTAAATGGGATTTTAATGTGTTTAACAGTTTTTAGCATTAACAGTTACTCAGTGAAGAAAGCTGCAGTGATTTTCTTTTCTCCCATTTTGAGGTTGCAATTTTGATTCCTCGATGCCATTCTGCATTCATTAAAATACATAATGCTGGCAGTAATGGGGAACTGGATCCTAGAGATGCATGAACAATTTAAGGTTAGACATCAAGACCAAATATTTAAGCTGACTGTTACTGTCAGCAGGCAACTGTTGACTTCTAAAAACAAACAAGATTAAAAGGGAAAGGGATGTTTCAGGCAGTATCAGCACAGTTTACTGTCTGCTGTGCCAGGCATCTGAATCACACTGGCTACATAAGGCACATGAAGTAGTGACCCAATCTTTGCTCATTTGTCTTGGAGCTAATTCTGCATACGGAAAAAAACCCTTGGCCTCTTCCCTCTTTCTCCTTGTGCCTGGAACTGACTCCTTTCTATGTGGTTGCAAGCAATCTATTCTCTTTAGCACTCCAATTTCCAATGCCTATCTGCATGTTCGCAACACTTACCATCAGTGACCACTCTGAATATTGAAACTGAATAAACAGTGCTAGTAAACTTTCTTTGAAGCACAAGCTAACAGTATTAGATCAAACAAAACAGTAAGAGAGAGTTATCTTTTCTTGGCCTGTTGCTTCTACCACAGATGGACTTAACTGCAAGATCTTTCAAGATCTTGGAAGACCTTCCAAGTTAGAACGGGATTAGGTTTTAAACCCAGAAACTGGGTTCACTTTCATATTGATTGCTACATTTCTGTATTCTCAATTTTTATCTTACTTGATCATCTAATTGCCCACTCAAACAAGAAAGCTTCCTAATGATGCCATAGAGCAACAAGAACACTGCAAGCTTAAAACTACCTAAAAAACGTACACAAAACCATGCTTAAGTCAAACCCCATTCATATTGTTTAGTGGATACTTGAAAGCATAACAGATTAACTAATCTGTTTCTAGTAGGTTAAACTAAACAAGGATAAAAATAGAATCTTTAAATTAAAGCTCTTGCCAACTGGAGACAGCTCCATTGAATTTTTAAGTCTCTTTCTACATGACTGCAATAAAGTTACTTTATGCCTCCGTTCTGGTCTCTTTTTAAGCACAGATTATAATAGCACCTTTGGAATCCTTACACATGTGGTGACATCCATTTTGAAAACTTTCAGTACTTAAATGAACAGGTTGCCTAATACAGCAATCTCTAATTAGTGTGTTGCATAATTCTGCTGGTGCTTCGAGGCAGAAATTGTCATTCATGATGGATCTAATAACCCTGTAATATTTCTGTCTCTCTGCCAGACCCTCTTAACCCTCTCAGAGGAATATCCATCTGTCCACTGCACGTACCTGTTTAAAGACAATAAAAGCCTTTTAGTTCATATCTACTTATCTATTAAGGCTTAGCTCTACAGTATTTCTTTTCAAAAAAGTTTTCCTTTGGAGACCATCCTTTGGAGTCCTTAATCAGCCCTAGATATCACAAAGAATATCTTCTTCATTGGATCTACATTTTCCCTGAAAAACTAAATGGACAGAATACGGAGAAAAGGGTTCTTTTGCATGATCTTAAGAGTGACGAGTACAGCTCTGCACCTAGTATGTTTCAGCACAAGTGAAAGTCAAAGAGAATATAAAACAATTGGTAATGAGGCACATCCTGAAAATTAGCAATATCCCTACACAGCAGATCATAAGCTGGGCTGGATGGCAGTAGATGCTGTTGCTAGTGCCTGGAAGAATGAACTGTTCTGAGGAGACTTCACTTCACAAATCCCACCCTAACAGGTGAAACTATCATTGCTACACTTAAAGATGAAAAACTGAATTTGTTTAATTGCAACTGAAATTGCACATGCTCTCTTCTGTCATGCTAAACCACAATGAGCACCCTGAGAGCACTCAGTAAAATTGTTTACTTTATTACACAGTAATACAGCAACCACTGCATTCTTTGGTAAGAGACATCAGAGGGACAGCCAGAAATGTACCAGCAATATAAGACCATTTATAGCAAAAAAAAAGATACTCTTCAAAATCACTTCAGTTCCTTCCCCTAACCCCATTTTAACTCATTGTCTTTAAGGGACCAATCTTCACAACTGTAATGTCACTACACCTAGAAACTGATGGCTACCAGCATGCAAAGCCTAAATTATATGTGTGTTGCAGAGCTCTTCTCACAGAGCATTTTAAAAAAGTGCTTTCAGAAAACTATCTTTAACACACCACTAAACTGTTCCCAAAGCTGAATATGAACGAGACTGTGAAACGGTGAGGCACCACATATGACCAAATGGCTAAAGCAGTAGTCAGTGATGCAGGCAGTGATATATAGTCTTCCAAATTTGCCAGACAGCTCTGAATTACTTACAAGGCACATTCTATAGATTGTGCCAGTTCTATGTGTGTGCTCTTACCTGAGCTCTACACTGCTGTCCAGAGGGGAATCTCATCCATCCCACCCACACTGTTCCACAGTATGGGCAGGATGGAGCCCTTACATGTCCAGCAAGGCACTTTCTTCACAACTGTCCAGCCAAAGTGCATTTTGAAGGAGAGCCCCCCTTCTCCTACTAGCACAAATGTCAGCACTCAAATATATGTAAACCTCTGACAACTGAAGTTTGCATTTCCCGTAACACTCAGTAAGACCTTTGGCCTGAGGAAAGTCAATCATACATATCTCCTTTAAAAGTTTGCATTTCCCCTACTACTCAGTAAAACCTCTGGCCAAAAGGAAGTCAACCTTACATATCTGCTTTAAAAGTAGCATTAAAGCCCCTATTGTTCATCCCAAAATTGCTCCTGCACGTCTTTAGCTTGGAAAATTCTGAGTGATGGTTTGGGGTTTTTTTTTTATTTGAATGAGAAGAGAGCAGAAGATCATCACTCCCTGAGCTCCCACTAGTCTCAGCTCTAAGTTGTGAATTAACAGCTCATGGTCTGCTCATAGTGCATAAGAGGTGAGCTCTTGCCAGGTGTTTTGGCTCTCCTCAAAAACCCAGGTGGGAAGCTGAGTGATCATGAAAGGCTTTCAAACTGGATGCAGGGAGATGCAAAAGAATGCAAGGTTGACGACTGAATGAGCAAATTAGGAAGCAGTTTGGCCCAAACTCAAGCTAGTTATGATTCACAAACTTACTTACAGAGATGTAATACATACTAATTAACCACAGGAAAAGACAGAGACTGAAGAGATACGAATTCTTTTGCAGGGAAAAAATTTACACTGCTGAAGCTCAAATCAGAAAACTGCATGCTGTTGACACAACCTGCCTTTCAATTTAGGATATATTTTAATTACCTAAGTATTCAAATGATGGTTAGATTGCTGAAGAAATTTCACAGTAGCAAAAACTCTGTCTGTGCTCTTGGCAAATAATCACTAAATGTGCTATCAGCTCCTCCATTTCAAATTGGCTTATGCCACTGAATCAACTGATGTGCAGATTAGAGAGCATTTCAGGTTTCCTGCCTTGTGAGTAAAAAGCTACTATGCAATCAATTCCATTACACATTTTAAAAATATTACTTATGCCACCTAACTATTAATGTTAATCACACAGTATCAGGAGAGATGTTTTCTTCACCCCAGCTGGAGTATTTGTTCATGCACTTAGAAAAATTTGAAATGCAAGATGAGCTTTACAGTTTCAAACACACTGCAGCAACTGAAATAGAACAGTATCATCTCATATGTCTTTAATTTTATCAGAGGACTCAGAAGAGTTCCCATCAAATCAGTGAATCTGAGCAGTCCATGTAGCATCCTGACATAAATCAAGGGAAAGGCTTTGGGATTAGCCAGTTCTGTGTGTGGTACTGATTAAAAATATAGAAAATTCCCCTTGAGGCACTTTTCCAGCTTGGAGACTCAGGATATTATTCTCTGGTTCACTGTTAATGTGGCCCTGTATGGTCATTAAATGGGAAAAACTATATATAAGCAATATATCATTTCCTACTTCAACATGTTATTACTGCTCTCCATGATTTACCATGTACATGGGAATTACTGTGTTCACAGAATAAACATATTTATAGAACTGTCATTCATGCCTTAATAGTCCATGTAATTTCATTTTCTTAAAAGGCTGCTTCCTTCTGTTGCCTTCCTCCTCCTGTCTACCCAAAATGAAAAACATACTAACAAAAAGTTTGAAAGTGTAAATGAATGCTATGGATTTCATGATAATAAATTAGAGTGTTTTAAATTACATCAGCCTTGAGAGAAAGAGAGAAAACAAGTCTTTTGAGAAGCTGCCTGTAGTAAAAGCACCCATTCCTCACGTTCACCTGTAGATGGCATTCATCCCATTGCTGTATGTGGCTCTTATGAGGATCCTCTTCACGTTTGCCAGGATAGTCATGAACTCCCTCCTGCTGACTGGAACATCAGTGCCATGCACTGAGAAAGATTCTGGCTTCAGCACAATTTCTTCAGTGTGCTCTTCAGAAGGCTGCAGGTGAATTATCCCTTTTGGAGTGCTGATTTTCAAGTCACCTCCCTAGAGAGAGCCATGAAAGAGAGAGATTTAAACATGAAAAAAGTCTTGCAAAAAAGCCCATTGGGGTACATGATTTATTGAATAATATATTTTACAAGAATAACAAATATCAGGAATAATATTCACTTTTCATAAACCTGAAATGGGCTTTTGCCTGATAGAATTGAAAAGCAGTGGAAAAGAAAGTTTGAGTTTTTCAGATAAAACCTACTGTCATGGTGCGTGGCTCTACATCGGCAAAAGCAAATTCATATAATGCTGAGGTGCAAAAGAAGAGATCTACTGAAAGAATGTCAAAGTGTAACCTCAAATGACCAACTATTTCATTTCTTCATGGATGAACAGGAAGCATTATAATTTTCTAAGCTACTTACAATAGCTGCAATAATACCAGAGACTCCTTGAGATATTGAAGCTTTTAGTTTTCTGAAGTATATCCTTTTTCTCACACTAGAAATTAGCTGAAAGTATGTGCACCCTTCTGTTTTGTGTCCTCAACCACCAGACTTCACACTGAACATCTGAAAAACCACATCATTTTCTCTTTCTCACATTGTCTCTTTCTTTCATTTTCTTTCTTTTCTTTTTCTTTACTTCTGGCTTTGGCTGAAAATACTTTACCTCTATGATGACATCAGATTGAACCATCAATTTAGCTGTTTCTTCCTCTTCCTCTTCTGTGACATCATAGGAGACTGTAAATTTCAGATGTCCTCCAGCAGCTGCTACCTGGGGAAAAAAAAGACAGAAAAAAAAATCTAATTAAATAAAAGAAAATGGGCCTTAACCACTTCTAGGCAGTTTTCTTGAGCATCAGTAGATTTCTAGTGTTGCAAAACCACATGCAGATCCCTGAGGATTACAGCTGTTGAAGTCTGCGAATTCCTTAAACCCACAGACTAAGAGAAAAATCAGAAACAGATATGAAATCTGTGCAAATTTCCACTAGATACTTGCATTAGACTTTTCAGTGTATTTGTTCAGTTATACGGTCCTTATTTAGACTAGCCTCTGTATCAGCAGCCTTAGCAACCTACAGAAAATTCAATAACTTCATTGATGGAGCAAACTACCAAAAGAGAAAAAAAAGGGCTGTGATTTTTTTTTTTTTTTTAGAATGAACCGTAACCTAAAGTAAGAGTTTTCCCTGATGGAGTCAAATAAATTTACTTTAAAAGAATGTTTCAACCCTTTCACTCAGTTTGACCCAGCCTACAATGTGAGAAGTCAATGACCAGGCTCTTGTGTCATGGCAATATATTTTTTCCATGCTCTTTTAGCCCCCAGGATCATGGCATTGACATAAGTTATTCCATTATAAATGGAATATAGTATGATGCAAATCAGAAGTTGCAGACTTGAATGACAGAGTTCAGCAGAGAAATAATGCTTTCTGTTAATTGATTGGAAGCAGCATAAGTAAATCAAATCCTGCAAGAGCTACATTTTGGGTTTTAAATATGTCTGCCTCATACTTCATTGCAATGTGAGCCTCCTCTCTGAGAATATTAAAATCACAGGGATTCTTCTGCCCTTCCAATGCCTACTGCTGAGCACAGAGCAAATTTGTGCATCTTTTACAAAGAGAATAATCTGATTATTCTCAAAGTCATATTTGTTCATCATACTGGATGGTTTTGCAGACAGTAAAAAAAAAGCAGTGAAAGTCAACATCTTCATTATTTTAGAATGAATTTAATTCAAGTGGTGAAAAAAAAGAAAAACAAAACCACAAACATTCCAGCATTTAAGGCCTGGAAATCAACTGATTTTGAATTAGTGATTAAGGTATATAAAAAGCCCATATTGGAGGCTGTAGAGCTAATTGTTGGGTTAAAGCCAGAAAATTCCCTCCAATTCATAACCTGGATCTTGGACCAATAGAATTGTAGGATCATAGAATCATAGAATATGTCAAGCTGGAAGGCACTCCTGCTAACTAGGTCACTCTCCTCTTGACATGCTTCAATAGTCCAATGTCCTTGAGGTACCCAAAAGTACACACACTGCTTGAGATGAGGCCACCCAAGTGCAGAGAAGAGCAGGACAATTCCCTCCCTTGCCCAGCTGGTGATGCTGTCCCTGATGCCCCCCAGGACACTCTTGGCCCTCCTGGCTGCCAGGACACTGCTGGGTTATGCTCAACTTGCCATCAACCCAAACTCAATGATCTCTTTCCACAGTGCTGCTCTCCCGCCTCTCACATCACAATTTGTGCGTATAAGTAGGAGAACCCAATCCCAGGGACAGAATCCAGCACTTGCTTCTGTTAGCTTTTGCTGGGGATGGCCCAGCTCTCTAGCCTGTCCAGGTCTCTCTGTAAGGCCTCCCTCTCCACCCCTGATGGAGTCTGCATCTCCTCCTAGTTCAGTCACTAGCAAATAGTGGCATCACTTGTTTATCTACATAGTGTCCAAACCTGCTGGGACCAATGCAACTACTTAAAAGCCTCGATCATAAAAACATGAAAAGACTTTTTTATTCCTCGGATGCAGCTGTTACAGCATTTTTGTTTTGCCTGTGGTCAAGTCTAAGCACTGGTTTGTAACTGCTAGAGGAATGTAGAAAATTTAGATATCTGAAATGCTGTAAGAAGTACCCAGAATTGCTTTCAGCTATAGACAAATATTTTAGAAGAGTAACTTTTGCAGAATTTTATAATTTCTATTTCAAGTTCAGACTAATGACAAAGATTCAAGAAAGTGAAAATAATGCAACCCATAAAAATTATGTATCAAGACAGGTTTCAGTTTTTCCCAGCTACATAACCTTTCCCTTGCTATATAAAAATCCAAAGCAGGAAAAAAAAAAAAAAGAAAAAGAAAAAACCCTAAAGGAAAGGCAGCTAGACTGGATTACAGACTCCTGTAACCAACATATATAACCAATATATAACCAACAGGAAACACAAGAGGAAAGGGGTGGGTTGCCTAGTCCAAAAAAGAGAACAGTCAGAAGAAATAGGAAAATTATTTACCAAAATGTAGAAGTCTGGAAAGATGTAGTGGCCATTTTTGTTTACCTGTGGCAACCGCAGGGAAGGCATGAAAAAGATTCAGCTTGATTATACAGAAAGCTGATTGTAAGGATGGTCAAAACAGTACCAAATTACTTGAAAATGCTATTGATGTAGTTCCTTAATTGGCAGCAGTTCAGCATGTCAGAGATACTCTGGATATGATGCCTAAGAGTTGGAATATGACTAAGAAGTCTCTTGAGGTCTCTGCTAGCCACGGCAGTCTGAGTTTCAGTCCTGCAACTGGCAAGATTTTCATACCATGAACAGGATCACACACTGAAGACAAGATCCCCAAAAGACACTTGTAGAGAATACCTCACAGTTCAGAGTATGTATTTACCTTGTATGCTGTATAATACCAATACAGATTAGAAAAAACCTTGAACTTACATAAACCAAAAAGTACTACTTCCTTTTGTCATTGTTTGCAATGGTAATTTCCTTCCTCTGCATATCTGAAGTACAAGTTCATTCACAGGCAAAGAAATTCAGAGGTCAATCCATGTGCTGCATGTCATCTTGTGCAAAAAGTACTTTTCACTGAATTTTAAATATAACTGCAATACAGAAATTGGGCACCCATGAGATCCCTCAACTTTCACATTTTCTTCTGTATCACCCAAAGATTCAGAGTTCTGCTTCGAGGACTGCCATCTGAGACCATCAACACCAAAGGGAACAGAGCATAAAAGTTTGCCTGGCTGTGACAAAGGCATGTATTGTTGAGACAACAACCGTTGTACAAAAATGTCAAGAAAATTCCACAGAATTTCTGTTGTCTCTCCCACCTGTTTTTAGATTAATGCATCATATATTTCTTTCCAGCTTTGGAGGCAGAATCTGCGTGCTCAAGAAAAGTTGCAGACTCCCTAAGAAATAACAAGCATAGGAGAGAGAAAACACAGCTATCTTAGTTGTAATCCAAGAAGTTTCTGGCACATAAGTTTTCGGGGCTTTTTGCAATTGTTCACTGCTAACTTTATTATTATGTTACATGCTCTTAAGAGAGCCCTTAAGAGAGCAGACAAGACTTTTCAACACCCTAACAGAGGGTCAACAAAAACTGAAGCAGAAAATATGTTTCCTTTCCTGTGAACAAATGTCCACACTCAAGAGCAAAAGAGCTGGGGGGTAGGAGGAAGAACCCAGTACTACCCTGTGTAAAGCATGTTTTGATGTTATATGCTTGTCCCTCTAAAATTACTTTTAAGTCAATATAAGTGATAGTAGACCACAAATACTTACAAACACTGAAGACAAACAATATTTCTACAAATATTAGCAAGGCTAGAGATGAGGAAAGCTTGCATCTCTTCATATGGAAATCAAACTTTACAAGTGTTTCTCTTCCTGCACTTAGTGAATGTGCTGCTTTCCCAAGGCAAGCTGTCAGGATCTCTCCTGCTAATGTCCTTGGAGAATATCTCCTTCTTATACAGATGTATACTCCATCTTGTTGTCGAGTTACTACATGAAGATTCACACTCTGCCTCTCCAATGTCTCTTGTAACTCTGCCTGTAAAGCTTTAGCACTTAGTCCACTGCACTGCAGGCTGCCTCATTTCTTCTGAACATCTGCCAAATGTAACTTCAGATTAGGAGCTATCTCCATTAAACAGGGTGCTGATTACAATCCCTTATCTCATTAAGCAGTAAAATGCTCTTCTGTCAGTTAAGAAGAGTCTCAGTTTGTGATTAAAGCACCTAAATATGAACTGGAGCATCTGATATGGCACTAAGTGGTTATGTGTAGGCAAGTGGAAGAAATCCTCTGTAGAGTCAAAGGAAAGTGGCTGGTCGGTGATCCCACCAAAGGACGACCTTCAAATCATTCCACTTTGTATTTATATTCAAAAAGCAACTTGGAAGACATAAAATTTCACTAATTAATAAATAATTATGCACTAAGTGTATTATTGAACTAGAACAAATACACGTTGCTCAGATATTTCATAGTTATATCTACGCAACAATGGATTTAACCAATAAGGGCTTGAATTTCAGGCCTAATCCAAGAGAACATAACACCTTCAAAACTAAAATTATATTACTGCATTAAACTATGTTTAGACCAATACTCATACAACATCAGATTTTCAAACCAGTGAAATAAAAAGCATCATAAGACTCATTTATGTTGGAAACGAACTCTAAGACCCTCAAGTCCAACCATTAATCCAACAAGGCCAAGTCCACTAGTATACCCCATCCTTAAGCATCAACAAATATCAATAAGTTGAACTATCTTTTCCCTCTTCACTGTTAGTGGTTGTGGCAGAAATATAGTCAGTGACATATTGTACTAGAGAGACAAGCATTATAGAGTGTTCATATTTTTATTAGACCAATATAGCTACAACTATAGTAAGGTAAAAGGACTTGGAAAAACATGAATTCTTCTTTCTATTATATAATTATATACATGGCCATACAATTAGAACTACACCAAATGAACAAATGCTACCAGAAAATTTAAAAAGGGAAAGAAAAAGTGCAAAGGCTACAAACATGAATGGGCAGAACATTTCTGTGGAGAATATTAACACACATATAGTTGAATAAAAAACCCAAGGAGTCTCACAGCAAGTTGCTAATAGTAACTTAAAGTTGTAAGAGATAGTAATGTTTTCTTATTCTGGAAGACATCCAAAAAACAAACACCCCACTTGTTTCCTGAAACACCTGTGAATGTTATTTGCTTGCTGCCATG